CCCATCAGTGCGTATGTGTCCTTATCGAGGTGTAGAAGCCTCGCGGGTGTTAAGGTTTTGAATCGAGTTTCAAAAGAGAATTGGCAGAATGCAGCGATACCCGCAGCACTACGTCGGGCGCTTGCAAACCTCCAAGAACGTGATGCAGCTACACAACGAAGATGGAAAGCAGAGCGGGCTTAGAAAAGGTTGATAGTAGGTGTGCAGTAAGAAGACGATGTAGTAAGATAGAAATAAAACGAACAACTGTGCCCAGCTGGGCCTGGGCTGATTCTTGAGAGTCACAGCCCACGAGCGTGTGCAATTACGTGTAGGAAACGTTGATCTGCTAGGAATTGAGCGAAAAGCGAGAAAGTCTAGGGTAACTGTAGGATGGAATTAATCCCTTCCTCATTGTATGAACTTTTTCAACTTATATTTATGACTGCAGACTCTCCACCTGTTTTAGGTGGGGAGTCTGCGGTTTTAAATAATTAAATAAAGTAGACATAATGGAAGCCTATAACAAACTTCACACGAAGTTGCACCTTGCGATAGTTCCTGACACAAGACAACTTACCCTACCTAGACTTTGTTATATTTGAACGGTTGCTTTGCATACATGACGACAGTGACAAAAAGAAAGCTCGTGAGGGTACTATGACTGTCCCAGGATTTGAACCTCCAATACCTCAGACGCAGAGGCCATTCCCCATGTATCTGTTGTGAAGAGGTAAGTTTATGAAAGCATTATGGTTAAAAATAGATGCTGATGATAGCGTGAGCAAGTTTATTGTTGGGATGAGAAGAGGCATGCCGAAGACAATCTTCCCGGCCCTCTTGCCATCTGCAGGGCACAAGGATTAGTACCGTCCTGGCCACGGGACTATCTTATTCAAGTACTCGACCTCTTCGGCAGTAGCATCGCTAGAGCCGGGAACTCACGATGGCACTCTAGGTAGGGCAACCTTGAGCTTTGTGTTACCCATGAGCCAGCCCTGTTTGATGTGCTCCATGGCGGTAAGGAGAGGGTCAGGAGGAGGATGAGCACGCCATGACGCCGGAAATGGGCGCAGAGACGACCATGGCGATGCTGGCGAGGAGCACGTTCTCATGACGGAGCCGAAAACGGACATAGGGACGACCATGGCGAACCTGGCGAGCAGAGCTTTCTCGCAACGATGCCAGAAATAGACGTCCCAAGTGCAAAGAGCCGGGCACGAGTGTGATGTGTAGTTATTTGTGCAATCGACGGACTGCTCTTATGTAGATTGATTCAAGCAATGTGATGTGACAGAAACATTCCGAGCAGGCTTGAGCAGTATGAACTAAGCAAGCAGTACGGCTTGATTATGGCAGACTGAGCGGCAGGTCGAGATGACTTCTACAGCGGAAGGCGAGCTGTCAAGATACATTGACACTCTGAGCAGACCTGGACAGTGTGACTTGAGCAGAGCGTGACTGAGAGGATCCCGTCAAGACCCAACCAGTCTGCAAGGCGGTATTGGCCCCCGAGTGTTTCCTCGTCGCATATTTGAGCAAAGAATAAGCTGCCATCTGCATTATATAAACCAAGAAGCAAGCTGAACATATTACCCCTGAATTTGAAGTGGTACACACTGATTATGCAGCCGCCATGGGATGTGGCAGGGGTTTGTTTGCGCAGTGGTAGAGATCCTGTGCGCCTGGTGAGGCGCACGCCTAAACTGGGTGTGCGCCGCACCAGGCGCACGGACCACCTACCTCCTGTCAACAAAACCTCCCTGCAGAATCCCATGTTGACAAACACGGAAGGTGCAACCACGACTGCATCAGCATCTGCACAGCAGCAGCAACAACACAACGACAACTCATTATTTACATATTGTTCAAACCCCTCTTCATCTACATCGAGACAGAGCATCAAGTGAGATCATTCCCATCCATTTATTTGCAGGTTCTGACATGTGGTTGCGCAGGAACAATGGCCTCTGCAGCACCCGTCGTTGCGCGTAAGTCAACCCTCCACCACACCCACACACCTGAACACATCTTCCCCTGCCGTGCGCCTGACGAGTCGCAAAGCTTGATCCATTGCTAACACTTCTGCAGAAACCCCAACCGCTTAGCAGGTGGTCTGGGCCGCCATCCCGGAGGTGCAGCAAGCTTTCCCCTCCGGTCAGCCCCCTGACAATGCCGGGGTCAGGCGGGTGCAAGACCTCCCGGCCATTCACTCTCTGGTGGTCAGCTCGTCCCGTCGAGCAGACGCGCGTGGGTTCTCCGTCTGCCCCGGCAACCTCGTTGCCGCCATGGTCCAGGTCTCGGGCGTCACCGAGGCACTCGCGTGCCGAAAGTGTGCCTCTGGCTTCGGTCTGTGGGCGGGCTGCGTCACCAACCCGGCCCAGGTGAGTCAAGGGTACGGTGTCCCCGCGCGCTGTTGTGCCAACTGCGCGTACAACCGGAAGTCCACCGGTTGCCAGTGGACCGTTGGACCGGTTCCTGCTTTGGCAGGTCCCGCCCAGGCGGCACACTTTCCCGGTGGCCAACCGGCCGTCCCACCCGTGGCTGCCCCTGCTGTGCCTGCTCCGGCTCCGGCTCCCACGCCCCTGGCACCAGCTCATCCCGCGGCTGACCGCCCCCCTTTTACCCTCCAGCAAATGGAGGCAGTCCTTCAGAGAGGTCTGGAGGAAGCTAACAGCGCGGAGATCGCCCAAGTGCGCGGGTTCTTGGCGCGCATCTCTGCCGCATGTGATAGGGCAGAGGAGCGTGAGTGCCGGGGCAGACTCACATCGGAGGATCCTTTTGGTGATGCCGAGATGGAGGACGCAGGTGCCACGGCTTGGACGACGACCAGCCTGCGCGGAGTCCCTCTGTGGATGATGTTCCGCCTCGCACCCCGTCTCCCGTTGCAGCCACGGCCCCTGCTTCGCCGTCTGTGGGCATGGGTTCGGAGGTTTCGGAGGAAGAGGGAGAGCCAGAGGGCAGACCCTCAGGTGCGCGGTTCGGCAGCGAGATGGAGGAATTCTCGCGGGAGCGCAGTCGCCGGGAGTTTCGTCAGGCGGTCTCCCAGCCTGCCACCCCGTCTGTCTTCCGGCCAGCTCGCTACCGTCCCGGGAGCTTGCGGGGCCACCGGTTCCGCACGCCTCCCAGCGAGGGGCGCTTGCCGAGTCTCGACTCGGCTGAGCGTGGGCCTCGTTTCTCGGTCCATGGCTACTCAGACACGGACTGACAGGACCGCACTGGCGGTTGAGATCGTCCCTCTGGGCACGGCCAAGTCGGTGTCCTGTCGGTTGTGTCTCCGTGGGTATGTCATGGCCGGGTTTAGTACATAGTTCTCGGCGGGGGGTGTTTGGAAAGGATAGAGTATGGTGTTTTGGCGTTGGGCGTTGGCGTTTTCATGTCACACAGACTTTTGCATGCTGACGCCAAGTGGTGTCGGGTCCCCCATGCACATAACCTACTCAGAGGGGGTTGTCCCTGGGGTCGTCAAGTGGCGGCCATTGCGCTGTCCTGCTTGCAAGGCACGCGAAGGCCCAAACCACGTGCATAGTCACCTCATTCATGCAGATTGCTGCTGAGAGACACCAACTTTGGTACACTATATCTCCGCCAGAAAACATCGTGGACGTGATATAACTTTTGCCCCCGAATAAACAGAGCCCAGTGATTCCAATGATATAGTTGGCGTTCCAATCGGACATAAACTCGTGCCAACAGAGATCAATTTGTCAGGTGGTCCAGCAAAAGCAAACTTGGAGGTTGCAGAGACCAAGGCCCAGACACCTGCACCCATGACACGCCAACTTGCACACGCCATAACTCCACCACAAAAAATGCTGGACGTGATGCGACTTTTGCTCTTGAATGCGCTGAAGCTAGGGATTTGAATGGTGTTGTCCGTTTCCAAATTGCTCTTCTTTTCGTCATGTCAGCGGGCAATTTGCTATGCAGCCACTGTTGACATATAGCTTGTGGCCTGATTTGAGGCGTGGTCCGGGTAGTGTCTGGGACTGACGAAATGCGCACCTAAAACTGTTCCATTTTGGTGTGCGCCTCGCGAGGCGCAGACACTGGCGGACCAGCATCTAACTTCCACCACACCAAGTCAGCTATGTCATTATAGCACGTCGCAAAAAGACATATGTGCGCAACCATGAATTGAACCCTCATTGTTTCAAGTCGTTATTTAACACAGAAGTACCCAACTACGCCATCCTGCCATGAAATCCAGCCATCTGATCTTCCCGATTCCGGATTGGAGGTCGCCGCCCTACGCGTTGCACCCTGCAGGCCCAAGGACATCACCACCCATTTGCCCACATAAACAGCCTTAATACATAAATGAAGTATTGCGTTTGCTTTATAAGGAAACTGTTTCAACTCCGTTTTGTGGGCTCGTGATCCCACCGTTCACTGGCCATGGACGAACCTAGGATTCGACCGGACTGGACCCGGCCGGCGCCAGCGGGCTCAACGGACTTTGTTATAGACTTTGCTAACAACTACTTACAGACGACCTAAGCATTCAACACTCAACACATACCACCAGTCAAGGAAAAGACTTAAACACCAAGGTCAAGGAAAAGACACAAACACCCGTTTCGGTGCTGTTCGTCATACTTCTCGGGAGTGGTGGCCTTCCAAAATCTAACCACCCAGCGCTGGCAAGCCGCTGTAGAACCAACTCTGCAACTGACTCTGCAAAGAGTTGGGGGATGGAGAAGCGCCCAAGACGGCCCCGGTAAAATCGTGGGCTTGAGGGTGGCCTTCATTCTTGCCAGTCTAACCTATTTTTGATGTATGTATTAAATATTAACTGCTAAATGAATAAAACAATCCATGTCTTTGATCTTGCAAGAAACGCAGCATAGTATAACTTAGAAAGTCTTGCACTTACATTTCAAGACATACTACTTGTCTTCCTCCCTCCCCTTCTCTTCTTGGTTTTGCTACTCTAAGGGTTCCAGAACAGCGACAGGGAGCGCCGATGTCTTGAGTACGCATATTTGTTTCCTTTCTCCTGTAGTCTTCTTCCACGTACTCTATATCTGCTGGCTTGCACTTTCGGTGTGGCACTCCTCCTGGTCCTCCTCCTGGTCCTCCTCCTGGTCCTCCTCCTGGTCCTCCTCCTGGTCCTCCTCCTGGTCCTCCTCCTGGTCCTATCAAGTCCGTTTATCAGATATTCGCGAAGCCAGGACGGGCTCTGGGCTTGTAGTCCTCCTTCTTCGCGCTCCTCCTCCTTCCGTCGCTTTTGTTGTCGGCCGGCCTAGTGGCCAGCAGTCTGTTCTGAACGCTCTGCGATGCGTCCCAGCCAGCCAGCCTCTTTACGATCCCCTCGACGATTCCAAACTCCATGGCGTATGTGTCCTTGCATACCGCGTTACCGCTCGAGCAGAATTTACGAAGCTTAGCGATAGACATTCATATGCCAATCGTTCCATAGGAGAGAAGGAGCGCTGCCGACTTAACGCTCAGGTTGGTGCCCTCTGTGCCGACCTTTCTACTCTTGACCATCTAATCGTATAGGAAGCCGCAGGCGGAAGGGGGCCCGCAGCCGAAAAGGTTGAGTTCCTTGATCAAGTACTCACGAAGCCAAGACGGGATCTAGGGCTGGTGGTCCTCCTTCCCCTTGGCCCTCTCCCTCGTGGTCTTCCCCCTCATGGTCCTCTTCGCGCTCCTCCTTCTTCCCCTTGGTCCTCTTCCTCGTGATCTTCCCCCTCGTGGTCCTCCTCCTCCTCGTGGTCCTCCTGCTTCTGGACATTTCAGGAACGTACTCGATATGGCTGTAATCGATGAAGGCGACAGTCGAGTCGGAGTATCTGCGTGAACGACCAGGAGGGCGCCTGGACCAGGAACGTACTTGATGTGGCTGTAATCAATGGAGGCGACAGTCGAGTCGGAGTATCTGCGTGAACGACCACGAGGGCGCCCAGGGCTACGAGGGCGCCTGGAGCCTCGTAGTCGGCCCGGCGGCCTTCTAGGCGGCCGTCTCAGTCTGCCTCCAGCCATCACGAGATGTGGGCGGGAGAAGGTATCGATATGATTAGAACGGTAATGACAGCCCTGACGAGTGGGTATTGAAAATGCTAGAAAGCCGCCTTACATGCGTGCATCTCATCGAGAGTTTAAACGCGAAATTGTGAACAAGGCATGAAAGGTGGAGGGGTGGTGATCAGAAGAAAAAGCTCGTGTTAGAGTTTAAGCTTGAGTGCCTGCCTAAGTGGGTACGCAAGGAGGGTGCTCTGGGCGAGTGCTCGTCGCTTTTGTTGTCGGCGGGCCTAGTGGTCAGCAGCTGATGGGGGAGCTGCCCCTGAAAGCTCTGGCACAACACCAGTTGCTGAGTCCAGGCAAGCACCGGCTGGATCTTCATGAGAGTAGTCGTCTTCCTCGTGGTCCCTCATGCGTAGTCGTCTTCCTCGTAGTCCTCTTCTTCACGCTCATCTTCTTCTTAGTGCCCTTCCTCCTAGCCCCTTTCGTTCAGACGACTGCAGCCCGCGCCTCAGCCAACACCGGCGTCTTCTTTAGAGACAGCCCGTCTTGTTGTCCGCGCAGAGAGAATCCCGAGCATATTACCGAGCGGCCCCAATGGGACTTGGAGATGCGAGGAAGATAGCTGCAACTATATTGTTCTTTCGGCTGAAGATCTGGAGAGCAAAGACATCTTCACGAGGTATTTTCAGCACCTCGCGAGCTGGGCTGAAAAGTTGAACTCAGCACTCCAGAGGGAACTCGAAATCACATGCCTATCAAGCAGCCCCAGCACTCCAGAGCGTGCCTGGGTGGGCGGATGATAGGCCGAGGAATATAAGTCTCGGAACGACGTGGCGGAGCCGCCGGAGCTGGTGGAGCATCCTCCATGCGGACGTCCTTTTCCACACTTTGTCTGCTCGCGCGAGACTTGAGCCGGTGGAGCATCCTCCATGCGGACGTCCTTTTCCGCATTTCGCCTGCTCGCGCGAAACTTAAGCCGGTGGAGCATCCTCCATGCGGACGTCCTTTTCCGCACTTTGCCTGCTCGTGCGAAACTTGCTTCTCCTACTTCGGTCAGTCACCACAGAGGGAACTCGGAATCACATGCCTATCAAGCGGCCCCAGCAGGACCAGGAGTAGGAGTAGGAGGAGGAGGGTGGAGGTGGTGGAGGAGGAGGAGGAGGAGGAGGAGGAGGAGGAGGGAGATGCAAGGCTGGTGGCTCTCAAACAATCCCTTCGTGTGAGGTTCCGCGCAGGGAGGGCATAAACTGATTTCGGGCCAGTGCCTGAACTCTTCTATGTCCAGTAGGAGGCGAAAGACGTGGCTGGTGTTCTCCAGTAGGAAAAGAAAAACGCGGCCGGGGGGGTTCTCCAGTAGGAGGAGAAAGACGCGGCTGGGGGGTTGTAGAGCGATCTGGGCGCTCAGAATCTGCACCGGAATGCTTCCTCTTTTCACCCGTATCGGGAGATCGTACAGCAAACATTATTATGCTGGGGGACGCGTAACGCGTGTGTTATTGGAAACTGTGTAAAGAGTCTGGATTAATGGCAGGTGATATCGAAAGGTAGTTGGTGGAAGAATGCTTAAATGGAATAGAAAGCTGGATTTAATAAAAAGGGAAGGTTTGATTGAGATTCTTGCTGAAGTGCTGCTTTCGACAACCTCATCCTGGATTACTACCACGAAGGACTCGGTGCATTAAGGTGGACATTCCGTGGGCGCTCGTCACCAGCATCAGCGTAAACATTCCGTGAGAACCCATTAAGAAAGAGTGTCGAGGAGAAGATTCTTTAAGTGGCTTAGCTCCGGGGCCGGCCTGGCTGAGTGTGACGTGACGTGATGGGTGTTGTCGTAGCAACCCACACTGAATATTGCCACTTGCTGAGTTACGTTGTGTGCGCCTCGCGAGGCGCACATATAAATTTAGGTGTGCGCCCCGCGAGGCGCACGAGGCACATCTCAGCAAGTGGACATGTGGCAGAGTGCTGCCAAAACACACGCATACATACACCCTCATACATACACCCTCACACATACACCCTCATACATAGATACGGCATGAATACGATATTAACAAAAGACACTATATACCTTTATCTATTCATCTAGCCACCCTGCCTACATGCCTGACGCGCTTGGTCCAGGCTTACTCTCCTGAACGGCAGACGCTGCCTCATAAAGGGCGTCGGCAAAGCTCGAGAACACTCGGAAAGGCGACGGCGACCTCTCCGGCGGGGACAGGGCGCCCTCCTCCATGCTGGGCTTCAGGATCTGACCTGCACTCAGCCTGCGGTCATAGTCCTTGGACCGCAAGAGATCAACGTCGTCATTCTTAATACGCAGGTCCGCAAGGCAAAAGGAGACACTGAACATGATCCCGTCCAGGCAAGTGACCCGGGACACGGCCACGTAAGTGAGGCCGCTGGCGAAGTCACGCCCAGAGATGTCAAGGACGGCCTTGGCCAACGTTGCGCCCTGTGACTTGTGCACAGTAATGGCATACGCAATAATGCAAGGGAACTGCGTGCGTATGCAGAGCACGGTGTCCCTTACGAATTCGCGCTGCACCAGGAAGACGGGCACTACGTCGCGAGGAATCTCCGGCCGGTCGGGAAAGCAAGGCCGCCCCGTATAGCTACCCATCTTAACGAGGACAACGAACGGCAGAGCTTGTATCTCCACAGGCAATAGGACTCGCTGCAGGTGTGGCGCTGCACGCGGTTGACAACGCGGGACAGCATGAGGAAGGAGCTGTCGCTGCCCATCTTGTACTTCAGGGGGTTGTCCTTCTGCGGCGGCATCTGGCGGCCCGGCTCGGGGTTTCACGCATGGACATGCACGCCCCAGAACTCAGCAAACTCCTGCTTCTGAACCTCATTGACGAAGCTGTCCACGGGCACCTTCGGGGCGCCGTCGACCCAGAAAACCCCATGTACGTGAGTGCTCCCGCGGCCCTGCCACTCAAAACTGTACCAGTAGGCTGTGATATTGAGCTTGGGGGTGAGGTACTCCTGAAAGAATATCTTGAAGCGGTGGTAGAAGTGGTGGGCCGCGATGTGAGGGTTCTCCCGGAGGTTCTTGCGCGAGATCCTCATCTTGCCAGCGTCGTCGGCCGCCTTCCACTCCTCGTAGTTGGGCATCGCACGCTGCAGTGACTCCCAGTGCAAGTCGGCCGCCGAAAACGTGAGGAAGATGTGGGGGCACTTCATGGCATAGCACATAGACTGCAGGTCGTTCTGCTGCTGGTTCCAGAAGGGTCGGGTCCCCTTATAGACATACGAAAGACTTCCGGCACTTATACTTCTTGTTAGATAGCATAGATCCCCTCAACCCAGTTGCCACTGCAAAGAGTCTGGTATGTATCGACAATAAGAACAGATTATTACAGACTCGCAAGTCACTTGCTGAATATCTCCGGGAATACCGTGGCTTCAACACTCAACAAGCACTGGATTTTCTAGAATGCTTCGCCCAGCAGTCCAAGAGAGGGCAGACACTCTGACTGCTGTCAGACACAGCAAGCATCCAGCCAGGAAGATACTAGAAGATGTCACAGCTGCAAAGCGACCAGATGCAGGTTTACAGATAGAATGAAAGCAAGCACAATTCCAGCTGTGTTGACTTAGTCGAGGTTAGCAGACTCCCCACTGTGTTTTGGTGGGGAGTCTGCGCAGCCCTACATTTACAGCCCAAAACACGTTGCCCCCACCCTTGGCATTTGTTGTTCCTTCCTCAGCCGCGACAGCAGCATCAGCAGCATCAGCAACAGCAACAGCAACAGCAAGAGTCAGTTTCTGGTCAAATTTTGAATGACATATGTTTCTTTGGTCATTTAACTAACGATTCATCTAGTGACTTCTTTTCAAATTGGTGGTGGAAGTGGTGGTGTTGGTGGTGGAGGAGCGGGTGGCGGCCCAGGTATGTCTTACCCCCACGGTTACATCGACACGTGTCAGACAGGCATTTGGCAGATGGGGAACTGCCGATTGGCCTGAAGACGCGTGTAATGTTAATCTTATTCTCTTAATTGGGCATCTCTGACAGTTTTTCTCAGTGCTCGCGTGGGACTACGTCAAGGCGAACGTTCCTGCGGTGGCTGCGCGCTACCCAACAACAAGGCCAGACAACTGGCTTGTCAAGAAGTTGTTAGATTTGCCGGTGGTCAACGAGCTCGTTGATAGCGATCACCGCCGCGCAAACAGTGCAGCCTTTGCACTGGGCCCTGCCTCTGACACGTCTCTTGTCAACAAAAACCTGATTGCAGTCCTTTGCCAAGTCACTGGCACGTCCGGCCCTGCCTGTGATAAGTGTTGTCGGCAGCACGGCTTGTGGCAAGGTTGCGTGAGGGCTCCCAACGTTGGTCCTGTACCTCTGATCCCAGGAGGTGCTTGTTCAAACTGCGCGTATAATGGTCGGGCCAGAGACTGTCAGACCACATCGCAGCCGGCTGTCAACATGCCGGCACCTCAGTTTGTCCAGCCCGCCCAGCCTCCTATCCATGGGCATCAGGTACACAACACCGGGGGAAACGAAGAGGAGGAGGAGGAGGAGGACTATGACATGGGCTTTGGTGCCATGTCTGATGAGGACCTGCGCTCGCCGCACCTCTCTTCAAGTCCAGCTCAAGCGTCTGTTTCGGTCGGTGGTTAGGAGCCGTTTGCCGATTCAGACGTGGAGGCCATGGATATCGATGAAGTTGAAGGCACCCCGGCACCTCAGAGCCAAGAATGGCCAGAGGATTTCTCTCCAAGTCTCGGGAGGATAGCACAGCTCGATGAATTGGCCACCGGGCTGGTTCGTCGCCGCGCAGAAGAGAAGATCGCTCGTAAGAGGAGCAAGCTTTGTCGGCAGATGCGAGACGAGAAGGGCAAACTGCCTCGTCTTAACGCTGCATAAAGCATACAGGACGGGACCTGGGGGGCTGCGTCGCTGCGTAGATAAGTAGGTAGTGTTCATAGTTTGCGTTTGGTTTCTTGCTTTCTTTGTGTTTACTCTCTACGGTTGGGGATGTCAACCGGTCCATCCAAGTGGTATGTGGCGCCCTCCCAAGTGGGAGTTGGTCATTGCAATGTCCGGCTTGCCAGGCATGCGAAGACTGCTCAGGGCTGTTATAGGGAGTTGACAATGGGAATCTATGTCTAGCCATGTAAGGATTGGCAGACTCCCCACCTAATTTGGGTGGAGAGTCTGCCAAGCCTTACATCTTTGCAACATGCTTACCTTGCCACTACACGTGAAGACTGATCTTGGAAATGGTGCTCTGCCCACAATTTGGCAGATTCCAAAGCTGAACAGCTATCAATTGACCCAAATTTTATACCGTCAGAATCTCTGGCTTCTGAGGATTCGGGAGCAAAAATCGTATCACGTCTGGTATTTTTTTGGATAGAGTTATGGGGGGGCCAAGTCGGTATCTCTTCCTCGGAGACAAGTCATAGTCTCCACGGTGGCTGCCACTGGGTGGGGAATCTTCCCATATAAGTAAATTGCTCCTTCTGGTATGGACATACCAAGACCGTTATTCAGTGAAAGAGCTGACAGATGTCCTAGACTCCCCACCTAATTTCGTGCCATTTAGGTGGGGAGTCTGGGACATCTATCAGCTATGCCACCAAGACCTTGTTAAAAGCAGATATCAAAAGTTACCAGCACCAGAGGTTGCAAAAAAAAAAGAAAGAAATTAACTCAATGATAGATAGAAGGTGCCATCTTAATTTCCAAACTTTATCCTGGCTCTTCGTACGTTACGCTGCGACTTTTTATGCTTAGGTGGTGCAAGTGAGCTTTTAATGCAAAGTTAATATCAGCCCTTTACTTGCCCAGTTTTCCATTACACCTTTCCTTTGACTTTTCACAATACTATCAACTCGAAGGGAAGGAAGGAAAGAGATCATCTTTCAGTGAGTCACTTGCATAACCAACTAACTGCCATCTGAGGAAGTAACCCTCCCAGCCACTCAAGCAGCCTCTTGCCCACCGGCATAAAACCCTTCCTCTCTCTCTTCCGCTCCTCTCTCTTCTTCTTCCCTCCTTCATCGTGCAACACATACATCTAAGTCTCCTCCTCGTGTTGCATGATCCTTTCAACGTCAAAATCTACAAATAACAATCAATCTTCATCATACAATGGCTGCTCCTGCCCCCCCAACCATGACGCTGCTCGGTCAGGTCATGTGGCGCACTATCGACGGCCAGCTTTATGCGGTCTTTCCCACGGCGATGGGTACCAGTCGCACCCAGCTGAACAGACTCGCCATCAATGTTCGTTCCAAAACCCTTCTCGCCACATTTTTTGTGATTACGCATTAACTAGCTTTCAGGACAAGGAGACGACTGCCCTTCAGCTTCAGTCACGCAACGTCCTCATTCGCATGTATCCGAACGAGGATATTGAACTCCTCGCTGCCAAGATCGTCCGTCTTCCGAACCTCTTCCGTGCGTTCATCATCGCCTCGCGCGGACTCTTCGTCCATCCGTGCGCCAATGAGTGCACCGACCTCACGACTACCAGGTTCCGGAATTGCATGATCATCCCTGGATTCGAGGACGATGCTTGTGCGGAGTGTGTCTGGCATTCGGACGGTCGTCACTGCGAGCACAATACTGCTGCCCAGGCGTCGTCATCTGACGATGAGAGCAATGCCTAGATAAGGGACGAGGGACGCCATTAATACCTCGGATGATCCTGAGTAACCAGGGGTAGGCTTATCGCGGGCTTCGTGGTCCGACACTCGTCAAGTGGTGATTCTGAAAGGTTGGGATTGCATGCGGTGAGAAACATTCGGGTAGAGTCGTTGCGCGATGGGTTCTTGTTTCATTAGTTGACAATTTGACTCCCCTCTCACCAATCTCTCCTTGCTCAAAACTATCTACCGTGTCATTGCTTTCCCACTCGTAAGCCTGAGACTTCTTCTTGAAAGAATGGGCCACTAACATAGAGCACCATGTTCAGATACCTTGGCCTTAAAGTGTTGTCCATGTTGTATTCCTATTCACATTCGACTTAAGTTATGCCTTCCCTATAAGACCAACCCTCTCCATAATTTTAAATAACGAGCCGGGCTTTCTTATATGCTTGAACCTGCTTTGCGCCTTGTCATACACACAGGCTTTTGGTGTCTCCCTCTGCCAGTTCCTGTGCGCCTTGCGAGGCGCAGAGCTGCCCAGAGCGGGAAGTCACTCCTCCCTTAACACCACATCGTGATATCAGTAGTGTCGCTTCCCGGGTACATATGGTATATACAGAAGTTAGATTAATTAACCAATCCATACACAGACCGACCAACCCAGGAATGATAAACATTTTGCAAATTCTTCCCGTTTACAACGAGCTCTGCTCATCGTTGCCATGAAGCGAGGCCGAATGACACCTCCTCTCTACCCTTTATCAGATTGCCCGTTCCAGTGTCCCACTCTCAGGGGAAAATTGCCAGCTGGCTACAACCTACCAGCACTACGGGAAAGTGCTCCTCGCCGGCTTCGCCGTGCTCGTCCTCACGCCCGTTTCTGACTTCGTCACGTAGAAGTGCCGCTCGCCAGCTTCGCCGGGGCCGTACCCACGCCAGGCGAAAGGCCGAAAAGAAGTCCAGAAATTCGATCCGCGCGGGAAACGCACTCGCAACCTTCGCGATTCCGACTTCGCCACGAGAAAGTGCTCCTCGCTAGCTTCGCCGCGGTCGTCCTCATGCCCGTTTCTGACTCCGCCACGGGAAAGTACCGCTCTCCAGGACTGCCGAGACCATACCCACGCCGGGGAAAGCCGAAAACAAGTCCAGAAATTCGATTCGCGCGGGAAACGCACCCGCAGCCCTCGCAGCGTCAAGTTCAGCCACCCGGCTCTCCACGTCCCGGCCCGGCGGAAAAGCAGAAAAGAACTCCACGAATCGCTCCAAGCGTCACTCGCACCCGCAGCCCTCGCGGCGTGAAGTTCAAGCGGCTCTCCACCACGAAGGAGAAGGCATCACAGCGCCAACAAGAGGACTCCAGCCTCAAGAAAACTCCCAAAGAAGGAAGATCCCCTCCCAAGGCAAGACGAGGCGGCCCAGGCCGAAAAAAGAAGCTCGCCAGGCTTGGGAGGGGATCAGATCGTAACAAGGTCTCTCCAATTCATTTAATCAGGGGGCCACTGGCCCTCAGGATCTTGGTTTTGTCATCACGACGCCTCTGCCGGCTAGACCACGTGACCGCGGTTTTCGTTACCACGTGACGACTTCCCAGGTCCATAAAGGGGTGTCACGTGACCTTGCCACCACCATCAGTCGGCTTTCGGCTTTCCGTCACGCCTGTGGCGTTTGACCAATCAGATCGCAGGGTTTCGAGAACCATGGCGACGTGGCCACCGCTGCACTCTGAGGCAGTGCCCGCAGCGGTTGACCAATCAGCTTGCAACTTTTCTGACCCATGGTGCGCCGACCGAGTTCCCATTCACAGACTATTCTAGACGAATAGCAAACAGAGCATTCGCCAGTGCCGCCGGGAATCGAAGAGTGAGGAAGGATGGCGATCTGATAGGAAGGCCCCCAAAAGATACGGGCGCGGTTTACTCTTGGTAAGGGCGCCCTAGAAATAGCCCATGGGTGAGTGAGTGGATGAGCCGACCGGACAGGATTGCTTGCCTGCTTAGAAGCAGTCTTGGGCTGCCCCAAGCTCCCGCAGTCTTTTGTCGCGCGGCCCGGCCATCCATCCATCGTTCTGGGGCCACCAGGACCTGTCAGTCAAGTCAGACACATCGGTCGATGGATCGCACACAGTCACATCATGTGGGCAAATGGCAGGCCAAGCGCGAGACGCACGGCACGGCAAGCACAGCATGTAACGGAAGGGCGATTGTGCGCGAACCGGATCGGGCCAAGAGTGCGTGGTCAGGTACCCGTGGGATAATACTGCCTCTTAATGACTCCGGGGCTGACTGGAGGCAATGCAATCTGAGCGCCGCGATCGCCGAGAGGCATTTACTCATTTATTAGTAGTTGGTGCTCTATGGGTGCGCCGGTCGGGTTTCAGGTGCCAGCGCCTTGAAATCAGACCATTCAACTTGTCGCGCGACCGCTGGGAAAACCACTTTGCGAAAGCATACGATCCCAGAGGCAGAGAAAGAAAGAGAGGAAGAAAGAAAGAGGGAGAAACCATACACCCTCTACTATTCTTGGGTGGGTGTGTGCGACTGTCGCTGGCGCAAGGTCAAGCTTCCGAGTGAGTGGTGCGGGCGTGGTCTTGTGATTCGTTGAATCAGAGTTCGTCGTCTCATGTCGCTCCATGATGCGAACCTGACCTCGGACAGCCGGTGAGACTATACTCGCCAGAGCGACTGACGGGCCTCGATGTGCGCATGAACGAGAGGGCGGAGGGTCTCAGGCAGGTGGTATTGAGCTGAGGGGCGGATTTCCCGTCAATGAAGCAGCTCTGGCTTTGGGGATTGGGGGATCGCCTTTCGCACCTTGATGTCCGGGTAGTGGGAATCCGTCATTGAGGAGACAGACCGAGAGTTTGACCAAGCAGGCTGCCCGATCCAAGCTGCCGGGGATGATTGCGACTCGGACGAGGGTCGTCATTCAACCATTAGTGGCTGGGCCTGGGAATGCGATCCCCAGGATCTCTCAACCTCAACCACAACCACATCTAAGCCAGTGGTGGAGGGTGGTGGTGGTGCCCTTGGATCTTGATACGGACCGCCACACCACATGCAGCTCTACTGCGAAGCCCTGGCTTCTCAGCGTGCCATCGACAGCGAAGCCATACTCCAGTCAGCCAGTCTGCCAGTCCACTACGTGAAGACACTAGCAATAAGGGCCATGCTAGCTGACCCATGGCCCAAGGACCACAGTGCCGTGTAGGGTGCACTCAGCCCAGAAACAGATTGATAGAGAAGCCTATCTGGGCGCGAGCAAGTGGCCAAACAGGACGGGCAATTCGGTGTCCTCCTCGTAACCTTGCAGGCGGCCCACGCAAAGCCAACAAGCCGTCCCCTCTAAAAGCAAGAGCTTCGATGCTGCCACGGAGCCCATGGGTGGAGATGGGTCGCATGCAATGCAAGACAAGTGCCGTAGCGCACATTAGCTGAGTCGTAGCAGGGCCCCGGGAGCCAGGACTCGTACTTCCCAGGCTCCCCAATGCCTTGACGATGGGGACCACGATTGCGCGACGCATCAGACAACTCTCGTCCGCTATGGAGCCACGGGTCTCGCGGATGTCAGGGCTGGGGGACCCGCTTGCTTTGCTGTGCTGTTTGGCCTGCGGCCGCCGGGGTGAAGGGGCAGAGGGGGCAAGAGGGGGAGGGGATGATTGCGAGCTGAGCCGTTTTCAGTCATGCTGACCCCCCCCCCTGCTGAGCGCTTTTGCGACGGTCCGTCGCATCCAGCGCTTCGCAATGTCGGGGCGTCGGGTCCTCAGATACGAGAGGCAATGCTCAAGAGCAATTCCATGACTTGGTGGCCAGTCCGATTCGAGCGAGACAAGCTCTTTCATAGGTCTACGGCGTGCCTATGTGTCGGCTCTGCGATGGTGTTATGATCGCAATAATCGCAATAATCCCGGACGATTTGTCGCTAATCAATTGAATGGCATGATCATGAGGGACCTTTGAAGGCAATCTTCAGTGGCGGCAACAGAGCTTCAGTCCCGCTTTGGCTGGGTGACCCGGGGGCGGGCAATTTGATCAGGGCAGACTGGCCGGGAGAGGGGCTCGCAGCAGTGGGGCCTGGACGGTCGCACCCTTCATTCTCGATTGAATGCATCGGCTGTCGGGACCTGGAGACTCTGGCACTCAAGGATTCAGGACTCATCAAGAGGCGTTGTTTCTATCTGCAACCAATTCAAGGACGAATGCGACATGCAACTGTCGGTCGCGCTTGAAGGGGGATCAAAAACATTGTGCTTCAGGTGGCCCCGGGCGAGGGAATGCGACGGCGATCCTACTGGCCAGCGGCCCAGAAGGGGTCGGCCATGAACAACCAGGCCCAGGGGCAAGCCAGCAACGGCGGCCCACCTCAAGGCCACTGCACAGCACAAGCACCCGTTTGCGCCAGCACCGCCCAGTCGCAAAAACCAAACCTTGGGTGAACAATCCCCCTCTTCTTGGTGACAGAGCGATGCGCCACGCAGTTGACATCGCCAGGACTGTCGGAAATGGTAAAATACTCTGTCAGATTGGCTTTGGGATGCATGCGACAGGATGTTCCCGAAGACGGCGAGTTTGCGACGCAGAATTGACAGGAACCCAGAGCAAGGCACGTGACCAGGCGCGGCGCTCGCGCGGCGGGCGGGACGGGTGACGCGGTGCGGGTCGACCTCGAGTCGGCAGCTTTTGCTGCACCACAGCGCCTCTTGTGAGAAATAAAATTCATGAATCTGACATCCAACGGCTATGGGCTGGCAATGACGGGGTTTTGCGATATCTCCCAAGTGTTGGGGCATCTCTCATCGCATTGTCGCAGTTCGCAGTTGCTCGTTGGGTGACGCGACGAGAATTAAGCGGGCCCCACCAGCCCTCGCGCTATTGGTCGGCTCGTTGATCGGCGTTCTAACATGCCGGTCGCCGGCGCGACGACAGATCCCGGCCCGTGCACGCATCCCTGTCGTGGCATAACACGCAGTAAACAAACACACGCCAGCCATCATGGGCTAACGAGCCCCATTCGTAAGGCTAGAGATTAAGTTGGATTGTTTGCATTGGGAAATCCGCCTGGACATGGACAGGAAGTCGATCTGACGTGCGCGTGTCCGGCTCCTCCTTCTCATCCTCCTCTATGCACCCCCAGCCCGCCCCACGCAATCCGGTCCCCCCGCTTCTGATCTTCAGGAACGACCCTCTTCATCGTCTTCCTGGACGGGGCAATCTCGCAGCCAAGCTAGGGGACGGGTAATCTTGGGAGCTTCGCTTTCGACTTCCTTCATTGGCCCAGTTGGACAACCGTTTTGGCGCGCCGTCAACAGATCAACCACCCCCCCTTCCCTTCCAACACGCACTCGTACTCGCACAACACGCGGCGCCTCTCCCTCGAGGTACGTTCCAAGCTTTGTGTTTGTGCCTTACTGTTTCCCTGACTCACCTCTTGTCTCCTTGCGCGCACCATCCCCTCGTGTTGTATTGTGTCGGCACCTGCCATCTCCCTCTGCAGCTGCATGGTCCACCATCTCTTTCCTCGGCAGTATCAGAGACCACCAGCCCCCCTTCAACACCTTGTTTACCAAATAAACTTTTCGGTCAACCCACTTCTTCGATCCTCCAAGCTCTAATCCCTGTGGCACCAGGCAGCTTGGGTCCCTCGCAGCTCGGGTGCGGCTGTCATCACCCAGTCAACCATCACCCGCTCGCCACTCGACATCCAAAACCCGCATTATCGCAATCAAACTTGTCCACTCCCCGTTTGTTTTGTACAGCTCCTCGTCGACGACAAAGACGGACGCGCGAAGACTAATTCTTCCCGCCCACGCACTGTCTGCCTCGAGTTACTTGATGGTATCGCGTGCCCGACTCCATTCCCAGCTCTGCGTTTGACGTCCGGAACTTCACCACACAACGCCAACTCATTGTATCGCGCTATAACAGCAACACCCAGCATTTGATACGTCGAAAAGCGTCTTTCGGCCTGAAAAATAAGTCTCACTATGGACGCCAGAGTAAGTGACTCCTGACTTTTCTGCCTGCCGTCAAACCCCCTTCCCAAACATCCCCATTGTATTCAACGAGTCCACACTGCCCCGTCTCTTTGCAATCCTTTGCGCGGCATCGAATCCCCAAGCAACACCAAGCTCACTTACTCTGCCTTCCATCACAGCCCCAACGCCCGCTGCGACCCTTCGTGGCGCAAGTTCATCACAACGAGAACTTGTCCCTCAATACCACCGGCCACGCATCCAGGAACGGCCAGACCCATCAGGCCAATTTGAACGGTGCCACGACTGCTGGGGGTTTTAAGGGACCTATCAAGCGAGCCGCCTTTGGAGACCTGAGCAACACGTCTGCGCCCACCGTCAGCCAGGTCACCAAGGGTCTTGTGAAGCACACAGCAAACACGGCTAAGATGGTCCCTTACAAGGACGACAACAAGGAGAACGCCGTCAAGGCTGGCAAGAGCAAGGAAGCCTTCCTGAGACCAGCTCAGCGGCCATCCAATGGTCTGAAGCCCTCATCGACCACAGCCGGCTTCTCACAGACCGAGTCTCGAGGACACACCGTCATGAAACAGAACGCGGCTAAGAAAGCAACCTTTGTCTATGCCGACGAGCCCCAGCAAAAGCAACAGACCCTCAGTCGCCAATACAGGAGCCAACCCTACCTCAGAGCCGCCGACGCGCCTGTCTTGCGCCGAACACAAAGCAAGCATACCATCCAGGAGGAGAAGCCTCACGATGCCGAGGACGAAAACGACGCAACGCCCTACGAGGACGCGGTGGAAGAGCTCCCTCGACGCGACGCGTACTTCCCTCCGGAGTTACCAGTTTCCGAGCATGTGCAGCCACACATGGCTGCTGACACGAAGTCATCCCAGCATCTCCCTGCGCCAGGTTCCATGCACTCGCTACAAACAGCGCCACCCGTGCCGGAGGCGGAGGAGTACTGGGACGAGGAAGACGATGAGGATCTGTACGATGAGCAAGGATACACGACGGCCCATTCATTCCGGTCGCATGGTGACAACACCACCACCGGCGCAACAACTCTCCTCGTACCAAAAGTGACTTCCCGGATCCAGGAGGAGTTGGAAGAGGCCAAATTCTACGTCGAGGACAATCGCCTGCAGGATGACATTGACGAGGAAGAGTGGGACGTGAGTATGGTTGCAGAGTACGGCGAGGAGATCTTTCAGTACATGCGGGAGCTCGAGGTGGGCCGACCAGAAAACCCTCCGTTTCGTGGTGCCCTTGGACTAACACTGGAGAACAGACAAAGATGCTCCCGAATCCTCATTACATGACCGAGGTCCAGGCTGAGATCCAGTGGTCGATGCGCTCCGTGCTCATGGACTGGCTTGTCCAGGTCCACAACCGGTTCTCTCTGCTCCCCGAGACACTCTTCCTGACCGTGAACTACATTGATCGCTTCCTTTCGAACAAGATGGTGTCTCTCGGTAAGCTCCAGCTGGTTGGTGCCACGGCCATTTTCGTTGCAGCCAAGTACGAGGAGATCAACTGCCCCTCCGTACAAGAGATTGTATTCATGGTTGACGGCGGCTATACCGTGGATGAGATCCTCAAGGCTGAGCGTTTCATGCTGAGCATGCTACAATTCGAGCTGGGCTGGCCGGGCCCCATGAGTTTCCTGCGTCGCATCAGCAAGGCTGATGACTACGACCTGGAGACCCGGACCCTGGCCAAGTACTTCCTCGAGGTGACCATCATGGACGAGCGCTTCATAGGCTGCACGCCCAGCTATCTTTCCGCCGGTGCCCACTGCTTGGCACGCCTGATGCTGAAGAAGGGCGAATGGGTGAGTTCAGATCCAACCTACGGTCAGCGTATCGACGGCCATAAGCTAAACTCCCTCTGGTCACTCGGACACATCCACTACTCAGGCTACACGTGGGCTCAGCTCAAGCCCCTCGTGGCCATGCTGCTCGAGTGCTGCCGGTCTCCACAGAAGCACCACACCGCCGTATACGACAAGTATGCCGACCGCCGATTCAAAAAGGCCTCCACCTTCGTCGAGGAGGAGGTGAACAAGGGATTTGTCCTTCCCTTCAACCACTCAGTCCCACGTCTGTCCTTGTGTGGTGCTTCTCATGAGCCTTCTGCTTCGCTGAGGTTTCCCCTCCCCGACCTCATCCTTGCCGAGTCCTGAAGGGCGACTGAGCCTCCGCGGCTAGGCGCCGACCCGAACGAAACATTGCATTTCCTCTGTATATGCTTAGGAAGCCACATACGCAACCCACATCTCGGTCCAGGTGTGATTTGTTGCTCATCTGGCTACCATCCACCGCAGCAGCCGGAATGGAACGAAAACTTTCTTAATATTTCTTTGGCATAGACGACCTCCCTCACTCGCGAGGAACGATGTGCTATCGCCGATCTTGTCCACTCATGTGCTCGGCAGGGCCAACGGACTGTTTCCTGCGATCAACGTCTCTCTTCACGTCTCCGCGCTTCTGCAAGCTGCCACGTTATGGCTGGTCGATGGGCCGACTGCCAGATTGCCAGCTGCTATGGCTGGTGGCCTCAACGCTTGTTCCCTTTGATACCTCTCACGATACCAATTTACACCACCTGATGACTCGACGATAAAAACGATGACGGCATGCGATTGATTCTTTCCGATGGCACTCTTGCGCGCGTTGCATTCTGCTTTCCAGCTTTTCCTACAATTGTTTAATAGCAGACCAGGCGTGCGACACATCTGCATGGCGTTAGGTTTACGAGGGGTGGTCTAGATATAGGGATGGACAGGAAGGGTAAGGGAAATCTGTGGCCAGGCGTTTTGTCATGGGCCCATGATGGTTGAATGGACCTGGATTATGGGGCATGGCACGGTCATCCCTTATAACTTTGACCTGGAGAGGGCCCCGATGGCTCAGCTGCGGCGACAGCTAGTCAAGGTTGTGAGTGACCAGGAAGGTTGTGTATGAAGCATAGTTGAATTTAGAAGGTGAAAAAGACTGATGTTTTGTTATAGTGTGAGACGAGTGACAATAGGTGTGCCCCCGGGATTCATTGTCCGAGATGGATGCCCCCAATTCCGAGTGCAGTGCATGTATCCTAAGGTTTGACGGGCTTGCTGAGTGTAGATAAGGCACCCAGCAGAATTATGGCAATCTGAAAGTGATTTTAGAGCTGTCTGGTGCTCACTGTCCTCTTGCCTCTTTCCATTGCAAGATTTCGTATCCCTGGAACCGGCTCGAAGCATCACTCCCTATCAGCCGTTTCCGTTTGCCTCGGCAAAGTAGGAATTCTGAGACAGCCGCAAAGCACAAGAGGGACTACCAAGGCGACAACATTCCAAGGCAGATCCTTACAATGTGACGAAGGTAGATGTTGGGGCCCCAATATTGCATGAGCAAACCATGTGGAGTAATCGCAGCCTCACTACGGTCTGACCACTTAGCCATCAGGCGAAAATGACTTGACAAGACAGGATACAATTTCCTATCTCAGTTGCTGACGATCAGTCATGCTGAACCTGGGGCTGACCCGCCCGGACAGGCGGGATGCTTGGCAGATCCGGAACAGAGATCTCAACGCCCCAAGCGCACCAGTCCGAGCCCAGGAGACGCTGAACAAAGACCCACTAGGAGGACTGACAGGGCCCGAGTTCTGCCGGCCTGGGGACTTGCCTCGAATATTGTATGTGATTTACTATCAATCTGCTATGTGTCCATCTCATACTATCCAGCCATAAGCGATGAAAGGAGGCTTTGATGACAGTGCATGAGGGATGGATGACACATCAAGGAAATAGGGCACACTATCGGCTGAGCAAATATTAGACGAACTGTTTGCTTGCAGTCCTTGTGTCGTCTTTTCTGTTCCATTGACTGGAATGTTCTGAAAAGCTGGCAGCACAGCTCATGGTCATATTCCAAGGTTGACTGCCGCCCTGAGGGATATTTAAGCTTTCCCCACCCAGTCTGTCGGGAGAGTCCGGCGTTAGCGAGAGAAGGTCCCTTGGGACGATGATCCTTGGGTCATGAGTGCTTTGTCTGGCTCTTGATTGTGCGACGGCGGCAGCAGGCGGGTGACAAAATAAGCGAAACGCTGGCACTAGAGCAAGGGGGACATGGTCCGTGCATGAAGGATTTCCTGGAGAGGGCGGAGGGCAAAGTACTCCGGACCCCATGCCCATTGATCTGGGGGAGCGAGGCTCCCGGCCGGCGTGCTGAGCAGGGTCCTGGCCAGGCTACTACTGTAGCCCAATTCCCCGAACTACTCCGTGCCCGCCGAGGATCGCTCTGCTTTTTGAAAATTTCCAAGCAGCCTTTGACCACCCGCTCGTTGCAACCGACACGTCGCCAATCATTCACATTGTGTCGCACAAGTCATTCTCAACCTAATTCACGGTCGCAAGTACTCAGGCATCCCTAGAATACCACTTTTTGTCTTGCACCCAGCTTTCTCTAGCCTATTGTGCACCTGTCCTGTCCGCTGCGACCAGTGCGAAAGAGGCCAAATTATCGCCAACCGAGAAAAGAGTGGACTCCGAGCGGACCGCCCGCCCCTTTGACGCGCTTGAGTCAACCACATAGGCTCTTCGTTCTGACCATCCTCCAGCATCGGAGCGAACGCCTATCACGAAACGTCCCAGACCTCCTCATGTGCTTGCGATAACCTGGCTCCCACCTCCAACCAGCCTTCTTTTGTTTTGAGCCCACTCTCTACCCAACCCCCCCCCCCCCCTCTGAACCACATACACCTTCCTTGTCCCTGAGATAGCGCCAACCACTTGCACAATGCCCAAGGCAGTCGCTGTGAAGGAGGCTGTCAAGGAGACCCTCATAGGCTCGGAGGAGCCTGTGCAGGTGTCTGCCCAGACAAAGGCTCGCTTCAATTCCAATGCCGTCAAGGACCCCGGGTCCGGAGAGCTGTACATGGGCCCGGACGAGTTCATCAATGCCGTTGCCCCTTCAGACGAAGACTATGTAAGTCAATGCCCATTGACTATTGACTCAGCTCCAACTCCAACACCATGATGCAAGTAGGCTGACAAGTTAACCTGAAAAACAGCACAAGATTAAGCGAGACCAGTATGGCCTCCTCTTCCAGGTCGCAGACCGCCAGAGCAAGGGCCGTATTACAATGCCGGACTGGGCCTACTTCGAAAACCTCCTGAACAAGCCCGACGCCGAATACGAAATCGCTTTTCGACTTTTTGATGTCGAACGCCTTGGTACTGTGAAATACGAGGACTTCCGCCGCCTATATGAGCTGAACAAGGGACCTGACAGCATCCGATTTGACTGGGACTGCGAATGGGCCAAGCTGTATATCGGCAGCACCAAGAAGAGGCATGCCATGGACTATGAGCAGTTCTCTCAGATGCTTCGTGGTCTGCAAGGCGAGAGGATCCGACAAGCATTCTTGCTCTTCGATAAGGACGGCGACGGGTTCATCGAGCCCGAGGACTTCGAGCGCATCATCCTCGAGACTTCCAGACACAAGCTCTCCGACCACATTCTCCAGCACCTCAGCACCCTGTGCAACATCTCCAAGGGCAGCAAGATCTCGTACGCCAACGTGCGTGCTTTCCAGAACATGATTAAAGAGGTGGATCTGGTAGAGCTCATTGTCCGTCGCGCATGTGCCAAGAGCAGCGATGGCAGAATCACCCGTACCGAGTTTCTGAACCAGGCCGCCAAGGTCACTCGCTTCTCCCTCTTCACGCCCATGGAGGCCGACATCCTGTTCCACTTTGCCAGCATTGACGAGCCGTCCGGCCGCCTGACCCTGAAAGACTTCGCCAAAGTGCTGGACCCATCGTGGAGGAGCCCAGCTTACGATGACCAGTCCGGTTCGGGCGCGGCATCCCAGGCAAAGTCCGCTGGTGCAGCTTTCCTCAGCAAGGTCCTGGAGTCTGGGTATAATTTCGCGCTTGGCAGTCTGGCTGGCGCGTTCGGCGCGTTCATGGTCTACCCCATCGACCTCGTGAAGACTAGGATGCAAAACCAGAGGAGCGCCGCCGTGGGGCAGCAGTTGTACAACAACTCGCTTGACTGCTTCCGCAAGGTTGTCCGCAACGAAGGTGTCCTCGGTCTATATTCCGGCGTCTTGCCCCAGCTCGTGGGGGTGGCCCCGGAGAAGGCCATCAAGTTGACCGTCAATGATCTCGTGCGGGGCTTTTTCACGGACAAGAAGACAGGCACAATCCATCCACTAGCTGATCCTGGCCGGTGGAAGCGCTGGTGGTTGTCAAGTGGTTAGTATCCCCCACGTGAAACAAACATGGAGTCGGTCGGACAAGGCATGCTAACCTATATTGTGCCAACAGGTCTTCACCAACCCCCTCGAGATTGTCAAGATTCGGTTGCAAGTACAAGGCGAAGCCGTCAAGTCAGGCGCTGAAACCGCTCCCAAGCGATCGGCGATGTGGATTGTCCGTAACCTCGGTCTCGCTGGCCTCTACAAGGGAGCCTCCGCCTGCTTGCTGCGTGATGTGCCCTTCTCCGCAATCTACTTCCCGACATACAGCCATCTCAAGAAGGATTTGTTCGGAGAGTCGCCGACCAAGAAGCTGGGCATCGTCCAGCTTCTGACAGCGGGTGCCATCGCCGGTATGCCTGCGGCCTATCTCACCACCCCCGCCGACGTGATCAAGACTCGTCTCCAGGTGGAAGCCCGCAAGGGTGACACCACCTACAACGGCCTCACTCACGCCGCCAAGACCATCATGAAGGAGGAGGGCTTCAAGGCGTTCTTCAAGGGTGGCCCAGCCCGTATCCTGCGGTCCTCACCACAGTTCGGCTTCACCCTCGCCGCCTATGAGGTTCTTCAGCGGGCGATCCCGTTCCCAGGCAGCGCAAAGAGTCCGAGCGGCGCCGGTGTGTCGGAGGCGATGGCGACGCTCAAGGACAAGATCGACACAAGCCCATTTGCGAGGAGCAGGAACTCGCTCAAGATCATTCTGGATCTGGACGAGGACTTTGGACGTGCAAAGCTGCCGGATGCGAAGGGATGGAAGAACCTCCCCTCTTTTATTCAGGGCAGCAGCCCCAAGGCATAAGGCGGCTGGAGCCTGAGAAATCAGACGATTCTTTGCAGTCAGGCCACCAGGTTCTGGGCCGGATGTCACCCTTCCACATACAACCCCTCCAACAATCAACCCACCCACCTACTGGCTGAATGCGGGCTTCTCCACATCGGGGGGGGGGGGAGCCGGGGTCACACAACATGGACCCAAGCAAGCAACACCATTCACCAGACTTGTTCCCCATGCTTGCCTCCGCCCTTGACCAGCAAATTGGCAACAGAGGGGGACGAAATGTTCCATGACCACATCAACGAGCATATGCATGCATGCTTAGGCAGGCACCCACGGCGTTTTCAGGGAGATCAAGGAAGTTTTTATTACCATCATTATTATCCTGCTTTACACCATATTCTTAGAGTTCTATGCCCCTTTCACTTTTGATTTTCATATCTCTTCTGTCTGCAGATGTTTCAACATTTTCCCTCCGCACCTACCTATGGATAAGGCAGGTTGTCTTCAGATTTTGTACCACACTCCTGCCATGCTCGAAGAGCCCTGGATGAAGCACACTCTTCTTCAGGGCTATACCCCCAACTCAGCACAGCTGGCATTTTGCCTGCCGAGAGAGGCAATATTGTGCGCGCGTTCATGTGTTCACATGCAAAGAAAGAGAGAAAAAGAAGACAAAGAAGAAGTCGCTAGAGGACTTGCATAGACCTCAGTTGGCCTGAAGATAGATGGCTTCTGCATCATCATAGACGGCATGTCAGATTAGACTAGAGGGTTGAGATCTGCCTTTATTTCCCCGAGGGCGGTCCATTTTGTGTCTCATTGGCACGCCCTTCCCTAGGTCATGTATTCACACAATCAGGAAATAGGTGTCTGGATAGAGTTTGTTTGGAGATGGATGAGCTCGGGAGCTCTTGTCTGGCTAGTTCGGGCCCACACATTGAATGACAGCAGATGATGACTATTGAACCATGACAGTTTGAGTGATTTGCTGGCCCTAGTTGTACTACTGTAAATCCTCGACACTGGGCAATGCCTATATCCCGCCAGATGGTCTTGTTACAATGCGAAGCACAAGTGCACACCTCCAAGCAATACAGTGCAACCGGACCAAGGAGATACCCCTGGGAATTGCACTCTTGATTTCTCCTATGAACAATAGTGATGCTTCTCGCTTTGGACACAAGCCAGTTCCTCAACCACATCAGACCAGACACAGCCCCATGGTTTCTAGGCTTTGGGATAGCAAAGAGTTCACTTCTGTTATTCAGGTTGGTCTTTTTGCCCCCCAAGTTTCTTCACAGTCCCAGGGGGGCCATGATTCTTCTCTTCAAGATAAAGGGAAACATGAATTGAAGAAGCCTGATTGAATGGAAACGGGTTGTAGAGATAGAAAGCCATGCTTCAAAAACTGTGGCTCATTTGATTTTGCTGCTTTCTGGGACCTGCAATTTTCAGATTCAACATATTGCATGCAAGAGGTAGTGGCTTGGAGTTGAGAATGGCAAGATGAAACAGCACATGTCCATTTGGGAGATGGGAACCATCCCACATGCTTGGACTACAAATTGGCCGCCCTTGTAGTGGGCTTGGTTAATGCACCCAGGGTCTCTCCCCAAGTGTTGATTCAATCCAGGGTCCGATAAGATAAGCTCTGATCGTCAGGTGGGGCCGTCGCCTGAGCGCCAGTGCCATTTCTGAGGTCACAGGAGCTCTCAACATCGGCAGTGGCAGTAGCACGCAATCTGAGACGCCAATGCTGTGCAAGAGGCCGGCTAGATTTAGACTATGAAGACCTTGTTCAACGTTTTCCTACTTCACCATTGCCAAAAAAGCTACTCTCCCCAAACGGATGGAGTATAAGTGAATAAAGACCGGCAACAATGGCTGTTGGGTTCTTTGATGTCCTCTCGGGCCTATTCGGCTGGGTTTACACGCTGTGCTGGTCGCTGTCCTTCTACCCACAGCCGCTGCTCAACTTCAGTCGGAAGTCTACGTCCGGCACCACCGTCGACTTCCCGCTCATCAACTGCCTGGGTATTTTGGCCCCTTTTGCCGACCCCCAAGCATTGTCCTTGCTTTTCCGAGTACACACGTAGCTGACCGTTTGCGCACCGGCCCAGGTTTCCTGTCCTACCTCATCTCCAACCTCGCCTTCTACTACAGCCCCGTAGTACGCGAGCAGTACGCGGCACGGCACGATGGCCACACGCCAGCCGTGGCCTTCAACGACATCGTCTTCGCGGCGCACGCGCTGCTCCTCTCGGTGATCACGACGTCGCAGTACTTCCTCCCGGGAACGTGGGGGTTCACGCCGTCGGCGGGCAACCGGCCGAGCCGGTTCATCACGGGCACGGCGCTGGGTTGCACGGCCGGGGTGTTGGCGGTGGTGGTCCTGATCGCGGGGGTGTCGGAGTCGCCGAGCGGCTCGGTCGGGGCGGCGACGTCGTGGTGCTGGCTGGACGCCGTGTACGCGGTGGGCTACGTGAAGCTGTGGATCACGCTCATCAAGTACACGCCTCAGGTGGTCGCCAACTTCCGCAACAAGAGCACGGTCGGCTGGAGCATCTGGCAGATCCTGCTGGACTTCTCGGGTGGCGTGCTGAGCATCGCGCAGCTCGTCATCGACAGCTCGCTGCAGGGCGACTGGAGCGGCGTCACCGGGAACCCCGTCAAGTTCGCCCTCGGCAACGTCTCCATGGTGTACGACCTCGTCTTCTTCGCGCAGCACTACGTCCTGTACCGCGGCAACGACGGCGGAAAGCACGGCGAGAGGGAGGCCCTGCTGGAGAATGGGGAGACGCACGGGCGGATAGATTGAGGGCCTCTTGCTTTGGCAGGTTGGCGGATCTAGTGGTTTTCTGAGTGTTGCACTCACTGTTGGATGTTTGTCTTGATATGTTGAAGTCGCTGTGGAATTATACCCAATGCCCATTACGATAGACTGGTTAGATGGATCTCCGATTACGATGCAGGGACATATAGCCTGAATACTGTCCCCCGCCATTGTCCAAGAACTCGCCCAAGATATGTACAATGATACCAATGTACGAACCATTTGAGTGATCATCTACACACGTGTCTAATTCACATTGCAGCAAGGGAGAATGATGCCCCTTCAGGTACCATCTTACCCTGTCTTGATCTTTGGCTTGGCCTCTCCTCTTGCCGCCCCAAAGCCCAGCAAGAACGCCACCCTCGCCGCGGCAAAGCCACACGTGGATACCATGACCACCCACTCCTCAAACCTCCAGCCCGCCGGGTCCAGCAGCACGCCCCAGCCCAGTGTGTTGCCGGCCGCGTTGATGTGCAGCAGGTCGCACAGCAGCATGCCGCATATCATGGCGGTCCAGACGCGGACGTTATCATCACCAACGACGCGCAGTACCACGGCCTGGTTGAAGGCGAAGAGAAAGTAGGTGGCGGCCAGTTGGTCCAGCACAACCTGCAGGCTCGGATGGTAGTGGGCCGGGGCTGCCGGATTCACCAGGTAAAGGTACTTGAGCGGAGCGCGGCCGGCCAGCAAGGCGCTGTAGAGGGCGGCGACTGGCTCCGCGTAGAGGAAGAGGAGGCGGTGGGCAGCTGCAATGCCGGGCTGGGCCATGGTTTTCGTCTTGGTTTGCCCTAATGACCGTGTTTGATTTGTGGCCTCGGCTTCTCTCGGGCGGCTTGGATGTAGGTGATTTGATGTTGCTGCTGTGCATATTATCCTCTCGCTCGCTTTCTTCCAACCGGCGTGTTCTCTTCCCGGGACAGTTATTTATGTGTCCCCCCTCGATTAGCTTTGTCTCCCGCATCAAGTATCGTCACATTGGGCCGCCTCAGAGCCGACATCAATTCTGGCAAAATAAACTTCGAGTCCGGGAAGTCTACCCCAGACTCTCTCAACGGACTCTTTCACTCATTCATGCAGTCAGATAAATAAGATTTGCGGAACGTCCGCCATGCGTCTGAAATCGAGTTGGACGAGCCAGTGACAGGGAAAAGCCAACCCATCTCGTTGGCAACTGACAGTCTTGCTGGTCTATAGATAGCCATTGTCAGCAAACAGACGTCGGGCAAAAATGGCTAACAAGCAGGCAGTGGACGTCTCTTACTCTGCGCTCGCTCACTTCCTCACTCATGCACTCAGCCTGCCCGGCAGCAGTCGCTTGGTCGGGACCGGATCGACGTTGCATTCCGCACGATGTGGGCCCCGGGATGTTTCTCACCCCTGCGCTGCCCAGCCATCACCATCGCCATTGCCATCGGCTTCGGCGTCGCTCGCTCGCTGAGCAGTGCTCCTCTTTTTCCCCTCCCACGGTCAGATCCGGCAAGACCAGATCAGATCTTGACGGGACTACAGCACCAAGAATGATAACTGTGGGCTCCAGTCGAAGCACAAGCGCACCAAAGCTGGCTGGACTCGGGGGTGAATGAAACGAGGCGGACACAAGCCACTCGATCCTTGAGCCATGCGAATCTCGGGGTCGGTAGAATGGTAGCGACCCTCTTGCTTTGTTCCGTACCACTCGTTCTCGCCCACCCTCCGGCCTTTTACTGTGTGTGTGTAGTCAAGTCACCGGCTTATGTGACTTGTTGACGCTTCCTGGCTGATGATACATCATTCGTGCTGTCACCCATTCATGGTTTTAGGCTGCGGGCCAGCTCCCCCGGCCATCCAGATCAACCAATCTCGCCTCAAGCACACCTAATTAACGCAGCCCGGGTGGAGCCTCGAAACGGGATGGTACAGTAAATCAGTGTGATAAACCTAGTACGTACGTGGATACCATGTGAATAGAGGCCGACTCAAACTCTTCGATTTCCCCATTCATGATAGTGCATGATGGATGAATTCGATCCGCCCGTTTCTTGCCAGCGAGTTTGTCCGCGAGGGAAAAGGCAATTCGACAGTTGCACGTTACATTTTGCGCACAGGCACGGGCTCAGCACGGGCTCGGGCAGGCATCGATGCCATGCGGGCTCGTCTCCCGGCTGGAAAATATAGATCTAGCTTCCACGTACAGTATCATCCTCGTGTCGAGCGGCGGAGTTCACGCCATGTCGCCCTGCACGTCAGGGTGGTGTCCGCGTCACGATTGCGCGCGCACACATACGCACACGCACAGCCATAGTAATACAGCAGATGAGCAGACGAGTACAGCATGTACTTGCAGCCCAAGCCGCCATGCGCACCTCTCATGCAGGAACAATGCCCCTGGCTCCTTCCCTCCCCGTTGCTCCCCGGCCGTCCTTGGCGCCCACACCACCCGTGCACCTTCTCCTTCCTCCAGGACAGCCTGGGCGGCTGGGCAGGCAGGGCTGTCCCGACCCCCCGATCATGGGAAACATCGGGTCCGCATGTTCGGGAGGCCCAACCGGTCAATCTCATATCCCTGGACGTTACTTCGCGTGGCCCCTCTTTGCGTCTTGTCTTTTTGCGCTGACGGGCCTGATCGGCTATCTTCTGCATCCATGCTCCAGTCGAGAAAATCCCCCCCACCCCCAGACGTCGTCCAGGGCCCAGCCAGTGACAACATGTCGATGTGATACTGTAGCCCTTCACTTTTACCTGGAATCACAAGCTGATCACACCCTGCCTTGTCACCCAAGACCCACCCAACGAGAAGCACGTCACGGCAGAAAGGAAGAGAACCTCAAACCTCGGTAGCATCTCGGGTCGTCGCTCTGGCAGCGTTGGTCGAGCATTCTATGCGGACGTTGTTGGTTCGACTCGTATCCCCTGGGCTCGCAGGATCAACCCCCATTCCTACGCAGCAACCCCTACTAGCAAAGCTTGCTGCGTTAGGCTTGACCCAATCGCCGGCTCTACCAGTTGCTCAGCCCATCATGTCCACCAGAAGAGGCTCACAGGACGAACTTGGCCGGGCCTGGGATGTCGCCTTCGCACAGACGAGGACTTCGCGGAGGGCAGGTCGCCCCACAAGCGACTACCCCCAAGGCGATGGTGTGCATCCTGCCCGGGACTACCGTGGGCGGGCACGCGATGCGTCCCACTCCGTCGCGCGAAGCATCGCGTCATGCAGTCAGCTAGACGGAACCAGGTCTTACTTGCATACTGTAGCAGAAAAGTTCCTGCAGAAAATCCATGCAGTTGCTGCGTCTGCGCCGTCTGCGACTTGGTGGATCGATGTGGCACCCGAAACTCCCAACAACACCAGCTTCATAACCTCATTCGGTGCTTCGCCCCGTGCCTGCAGCTGCTGGTACATATGTGAGCCCCAATGGACCGCAGATGGCCAATATCCAGCCAGCACTGCGTCCCCATCGTACGTTGTCTTTTTAATCTCGAGCCCGGCGCTGGACTGTCTGTCACCTCTTTGTAAGCACCAACAATATGTTGACTCTGCGAGGTCCAGATATGCCGCCCCTCCGCCCTCGGCCTGACGAGATGGGTCTCGACCACAAGTCTCTGGGCAGTTGGGCATTTGGCATCCTGGGATCTTCTTATTAGCTGCGTCTCGAAGCGGCTCAAGGCGACAGGGAACCTGTATCTTACTGTGTACACACACTTTGCCCTCGTTCCTCCTCCACTCTGGCGCGCCCTCCACCCTTGCCCCTTTTTTCATTTATCCCAACAAGGCAAAACACAACCAAGCTTTCGCCTGCTGGAGGGAGCTTACAAGTCTCGTCTCTCTTGGTGACCCCGGGATGGCAAAGGAACCAGGCCCCGGTCGAAGCAAGGCTGCCCCGGGCTTCCAAAACGTTCCTCGAGCAGCCGCAGCAGGGTAGCATCTCCTGCGTCGAACGCCCTGTCATCCCGCGTGGCAGCTCCTCCGCCAGCCCTGTCTTCCCTGCTCTCCTCCTTCTTGCGGACGGCATGCCGGTTCTATCTCCTCTTCTGATGCATGCACGCGGTAGGGGGATTGCGACGGATATGGTGTGAGAAGTAGTCCTTCCTCGCTGCTGCTACCGCGCCGCCTACCCTACGGATGACCATATTTGATCTGGCCCCTCCCCACGCGATATCACGCCGTGGCATTTGGTCCTTTTTTGTCCTTTTGATCTGATCTCTTCCGGCTTGCTATACTTGGATAACCTGCTTCATACATGTGACATCGATTTTCTGTCCGACTCACATGGTTTAATACGCGACCTCAGGCTCACTCCACTTGGTCGAACTGACGCTGTCGCTCCTATGATCGCAGCCGGCTCTCATGGCCGACAATGCTACTTACCTCGCTGAATACAATGGCGGAGCCCTAGTGGGCACTGCCGTGTCTTTCTTGATTTTGACCTTCTTCTCCGTCGGGTTACGCACATATGTCCGAGGCGTGTTGACAAACAGCTTCATGGCCGACGACTGGCTCATGCTGGCTGCTCAGGTACGGTTCTAGTCACGAGGAGGTATCCGTCACGAGATAGACCACATTGCGGGCTGACCACGATAACAGGTCGTCTTCACCATATCGTGCACGTTTATACTGCTCGGCGTCGACACAGGGCTAGGGAGGCACAACAAGGCAGTTCCGCAGAACCAGGAGATACAAGCACTCAAGGTAAGCGAGCCCTCGGTGGGTGTAAGTGCTCTGGGGCCGCAGACTGACGGTCCCAATCCCCCACACGACAGTGGCAGGCCCTAGCAACAGCGACATATGTCCTCAACATGATGTTCATCAAGCTGTCGATCGGCTTCTTCCTCCTGCGGCTGGCGGTGCAGAAGCGCTATCTGTACACCATCTACGGGACCATGTTCGTTGTCTTGATCTGGTCGCTGGCCTTGTGGTTCTGGGATATATTCCAGTGCAGCCCCGTCCAGGCACAGTGGGACTACACCATCCCGAACCTCAAATGTGTGTCGGCGCAGGAGGTTGTCAATGCGGCCTACGCATTGTCCGTCATGACCATCGTCACGGACTGGCTGTTCGCGCTGCTGCCGATACCGATGATCTGGCACGTCAAGATGAGCCCGCAGGCCAAGGCTACGGTGTTTGTTGTATTGGGGCTGGGGGTTTTGTGAGTTTCTCTGCATTCATGTTGTGCTATCGTTCTAGTATTTGAAGAAGCCAAGACTGACTTGTACCCACTCAGCGCATCCATTGCGACCCTGATCAGGCTTAAGTTTCTCTCCGACCTAACGGACACGTCCGATATTCTGTGTAAGAAGCTGCCCCGGCTCCTCCTATTACCCACGGTTCCAGCTCGAATTCCCCTTGCTGACGAACTACCAGTCGCCGGAACCGACGCGATGGTCTGGACCCTCGTCGAACCGGGCGTGGCGATAGTCGCGTCAAGTCTCGTCACCATCCGACCGCTTCTCCGCAAAATGCGCCTCAAGGGCTTCGAGTCCACGGAGCGGAGCCGTGGCCTGCAGTACACGGGCCAGAGCGGCAGCCTCGGCGCCACAGGGGGTTCCAGAGGGGGAGCCACCACCCGGTCGGGCCAGCGACGGGCGGGCGGGATGCCAGGCTACGGGCGCGGCAGCAGCATCAAGCTCACTGACTTGGAGCCCGGGTTCGGCGGCGGCGGCGGCGGTGGCAAGGGCGGCGGTGGCTACTGGTCTCAGGGGACGACGCTTACCTCCAGGACGTCAACGCACGCGGGCAGGAACGGCTGGGGTGTCGGGGTGGCGGTTACGGTGCGTGAGGACGACGAGGACACCGACAGGATATCGCCTGTAGTTGCGGGCGGCGGGCACGGGCATGGGAGGAGCGGCGTGTCGACGCCCGAAAGCGACGTTTTTGTCATTGAGGGCCCGGCGAGAACACAGCAACCCGGGCAGGCCGCGGGCGCGTGGAGGAGCGAGACGCCCACGAGCGCCGAGGAGTCGGAGCATAGCCAGGGGCTGAGATACCCTGGACACTACGGTGGTGAGTCGACGGCCGCCGTGCCTGCCACCCACCCTCGAAATCCCGTACCGTGGCCGCTTGTTGACTGACTCGCCCGCTCCTGCTTTAGCTGGCCCTCGGAGGGTGTCGCCGCCTGACTTCCCCATACAAAATCCTCGATAGAGCTGGCTTGGCTGGCGCTAATTCGTGTGAATTAAAGGTATCCTAAAAGCGAGCGAAAGGCGCCTGGAGTTTTTTTTAATAGACTGTTGCGCCGAATAAAGTCCTTTTTCCCGGGTCCTATTCGCGTCGCGATTGTGCATCGGATCCTCTGTGAAGGCCGTGACTGCTATCCAACACATCGGTCAACAATGCCATGTCCTTGGGAGGGTGAGTATGCTCTACAGGCAAAGTCAGAGCGGTAGGCAGGCCGGCTTGGGAGAAGGGGAGATGGGCCGTCCCGTATCTGCTCACTTTTCAACCCATCTGACATGACTCCTCTGCCCCTATGTGATAGATGGTGCAGTAGTGCGACCCATGAGTGAAACTATAAGTAGGGCAGCGAAACTGGTTTATATGTCCATTCCAGAAAAGATGTTGATTTTTTCGGGTGAGCTGGGACCCAGACACACTTCGAGATTTTCAGTTGTAATCAATTCTTCTTCCATGCCGTTTTTGTATCTGTTTGGATTCTTCATGTCCCGTCTTCGCTCTTCTGAAGCTGGGACGTGGCACAGTAGTACTTCACTCAAGGAAAGTCTTGTATGAGAGTTTCGGTTACCCATCTTGACGTCTTGAGGTAGTATGTGTATAATTTAACACCGCTGTGCTGAAGTGCCTAGGACTCCCAATTTCATATCGCACGCTAATTGAGACCATGCTATTGTTCTTTAACCGTCCTTGCTGCGTCCTTGCTTGATCCGCCGTAGCGACCAAACACGCCCAGTGACGAATACCATTTACAACAGCAGCATATCAACAAAATCGTTCCTTACGTACGTCTATTTCAAAGGATACAGAGATGAGCGCCCTCTGAGTTGTCTGTGATGACGACGACGCCTTGACCCGTAAACTCCACGCTATGACCACCCCCAGCACCCGATCCATACACTTGGCAGGCTCGTTCTTCGCAACGCGGCGGAACACTCCGGCCCCCTCCCCCAACACATTTGACGCAGCTCGTGGGTGCTTGCATGCGTTGTGAGGCAGCCAACCTCGATGGGAACATGACAACCTTGAAATCATCCGGTGACGCTTTCGATCGCGGTCTATGCTTCAAACGTGCCACGGTCTGCCAACGGGGCACACCGATTACGCCGGGGACCCTCTTTGACTGAGTGTCCCCGTAGGACAGATCGCATCTACAACCCCAGCGACTGCCTTACACTCTCCTTGACCCTCCTGTCGTACTCCTGGCGGTGATCGCGCCACATCTTGGCGGCGTCGACATTGGCGGGGCTCTCGTCGTTTGGCTCGGCGAGCAGGTTCATCACGGACAGCAGAATCTTCTCGACGGACTGGATGGGCGACCAGCGCTCCGAGGCGTGCTCGTAGTGGTTGGGGTCGTCGCCGGCCGGGTGGAGGATGGAGATGCATACCAGGCCGCTTGGGTAGACTTAGGAGGAGCGAGGGTGTCAGCATGTGCGCGTCTTCAAAAAAGACAGGTAGGCAGGCCCGGGTATGGCGAGGGTTTTAACGTGTCCCATACGTACTATTTGGGTGCCATATCTCGCCCAGGAACTTCATCGTTGGCGGGGCCAGCGGGTAGTCGGCCGGGAACTTAAGCTCTGCTGGGAACACGCCGCCCTCGAAGGGTGTCCCTTCTGGCCCTTGTATCATGGCCTCCCAGTGCAGAAGGTCGTCCTCGGAGACGGGCCCGGCGGTGATGCCATCGGGTGGGTTCTTGGTGAGCATGCGGTATTCCTGGAGCAGGCGGCGGTGGGCGGTCGATGACATGGTGGCTTGTTTGAGCGTTGCGCTGGAGCTGCCTTTGTTGTGCGAACGGTCAGTGAAGTGCAGTGCAAAGGTAGCGGAGAGTTTCCGCTGCCGCCCCTAGGAAGAAGAGCTGAGGAAAGAGGTAACGATATAGTCGTGGGTTAAGGTTAAGGGTCAATTGAGGTTGAAGTTGAGTCGAGGTCGCGTGGGGCCGGGTTTAAGTGGACAAGTGATGATGGAGAAGACATGGGTGGCACTGGGCTGCGGGAAGATCGGCAGAAGGAGTGCCTGCGCTAAAGTCCACCCCCCCCCCCACACAACCCAGGACTCCGGATCCAAGCTCTTCTGGAAGCTTTGTCCGCCTGCCAGCCTATTTGCCCCGGGCTCCAGCCCCAGCTCCAGCTCCAGCTCCGGTTCAAGTTCCAACCGACTCCCTCCGTGTGCCAACCCAAGATCCCATACGGCGCGCCATGCCACCACGACTGAGCCTGCGGTCTGTCGCAGGCTGCCGTCCACCCTCATTGCACAGGGTTACCGCGAAGCCAACATCTACTGTTTGTTTATTCTGTTCCCTCGCGGCCCGTCCCAACTCGTCAGCACCTCGAAGGACGCGGCGCAAATCTCTGGCGACGCGTCGGAATCAGTCCATCACCACCGCCAGCCAGACGTCGAACCCGCGAAAAGAGCTCCTGGACGCCCTCCAGGAACTCCAGAAGCATGCGACCAATTACGTAAACCTGTCGCGGGTGCAATTGGCCCTCAACGCGCTGCGCCAGGGCGCAGGCGAAGAAACCGTGAGGATCGCCATCCTGGGACTGACGAATGGATCCGAGTCGGGACAGACCGCCAAGGAGGTATTGCGGCTACTGCTTGCGGACCCGCTGTCGCCGGAGCAGGAATGGGAGAGCGAATTGATAAGCCATGATGCGCGACAACCGCTGATAGTCCGGGTCGGGGCAGACCACGAAGGCGGTGCCAAGGACGCTGAAGGGACGATGACGTACGCGGGAGGCAGTCTATTGAGGGAGATGAACGTCTCCTCTCCCGGTCTTAACGGAAGGAAGCTCGAGATACTGCTTACAGAGACCAACCCGCTCGCCGACCCGACTGGGGGAGCATTCCAGAACTTTGAGGAGACCGCGCTGGTGCCGACGGTGGATATACCTACCTCACACACTGGAAGATATACTCCTGTCACGACACCGGTACACAGAGCTTTGCTCGTCACGGATGGCATACTAGGGGCCGCCTCGCTGGCCAACCTTCCTCTACTCTCGACCAAGGGTGCGGTAACCGCGGCGGTCAACACGCCTGGATTTCAACCCGAAGACCCATCGGCCTTACCGTTCGCCACCATCGACATCACAGCAGCCTCCCAAGGCTTGGATGCCTTGCGCCAGAGCGTAGACAGAGGGTTTGAGTATGAGAGGCTATGGTTCAAGAGCAACATCCCTTCTATCACGACTTGGCTGAAGTCCGGAGTCACGACTACGGGAGAAGGCGTCACGAAAGACGCTGTCCGAGAGTCGATTGCCTCTATCCTCCTGAATACCCATGCCAAAATACAGCAGGAGGAATCCCGCAGGTTGTCCTCGGCGCTCTCGGCCCAGACCTCTGCTGCCGTACCCACGCTAAACGCAGCGCTGGCAGAGTGGGCAGAGAAGTCCCATGCGGAGCTACAAGATCAGCTGGACAAGGCGTTCACAGGCAGGCGGTGGCGCAAGTTGAACTGGTGGAAGCTCTTCTGGCGCGTCGACGACGTCGGCGTGCTGTCATCCGAGATGCTCTCGCAGAGGTTCCTGCCGTGCGCGGAGCGGAACGTCATCTTCCTCGCCGGCAAGATCGAGGGGTCCGGCGTTTTCGGCACCGACGCCCGCAACAAGGCGCCCTATCCGCCACCGACGATAGCATCGACCGCAAGGCCATCCGAGGCGGCGGCGGAACCACCGCAGGAGTTGACGCCTATCAAGGAAAGTCTGCCCGGGACCAGGTGGCCAGCCCACATTACGTTCACTCGCAATTACCTACAGTCTGAGACGGTGCCGGCCTTGCAGGCCCTCGCGCAGAGCCTTGTCTTCCAGTCAGCCGGCTTCTCAACACTGACTACCTCCCTCGGGGCGCTCATGTACCTGTCCACCTTCGGTGCGTCCGAGTCCGGGGCGGTGGCGGCCCTGGGCATCGTGTGGAGCCTGCGCCGCCTGCAGAAGAAGTGGGAGTCGGCAAGGGAGTACTGGCAGAGCGAGGTGAGGGAGGAAGGTCGCAAGGCCGTGAGGGCTGTCGAGATCAGTGTTGCCGAGACTCTCGACAAGGCCGTCAGGGACGGCAGTAAGGCCAACGAGGACGCCCTGCTGGCTGAGCTGAGACAGGCTAGAGAGCTTGTGCAGAGGGCCGAGGAGGCGTTGGCGAGGCTGAAGTAATTATCTCCTGGGTGAGGACGTCACAACTGTATATCTCGTGTGAAATAGAATTATGTGTACATGACCGAGGAGACACTTCATTCTCCTGGCATGCGAAGCGCTCGAGTTTTGAGCATTTAAAGCGCCCGACTTTGGTGATTTCCATGTCAGCGCTGACTGGTATTATGGACGTTGGCTATACGTACGGACGCATTTTCCCGACAAAAGCCTTTTGAAATCCCCCATGATTGCTCCCCCTCTCTGCCCGTGTAAGCGCCCGCCGCCCAGTCTCAAACGTCTAAGCCATTCGTTGATCCAACGCCGTCGAAATGCTCTCGATGTCTTCTCCCTGACCAGGAGACCTCTGTTTAGCGAGTTTTCGCATCGGTCGTGAATCTTTCGTCGTCCAAATCGGCCCCGTTGCCCCACGCGCTTCCCGCCCCATCCTGGCCAATTTTCAAGCTCGGAGCGCCGTTCTCGTGTTGGACGCCCGGGGCTGGTTTCGCCTCTCGTCGCCTCCACACCACCTCGAGTGGTGAATCGAAATCAGCCGTCTTCTACCTCCCGCCACGGCCGCTCGCCCTGGCCCTGCTGACCGTCGCACGGCCTCTCGCCAGACCGACACCGCGGCCGCGGGCGTTGCGGCTCTTGAACATGGGCGCATTCCTAGAGAGGCGGGCAGATACGTTAGTTACGGGGGTCCCTTCTTGTCGCTGTCGCCCTCGTCCAGGGCTGTTGCTAGGGGTGGGTTGAGGGTTTGGGCATACCGCAGCATGTCTGGCACGATGAAGAAGCGCACGTGGCTGCCGCGGATGTAGACCTGTTCCAGGTGGCTGACACGGCCGTCGCGCGCCGTCACGGTGATGTCCTTGAGCTGGATGTTCATGTTGTCCTCGGCTATCAGTGGGCACGGTGTGCTTGTTAGCATGGCTGCGCTATGAAGAGGGGGACGAGGATGAGGGCAGGGGAGGGGGTGGGAGCCTACCTTCGATCAGCTTGCCGCGGTAGGTGGTGCCGGAGTCGAGCTCCAGGGTGATGATATGACCCTGGGCCTCGTTGAGGAGCTTGATTGGGATTCCGATCGTGGACGTCATGGTTGGGGCCTGTCTTTTTGTTCCGCGGGGCTGAGAGAGAGGTCGTGCAGGCTGTCGGTGGTGGGACTCGAATTCGGGGTGGGAGCTTGCCGCGTCGCAAAGCTTGGGAGGGCGCCCTCGCAACCTGACGGAGCCGGAGGTTGAGATGCGATGGCTTGCAAGCAGAGACCGGGGCGCCTGGGGATCCCGGCGCTGCAGGATTTTCCGGGCCGAGAGGCGCTAAAGTGGCTGTCACTGTGACGCCCCTGGCCTTCTTCCCTTCTATCTTTACACCTGCCTCTCGATACCCGCGGGCGGATTCTCGTAGCAGTCTATTGTAATGTCATTGTAATCTGAGATATCATTGAACATATACACGCATATCCTTTTGTGTTGCCTACGCAATCCTGCATTTTGGTCAATGCCCATGTGAAGCCGAAATCTTGCCTGTGTCAACACTGCCTCTCGCCGTCCGCATGCCCCTTTTAAAAAAAGAAAGGGGGAGAAACGACATTGGAGCCTTTTCCATGTGTCAATTGATTGCCTTTGCACTTGCCTTATTGACGGCTTCCTGCCGTGGTTTGGTGCAGGCTCGTTGGTCTCGTATTGCTGTGGATGGCATCCAGGCAACAGCATTCGGAGCCTCATGATGGGATACGGACTGACCGGTACCTGCGATGCGTGGGGCTGTGGGCTTAGCCTTTGGACTCTTTGGGCACATCGAGTATGAGCTTCGGATGATCTTGCATGTCCTCGAGCCACGAAGGCTCTCGGTCCAGTTACCGAGATCGCTTGGGTTCCACGACCTCCCTGAGCCTCGACGGACACCTTCTCCGCACCTGTCAACGTTGAGAATCCACAGAAGGATCCGCGACCCTCAGGACATCAATCCGTCAGAAAGCTAAGCAGTGTGTCTAATATGACGCTGTCTTAATGATGTCTCGAAGATGTGAGGGTGTTATGTCGATGCGCGTTTTTGTATAAATACGCGCTGCCCAGGCTTCTGTCTAGTCTTGTCTAGAGAATCATCAGCACGCTCACTCCCATATCCTCAACAGTCAGAACAGACCATCCACTAGTATTCATACTCGTCTCAAAATGCAGTTCACCAGCGTCTTCTCCTTCGCCACCTCCCTGGCCCTCGCCAGCGCTGGGATCGTCCAGAACCGTCAGTTCGACGGCGCCGTGGCCGTGGTCCACGTCTTCGACTACAACACCACAAACTGCGCCGGAGACGAGTCAACTGTCGACATTGGCATTGGGCCCAAGGCTTTGGATCTATGCATCCCCTTTTCTGAGGGGTACTGGACTGTCTCCTACTCGTACCTTGAGTCCCCAGAGTATTCCAGTAAGTTGGACGGACACGCTGAAACCTGACTTCGACAACGAGGAGGAATGAATGGCCGACTAACAACACCTTTTCCTCACCCCCAAGTTGCTTTCTATACCACCGACGATTGTACCTACTCGCCGGAAAAGGGCGACGACTTCGCACAGTCGAACAGCCCCGGCCCCTGCGATACTAGCCTTAACGGCAGGCCATGGCAGTCTTACAGGGTCTCCTCGCCCAAGAACTAGGGGACGAGGTCTTCTCGACCTGATGACGCCAAGTGGATTCCTGCGACACTGTACCAGGCCGAAATCGCTGGGATCTGGGAATTAGGGAGGCCAAACCATCTCGTGAGCCGTGCTTGATGGGCAGTATATGGTGGGAAGTGTGCATATTACCTCACCGTTGCACAGGGGGAGTCGGGTATTATTAGTAGATAGAGCAATACGTTTCTCTAATTTGCAACAATTCACCGCAGCATTGACGTCTTGTCACTCAATATGGAACAGACCCTGACAGCCGGAAAGGATATGTGACAGACCTTTTGTTCAGAAGAGCGTCCCAGAAAGGATATTGTACAAATCTAGACCTCGAGGGCCGACGCTGCCTTGCCCCTGGCCCGATGACCAACCCAGCCACATGGCAAATCTATCTTCAAAACGCTTCCCACATCCACGAGTCTAATCGGAAAACAATCATACAGAATCCACCCAGCCATCCTGGCCACTCCACCGCGAAGTACGCGCCCCTTTTTTATTTTTCTCCCAGCCCCTCCCCCTTCGCAACCCATCACTCGTTACACATCTACCACAACCATGCAGGACTCAAATGCCCCGGAATCTGTGCACTCGCCGGCCTGGAGTACCGTCGCGGGCGCGTCGCTGCTGACCACGCAGTCTTCAGTCTGGAAGACGACGGCGTAGTGCCAGGCCTTGTCGGCGGAGAGATAGCAGTACTCGTACTCGGAGGTCAGGTTCGTGCATGAGGACCCCGTGAAGTTGGCCCCCGACGTTATGGCGGTGCCGTCGCTGCATGAGTCGCCGCAGTAGAGGGTCCAGGTGTTTGCCGCGGCGCTCGAGGCCAGGGCCAGGAGGGTGGTTGCTGTGGTTGTGATGGACTTCATTTTTTCTTTCTTTCTTGAGGGTGGCTTTGGGGTTGTTGTTATTGTTGCCGTGATATTGTGGTCTTGAGAAGTGAGTGAATGAGTGACTGTTGTGTGTCGGACGGGGATTTGTTTTGATGAGGCGGGCTGCGTTTCTATGCCTGGCCGCGATAATGAGAGGAGGTTGTATTGAATGGAAGATGCTGGATGAGTGTGATGGAGAGGTGTTAGTTTGTGTATCTTTATATCTCTGGCTGAGGCTGAAGCTGATAGGGAGGCCCGCGAAGACTATTCTATATCCGTAGATGCTCCCCGAGGGACCCTAGTACGCGGAGAATTCATTTCCTTCTACTTGGTCTTTCTGGCACGCTACCGACTGGTATTCTACTAGGATGTACGTATGCCAGTGTACCATTTTAGCTACAAGATATCCTCACGAATAACGTCCTCAGCACTCTAGCATCGCCTCCTATGCGCTTAATGGGGAGCACGCGTCAAAGACAGCCTGCCAGGCTGAGTGCTGCGGAATCATCATGACTACGCAGAACGCGGCACTGGGGCCGATGTGGCGTCTAACTCCCAAGACTGTCAAGATTCGGCGTTAGCGAGCGCTGCGCTCCCCGGTCTGTCTGGGATGCCACGTCTTCCATGGCCGAGGTGCTCGCTGGTGGGGGCCCGGTCTGCGCAGGCATGGAGAGATCGATCTTGGTGGTCCACCCACCGATCCGATACCCCGACGGCGAGGGCGCCGGAAGCTTGCGGATTGACGTACTGACTCAATTTCCCGGGTGACAAGTTGTGGCAGGCTTGGATGGCATCTTGGTGAGTGACATGAGGCATGGCCAACATCCATTGGCAGCAGCCCGGGAGTGCACACCCTTGCTCTAATTAATCCATCGGAATTCCCAGGCTTCTGAAATGATGAGTATTCTGTGCAAACCCAAATACATACAGATCTGGTCCAGGCCCAGATCTGTCATGGGCACGGCAAGGACGTGCTTGCGAGTTCTCACCTGTGGACGTCACCGTCGAAGCTCAGGGTAGCGCCGTTTGGGGGATGGGGAGCCTGTAAGGCTGAGCCTGACCAATGGTCTTACACTGTTCCACCCGGTCGGGAAGTGGGCGAGGGGGTTCTGAATCCGCCCAGACTGGATTTTCCCGGCGAGAATTGATCAAGGGGTCCAGAGGGACGCCAGCTCTCTAACATGTGACGCGTTGCCTCTCCTTTTCTCGGTGCGGCTAAGGATTTAACCACTGTAGTGGGCGAGGGCGCAGCTGACAGACACCGATGCACCGTCCAGGTCAACATATACTGCAGAAACATCACCAAAAGGACCACTCGCAAAAGCCAAGAGGGTATGTTTAGATTGCCAGCTCCTGCCTGTGCCTTGTTGACTGGTGTGCAGTGCAGCCCCAAGTCATGGCACTTCTCGACAGCTGAATTGGTCCTGCCCTCCAAGTCCAAGTCCAGCTTCAGCATTTACTTCGGCTTCGGCTCTGGTGAACAGCTAGCTGCCTGGGTGGTCGCATCGTGTTCGAATCTGTCCTGGAAAAACCCCACCGAGGCGTGCGTCTGCTTCGGGGGCGGCTGATTCCAGATTCGTGATAACGGCTGCGTGCAAGAACACGAGACTCGAATATGAGACTTATTCGAGTGGTTCTAGTAGCCGTTTTCGATTATTTTTGTCTTGCCCGACAATAATTTCTGTTGTTGCACAAGGTGCACAAGGTCGTTGTCGATGGTGTCGTGGGTAAAGTGGCGGTTGGTTGTCGGTTAGAGAGGCATGTGATGGTCTCCGATTTGTCGGCCCGTGTTCCATTCTATGATTCCGTGATGCGAAGGGTCAGGCTCTCTTATCGCCCTGCTTCGCCTCCCTCTGGATGCAGGCTTGGCATTGGCAGGCTGTGCTCCCAAACGCTGCAGCAGAGGCTGGTAGAAGGATGCAAGGAGGCGGCATCAAGCTTCCCACGCACTGGTAAATTGGGCGACAAGGTGGGCGGTTCAGAGCCTGCTGACTCACTGGAGGGCCAATTGATCCTCTTTTCCTGTCAGGCCTGTTCAGAGCTGCCTAATGTGGGCCATCCTGGGTCGCCAGCCCGAACTGCCATAGGCCCAGCACGGCCAGCACGGCCAGCACGGCCAGCACGGCTACTTCAAGCAACATAGTGACGCTGCCCACCACACCTCATCTGGACAGCCAAGCTTCCATCGCGGATTCCTCAACTCGGCTACAGCATGCCGAGGCTTCACATCAGAAAAAGAAAGAAAGGCTAGACTATTCAAAATGAAAATGGGAGACCACCAAGTCCCACGAGCCCGGTCCCTGGGCTCCGTGCTTTTGATCGTGTGTTATCATCCCTCCTGACCAGTGAATTGTTGACGAGGCCCGACCGGGTCGCGAACAACATGACCGCCATTCGCCCACAACCACCGCCTGGGCAGCAGCGTCGCGAAGAGGCTCTGGCGCAGGCCGAGGCGAACCGAATTCTGCTGTCGCAGTCACGCCTTCCTCTCATACTCGCCGTCTTCTACGTCGCCCTGCTGGTTGTGCCGTGGGTCTTGACCTGCAAGATCGCAGACCAGCCATCGTTCATTGTCCATATCTACGAAAGGGGCTATGAATACTACGTGCAGCACGGATGGGTCATCGCCATCAACGTCCTCAACTCGCTCGCGGCTGTCCTCTCGCTGCCCATCTTGAGCGCCCTGCTGGCCCGCGCCGCTGTTGTCTTCTCGCAGCGCCGTAAGCCAGGCCAGACCCTCAGCGTACGCCAGCTCTTCGCACTTGCTGACCGCGACTGGTACAACTTCTTCAAGGTCCTGTCGCCCGTCGGGTCATCGGCACTCCTCAGGCTTGGCTTCTTGGTGCTTTTCATCGCACTTTCACTGCCGCTTGTCCGACCGGGTCTTGTGGCCTACGACAACGTACTTGTGATGTCCAACTTCCCGGAGCACCATGAAAAAGCGTTGGATTACGGTGCACTAGGTTATACCCCCAGCCCGCTTGCGGCCAAGACAGCATCTGAGCAAGATCAGGACAAAGTGATCACCGAGACACGCAAAAGCCTACGGACAACTGTTGGGGGCATCGAGCCAAATCTGTGGCCAGTGTGCAACGACAAGACGACGTCGGATGGCACTTGCGGTTTCACATATGGCCCGTACGACCTGGGGCAGAGCAGACTCGGCAACTTCTGGGAGTGGCCTAATCAAGCCGCATACGAGCGGAACTACAGCACGAACGGCTCAGCTTTGATGCATGCCTCGACCTTGAGAGCCGGTTCGTCGATAGGATCTTACTACAAGAACGAGTTCGGAGCTTATACCCTCGGCTTGAAGAGCGGCACAAGATGCGAGCCAATTTCTGCTCAAGAAGTTGAGGAACAGTGCCTCCGATCTACAGATACCGGGGCGCTGCCCACTGCGGCGCGGGGCTGGAACACGAATCTGGCCATCGAAGGCGAGGTAGTTGTCGATATATGTTATCCTCCGCTCGAAAGAAGTCCCTGGGAGACTGCCGACGCATTCCCATGGAAGCCAATCAACTTCACCGAACACCTCTACATCGGCCTCTCAGACAACGGATCAACATGGGATTGCCCAAGCTGGTCGGAGGACTGCGGGTATGCAGGAACCGACGACGGGCTTTACCTCCATTGTCAGGCCGACTTTATGATGAGCTTCTTTGAGATAGGGAGCGCTAGGACTAAAGGCGTGCCGACCCGCTTCCTGGACGAGATGCCCTCGGGCTTCGACATTCCTCGCGGCAAAGACTTGAGCAGCAGGTCTGACATCTCGTCAAGAGACAGCCCAACCAGTGATTATATCGGGCCCCTGAAGACGGCAACAATGGCAATGTTCGGGAACGATAGCTGGCTCGACACGTTCAACCTCGTAACTGCGGACTTGGAGCCCCGCCAACGCAACAACGAATGGTGTTCTGACGATGCTCTGTCAAATGCGGCCCCTTGGAAACATTGACGTCTTCGGCAGGGACACTACCGGTGCGTGTACAGGGGCCACATACGGGGACAACGCTTGAGGACTGGTACACGCCTTCAAGACTATTTTCATGGCTCGCCCGGGACTTCTTCCGGTCATTCTCCACCCGCAAGCTAGCAAGGGCAACACTCAACACAGCAACATTCTACGCGAACAACGCCTTGTTAACTCGGATGAAGGACCGTGGCGATTGGCGCGCACAGGATTACAAACGCACTACAGAAGAGAGCGACGAGCTGATGGTTGTACCCGTGCTCAGCACGGCTGCAATCGTCACCGTATCTATCCTCATCGCTCTGCAGGTTGTCTGTATCGTCATCCTCCTCGTCTACATCTACAGCCGCCGTGTTTGGACCCTGACCCTCGATGCCCTGGCAATGGCGCGTGTCGGCGCCCAGCTCTCGGCGCTGGACGTGTTCCTGGTCCCCCGCGAGACGGGGACGCTGGGCACGGCCCGGCTGAACCCACGAGCCGTGAAGCAGCTGGACCAGGTCGACGGCCTGGTCGGCGCGACCGCCCTGACGGGGCATCACGACATCGAGTTGGCGACGATGCCGCCGCCGTATGCGCCGCGGGGCGAGGAGCCGAGTACCCGGGAGGAGCGGAGGGTACACCAGCCCGGCGCAGCGTCGGCGGCGCGGGACGCGGCAGCGCATGACCACCCCGTGCCGTCATACTCGCCACCTGCCGACGAGCACACGGTGCGGGCGGCTGGCGGGGAGGCCGGAATTGCAGGTGGGCGTGATGATGCACACGAGATGGCAATATCTCATGCGGCGTCGTCCGAGTCGCGAGGCGCTGTGCTCCCGGCGGTGATCTCGCTCGAGGCCATTGCAGTTGGGGGTCGAGGGCTCATCACGAGGCGGATGTGGCGAGCGGCTGATAAACCCCTACCGGCACGACCTGCAGAACAATGAGTTTCATCCGGGCGATTGTTCTGGAGCGGGAATATGGACCGGACACCACCTCCAGGCAATGTTTATGTGAATTCAGCGTAACGATTGATAGATGATACCCAGGGTTTCCATAGAATAAGAAATGTCAAGGATTTAGTCAAGTCACCATGACAAGATGCATGAGGTGTGCGAGATCTTCAAGGTTACTGAAACCGTCAAGCTGTGTTCGTCGTCTCTAAAGAAGGAGGGCATCATCAGAGATTGACATGCCTATGGCCACAGCCTCCATCACCAGCAGCCAGGCCAAGGAACTGCTCACTAGACATCATGGCCCCATACAAGACGGCCTCCCTTGAAACCCCTCGACCCAACAGAGCCATCAGATCCAAACCGCCGGGCGCTCAGAATTATGCAAGCTCTTACTCCTCGCGGCGTCCCTCACAGGCAGCGGTGGAGGCGGCGATGGCGGCCTCGCAGAGTTCGCCTCACCACCACCACCGCCGCCATCATCAAAACCACCACCAGACAGAGAGGACCCCGAGACCCTATTCGACCTCGCAGCACCATCATCACCACCAATACGACCCTGCCCGCCGGCCCTCGTGTGCCGGCGGCGCGGCGGCGGCCGGTGGGGCGGCGGCATGCTCAGGGCCGTGCGGGGCGCCGAGCTGTCGCGCGTCGAGGGCCGCCTTGTGCTCGACCGCGAGGACGGGCTGTCGAAGAAGAGGAAGCCGCTGAAGTCCGTGTTCTCGGCCGGGGCCGGGGCCGGGAGCCCAGGAGGCCTGGGCGAGGGGGAGGGGGAGGGAGAGGGAGAGGAGCAGGGGGATACGTCGCCACCCGGGTGGCGGACGTCCTCGTCATCCTCGTCGTCGTGGTCAAAATGTGTGCTGGTGAGGAGAGGGTGGTGGCGCAGGTGCGGCGGGATGTCGACGGCGGGGTGGCCGGGTGGCGAGGGGATGTCAGCCTTCTCCGAGGTCCAGCGGCTCAGGTGCGGCAGGATGAGGTTCATGGGCGATATCGTGTCGACAATGATGGGCTCCGACCGGAGGGTCCTTGGTAGGGCGACACCTTGTAATGGCAGGGTCGCAGGGCTCTCTGTTGAGTGCTTCCGCTCCTCAGTGGTGTTACCTGTTCCGCCCGTAGCTTCATTGGATCGCTGCTGGGCTGGTTCTTTTTCTCTGTCGGCCTGGTCTCCCTGGATCCCGCGTCGCCTGCGCCAAGTTATGTAGAAGCTGATCATCAGGAGCACGGCTAAACCACCCAGAACACTGCCTATGATTATTCCAGTCGTTCGAGCTGACTCAATGTGGACTGGGAATGCTGTTGCAGTGTGCGTTGGTAGCGACTCTGAGGTAGCATAGGAATAAGATGTGAGAATGTTGCTCCCGGTGCTCGCATGGTCCATGGAGAAGGGCACTGCGGTTGTTTCTGTCAACCGCTGAGAAGATGTAACTTCGCTGTCCAGGGGACTCGAGGGGGGCGAGGTACCCAGAGCGAATACCACTGGAGAAGATTCGAATCTTGTTCTTGAGGAAGCCCAGCTTGATCCAATTCCCGCCCCAGCTATGGCCGGGACTGGGCCGAGGGTGGGGGCTGGAGCGTGATCTTTGATGGTGATAGCCTCAGAAGCACGGTTGAAGCTCACTGTGTCGCTCACGGACGTTGTCTCGGACAACTTGTCCTCCCGAACTTGGCGTCCGACATGCTTAGGGCCACCGGCGGGATTGGAAACGGTCGAGGCCGAGAGAGGGGACTCTGCAAGAGGGGAGTAGGGTGCGACATTCGTGTACCGATGATACATCGCCATTTTCCTGCCAAGATGCTATCAAGAAGTAAATCAAGCAAAGCAGAAATCTATCTGGCTCGTGGAGACACAACATCGGAGAATCAATGACTTGGCCACGAATCTTTGGTGAAGAGAAGGAAGCAGAAAGCCACCGAGACCATTGTCGTCCTCGGCCATCCTGCATTGCGGTTCTATTTGAGGTGCCGAGGAGGCTGGTAAAGCATGTTCGTCGGCCACGAAGCCGCGTGCTGAAAAGGAATTCAGTCGGTCTGGCGGACTTTTGTGCCCCGGGGGCTGGCTCTGCCGCGTGGGAGACGGGAAATCCGCCGGGACAGTTGAACGGAATGGAGCTTGGCCAGGATGATTGTGCGGCTAGAGATATGACATGCGACCCCGTTGGGCAATGTAAACAAAGAAAGTTGGTAGAGGCCGGCACAGCTTGACGAGGTTGTTACACAAAGGGGACCGTGTGCTGCGGGTATGATCAAGAATGTGTATCGTGATCAGGTTGCAAAATAGCGGTCACGGGTATCCAAACGAAATTACTAAACGAGGGCGATCTGTTTGACCGGACTGGAATCATGCAGAGACGAAATCCCCCAAATCTTGAGGGCGGAATAGTACAATCGGCTTGGAATTCTGAGCCAAGCAGGGCATTGCGCGCCTGCTCACATCTCACATATCATCCGGACTCACCCCCTCAGCCGACGGGAACGAGCCCATCCGTTGCCCATCCGTTGCTCACCCGTGCAATCCCAACAACACATACTCAAGCGCCATAGCCCCACTCCCAAACCCAGTTGTCCACGATTCTCTTCGGGTCGTACTTCTTCTCCTTCTCGGCGCTTACGACATCGCCAATTTCCTTCGGATTATGAGCGGCCTTGTCGGGACCATGGGCACGGTGATGGGCGGATTTGTGGGTAGAGTGAGAGTAGTGGCGACTACTTTTTTTGCTTCCTCTGGAGCGGGCGGCGGAGGCAGCGCCTGGACTGTGACGGTGGGAGACTTCTTGTGATGGGTTGACGGCGGCGGTTGGGTAGCTTGCTTGGCCGGCGGCGACGAGGCCTTGCTCGGCGGCGCTGGGAGGGATTTCTGTTGCTGTTGTTGCTTGTGTGTATTCGTACTGGTGGAGGTGGCTGGCGTCTCTATTCCCACTGAGTGTTAGGGCGGCAACGTCACCTTGCAGCGAACTCAAAGCAGCAGCAGAAGCAGCAGCAGCAGCAGCAGCAGCAGCATCGTAGTAACATAACGCGCAGGCGCAACCGCTACCAGCCGTTTCATAGTTGGCAGACGGTGGCGGCTGCTCGAGGGGTTGAATCGCAGTAGTAGCAGCAGTAGCAGGAGCAGCGGTCTCTTCAAATCGCACTGGCTCACCAGCTGGGGGTGCCGAGGCGGCTGCCGACGCCGACGCCGACGCCGGCGACGACTTGGCTGAAGGAGCGGCCTCAACGGGCTTTTGCTCCCAGATTGTTTTGAATTCCTTTGTGAACTGATAGACCCATCCACCTAGACTTCAGTCAGCGGCGTGCGTCTTTCTCCTTGACGTAGAGATGCCACTCACCATCCTCAGTGGCCTTTGCCCTCCAGTGGCCGTCCCATCCTGCCCCCTCGATCGGTTCCCACTTGGACCACTCCGGAGCTGGCGGCGATGCCGCTTCTTTCTCTTTGGAGGGTTCCTTGGATTCCTCCTTGGGCTCCTCTTTCTTTGGCTCCTTGGGAGGTTCCTTGGTGGGTTCCTTGACTGAGGGAGGCGCAGGAGCCGGTGGTGGAGACTTCTCCAGTGATGGCCTCCTCACTTCAACTCGGCGCAGCACTGTCCCCGCGACGGGAAGTTCACGTCTCCTTGAGTGGTGGTGCTTTTCGGTGTAGTACGATGACATATTGCTATCAAGTCCTATCGCACAGACGAGGGGAGCGCAAGCATGATTCAGGACCAATGACGATAAAGCGTGGGGAAAGGACCCATAACTGCGACAGGTCCGAGGGAGAGAGCCAGGGGGGAAGCCGACGTTTATGAATTGGAACGGAGAGAGAGGCACACGGGGCGGGATCTGGTGTTTGACACGCCGAGCATGTTGCAGGCGCTGGTCACCAGGGCCATTCCCTGGTTGCCCGCAACGGGAAGTGGGTGCCCAAGGAAAGCTTACCGGCCCTGTGGATCCTCAGGGCGAGCGTGACGCAGTCAGTAACGCCGCAGACTGTCAAATGTCGCGCAGTGGTGTGACAGGCACACGGCTTCTGGAAAGTGCCTCACGCCCTCGCTACCCTCTGCCGACGGCAGATGAGGCCCGTCGGTGCGCTGGGAGCGCGTGCGCCCATGAGCCGTCGAGGGGTGCTGGCAGCCATGAGCTGCGCTGCGCTGCGCTGTGTTGCGTATTCTGCTATTCCGAGCTGTCACCTCGCTGGCACTTGCTTGTCAAAGCCAGCTCCTGGCGACAGCACTTTAAGTTGCGCCTAACAGCACCCCGACAAATGATTTTCCAAGGCCGGATATTAAAGGCTGAGATGGTGCACTTTGTGCTGCACGTCTCTTGGAAACGCCTCGCCACGCACCCGGGCGCCGGGTGCTGGTCCCAACTATTGGCTTAAAAAGCTCAGGTGACCTTCCAATCCGAGGAAGTGACGGCGATTCCAAATGATATCAGGCTCTCGTTAATGGCTGCCCTATCGTTCAGTTGTTGTTGCCCAACCCGTTGGTGGTCTTTTGCCTAGGCTGAAGACTCGCGCAGGGCTGCCCAACTGACAGGGGGTGGCCTTGCCCAGTCTTTCGCATAACGCGCCGGCCCCGTTTTGTTAGGTCCTGGTCATCAAGACCCTTCGACAACACCCTCGAAAGTGGTGTGAACGCCGAGTGTAATTGACTCCATTCCATATGAAGCACCCCGTCACAGGTGTGATTTTCCGGAAGTCCACATCGCGTCTGGCAGCCTGCACGCACGTGGTTGGCAGCCGGGCGCCGCAGCCCCGGCGACATGTCTGTATTCGGCCGGATGCATCGTCAACAACACCCTGTGGATGTTGGGAACCGCTCACTGGCTGTGCAAGTGGAAAAAGTAAGTGTGTCACAGCTGCGTGGCGCCTCCGGTTCTCTGTCCGTTTCGATCTCAGCGTCTCCAGTGCGTGCGGTTCGATCTCCTGGCTTTCCGCGACCACGACGTGACCAGAGTCTCGTCCCAGGGCCGCCACTCTGGCTTTTCCATGACCTCCATACATTTCACCTGTTCCGGCGGATCCTGCTGCCACTCTATTTTGGACTTCTTGTCTTGTTCCGGCCCGACCCATTTCGAGGTGTACCCTTTCAGGGCTTTGAGCGCCTTGCCCTGATCATCCGAGTACTCGAGGTTGACACTGGGCACGACGGCGATCTTGCCCCAGCCCTTTGTACCAGAGGTCTTTGCAGAATAGCTCCGGCTCTCCTTGACAACACTCTCCTGGGTTGTTGCTTCTGAACACCACGTCTCCGTACAGAATAGGATCCGCCGAGAAGGCGACCGCGCCGTTCCAACAGCTGAAGACCTGGAATGGAAGGTGGGTGTACCGACTCTTTGTCTCATGATCGTTCCAGAAGAGATTCCAAGCCTCGTCCCAACTCCTCTCCTCGGGGATCCTGAAGAAGGATTCGCCCGTCATCGTCCTCGAAACCCAGACGTCGTAGAAGGCAGGGTGTCGTCCGACATAAGTCCAGTCCATGGCACAGGTCATATCAGCGCTCAGGTGGTTTCGCTGATAGGCTAGCTCGAGGATGTCCTCCATGCAGATGGCGACATCGTTAAGAAAGATGACGGTTGTGTCCTCCGAGTAGTAGCGGGTGTTGTCCAGCATGGGCTGTAACGCAAGGTTTCTCAGCTTGGCCAAACTGGTAACACGTTGGTTCTCGCCCTCCTTGGGGTTGATGCTGCTGGTTTCGAAGAAGTAGCGGCCAATGCCTAGGGCGTCGAGCTCCGGGCGGATCGCATCCAAGACCAGGGTGGTGCCATCATCACTGTTGCCCTCGACGATCGAGAGCACGCAGTTCTCGGGTCCGAGGAAGCGAATTGCCTCGACGATACTTCCGATGAGTCGGGGCAAAAGATCAACGACCTGGGTCAGATCCAGGGCGAAGTAATATTTGAAGATCCTGCGAGGCGTGTTGCGAGGCGCGTTGCGAGGCGTGGCGGCTGGAGACCTCAGTGTTTCATAGCGTGCCAAGACTGCGGGCGGCGGCGCAGGGCACTCGAGCCGCTCAAAGGTCGCATCGGCAGGATCAAAAATGGCCCGGACGAAGTCGTCCACGTTCTGCAATGTCTTGGAAGTCGCGACCTCAACGTCTTCTACACGCCCACCTTCCAGACCGCCGTTCTCAATGGGTGTCACTTCCTTTTCTGGCGTCTCCAGAGAGGCCTGCTGCGAAGGTGCTGCAGGAGGCGACACGTTGGCTGGAGTATGCGCGCCCTCGCCTTGTCCATTCGACTGAGTCAGTCAACATTGTGGAACAGCAGCCGGGCATGCTGGACAACGACGGGTCGACTCACCTGAGGCAGGAAAGAGCCTCTGTACCGGCTCAAACCTCTCTGACAATGTATCACGATACCAGAGCGCCAACACGACGAGGAGCGACAGTATCGCGACCTGCCTGCCAACAATCAGTCTGAGACGCATTTTGCCAAGAACGGGGCGACTCAAGATCGTTGCTGTGAAACTGCAAAGCTGCCGGGCTGAAGAAAGAAGAGACGAGATCCAACTTCACCTTTTGTCGGCAGGAGAACGACTGGAAGCACCGTGAGCGGACGCAGATTGGGATGGCAGTGGCCTTTCAGGACAATCCCACCACGCACGCATGTTGGTTGCTCACTGCGCCGCAGGAGTACTGGCCCCATCCCATCCATGCCCACTCCAAGTCCCACGAGGATTCAATGAATGACTTGGGGTCTGTGAGTGTGCCATCTGACCAGTCATTCCGGTGGGTCTCATCCACTCTAAACCGGCTGCGTGACCAATCCCAAGATCCCCCTTTTTATGGCGATCAACACCGAACTCCATACCTAGGTATCACGTAAGTAGGTGTCCCAAGAGATGCGCTACATTTATCTACTCGGTCACCATTCATCCGGTCTACTGCGTAGTACAGTGAGCCGACTACCAGACAGCGCTTGTTTGCCGCCTATGCCCCGCTGTGGGTCCGTTGAACAAGTGACGGCGCATATCTGCCGTAGGGCCTGAGGAACAAGCCGTCCAGGCTTCTTGCTCACGTTGCAGTTGGCACAGGGTTGCCTGCTGTCGACAACGGCTACGAGCATCTGCGACATGCCGTTTGGTCAGAAGATACCGGTGTCTCGTGGTGCTTTCGTTCACGACGTTTACTCCAACAAGTCGCTGCTCTGCCGTATGTTTGGCGGCACCGAAGCTGGGAGTCGTGGTGGCCTAACGCGGGGCCGCTTCGAAGTTGAAGCATTGCAAACACGAGCAAACCAGACAACGCTGTGTAGTCACTACGACTCAACGGAAGCCCAAGACCGCGGCTAAGACACACGTTCAAGATGCATCCCGATCCGACCGTCTTCAGGCACTGGGGCACGGGGTGTCGAACGAAATATTCTGGTAACCCCCTGCATGCTAGCCACGGTGTCACCACTTTTGTGTTGCTTAAGGTTGCACTTTATGCAGCCTTTGGGCAACACTTCTGTTACCAGGGTCATTGTCCATCTTGGAACATAGGGTAGCCAACTTCCACTGTTCGCGGTGTGGGCTGTGAGAAATTCAACGAGCTTCATTTCCTTCGTCAGGCCCAAAGACAATTAATTCATCGGGAATCAAGGGTCCAAGCATCTCTGGGATATGTGAGCCATTTTGCGGCACAGACTTCTTTCCTGGTTATGTGCCTGGAATCCTTTTCTTCTTCCCTCAACATCTTATATGTACCCGTGTGATAACGGAGCGACGTACCTTGTAGGCACGACCATGCCTCTCGAGTTCAAGCACAATCAAACCAAGTCAAGAACAGACAGTGCTACCGGCTCTGCGCCTGGAGCTTCTGACTGGTTTTGACCCAACGGAGTTTGATTTGCTATTTCATTTGCTCACTGTGGTCTTTTGCCACGACCCATGCTCCCTACAACTTCTTTATCAAGAGACGCCACGTTACGAATGAGCCTGGAGATACCTCAAGGTCCGCATCTCTTGAGGCTGAAGTAAGGAAGAGCGGGTTCCATACGACATCAACAGCCAGCAGAATGATAAGAAAGTTGGCGGACGTGTCTGCAGGTGACTTAACTACGGCATTTGAGCTTCTTGTCAAACTCTAGACCTTGGCGGTCACTTTCTTTTACTCTCATTCCCAACACAACCGGTCTGTGAAAACTTGCTGTGTGTAAATTGTATGCAGAAGGCTTTCAGATCCACCGGGCTACAACCTTTCTTTGGAAGCTCATTGTACATGAGACGAATTTCCTCCTGACTTAACAACCCACCAGAGTATCGGCGAAAGTAGATTCCGCACCTCCCACGAAGGACTGTCAATACCTGACGGGTGGTTGCTCAGTTCAGACACCCCGATCGTAACTTCCTTCCGAGGAATACTGGCCCTGGCAACCACACATGCGCGTCAGCCATCATCACAGCTCTGGCCGCCACGAAGCATTTTGACCTACATGCGGCAAAGCACTGAGCAATCACGCGTCCCAAAGTGTCTGGTTATTCTAGAAACCACACACAGCTGTTCCAACCCCGCCATCTGTGGTGAGCTTCCATGCGTGACTGTTCATGTTGATTTCTGCTAATTACACCTGTCAGCCTCGTCCTCTTTTATCCCCTCGACGCGTCGCTTCAACCGTCGCTTGACATTCTCTCATGTCGAGCTTCAAGTGACCGACAAGGCAGACAAAGAGTAGTCCTTGGCTGTCACTTGCAACCTGGCAAATCGCTTAGGACCCTTCCCGATTCGCAACTCCCTTCCGAGCCCGGTTTCTCTCTCTTCCCACCATCAAGATGGCCCCACCCACACCATTCCACAGGATCCTCTGCCTCGTTATCTGCGTCAGCTTGGCATGGTTCTCGGTAGTCGCGAAGCCCATTGAGCTCCCCGCCCTCAGCCAGCGCCAATACATGGGCAACTTGTCCCAAATCGTGGATGCTGTGGAGGGAGTGAGTAATGAGGGCACTCACAGCGTCGCCGGTCACCTGCCAGCGACTTTCACCAAAGCCACACCTACGTGCGTCGATCATGACCACTGCGCCTCAGGCTGCATGGTCACCGATGCCGCTCCGAACAATTACACACTCACCTGGTAAGTTCAGACTCACAAGGAGAGTTGCCACAAGACAAGCTAACCTGTCATAAAGTTCACCTCCCTCTCAATGCTCTCTTGACCGTGAGGGCGTAGGTTCAACATACTCTCGCTACACATACGGCGGCAAAACGATGAAATTCAATGCGCTTCCCTCCACCTTGACCGGCACGAACGTGGCGCCTTTTGTTTCCGTGGGGATGCACGAGTACTCGCCGGTCCCATATTCAGTTCCGGCTCCAGTTGATACAGCGCAGCCCGCAATGACCGGCGCGTCAGATCCAACCATTCTGCCTCCGTCTTTGGCCCCTTCCCCGCATCCGGAGGAGGTTGTCACGTTCACAGCGAGGCTCAGCAAAGGTCACAATGGTGAGCCCGATGAGCCGGAGATCACACTGTCGCCCGAAAATGCACCTGCTCCAGTGCCTGGGCAGCAGACTGTGTATGTCACGATCACTGAGGACTCGACCACGGCCTCCCCCATTCCGACTGCGCCCTTCAGCACCCAGCCCTTATCTGAAGGCCACCCTGAGTCCAACAAGACTGCGATCATTCTTGGATCCGTCTTCGGATCCCTGACGATACTGTGTATCTTGATCGTCTCAGTGGACCACCTGCTCAAGCTCAGGCGACAGAAGCGCGAGGAACTCCAGGAAGGCCAGGAACGCCACGACTCGATCTCCAGCGTCGAGGACATGTCGGAGCTCCTGCGACAGCAGCAGCAGACCTACGGCTACTATGGCACGCAGCGAGTGGCGAGTAGTAGCATCGTTCCGCAGCAGATGAAGGTCTTCCCGGCTAGCTCTGAGCCTGTTGAGCTTCCGAGCGCCAAGGACGAAATGGTGGAGAAGGAGCGGCGTGACGGCCACTAGATTCCAATTGCGAGTGCGGAAATGATTGCGCGATGATGAAATTTGATTTGTCTGCTTTGAAGTTCTGGGAATCTGGACGAGTAATGAGGATGGGAAAGGCGAGCGACAGCTTCTGGCCGTCGATACGGAACGGTTTCCTTTTGACAGCCAGATGGTTCCCGTGTCACTCACTGGCCATCAACGGCAGCAGAGTGCTGTCAAGCCAGCCTTGGGCGGTGGGACAGCCTCTGATGATTTTCCCCTCCGCCGAAGGGCATTCCATACGGCGGTTTACCAGAGCACAGCCTTAATTGGGACGACCTCTCCTTTGGACGCTTGGCTCTGGGATGTTTGCGTTGATTCCCTAAAACCAAGGGCATCGCGTGACAACGCATGAGGATCTGATAGATGCTCATTAATGAATTGACGATTCGAGCCTCTCTCTATGGAACCAGCAGTCGCTGAGAAGATAGATAGATGCTCATGAACTTCATGCAAAAGCACCTGCTCTCAAGCCTGCTGTCTCCTATGCTGTGCCATGTTGTTTAGGCTCAATGAACAGGATATGTAGATGAAGGTTTCTTGATAGAAGTTGTGAGCAACGACCTCAGAAAGTCTTCAAAGAGACACTGAAAAGAACGACAGGATTGACTGGCCAGAGAGTCGGACTCAAACTCTGATCTGCCCCTGCCTCATTTTCCTTCCGCGATACTGGCTGCGCCACATCTGATCTGAGCACGGCTAAGTGACTCTGCTGCCCTATCATTGTGGTCTACTAAGAGGAAATGACTGCGTGACCTATGATGAGGCATCGACAAGAGAAGCTGCCCAGGCAGCATGTGCCTACCATGCAGCCTAGGGTCACGTCCAAGAGGCTTACCGGGTATACAGGCGTTTTTGAAGCTATTAAAAGTCCACAAAAGGCTGAAATTACTGCCGCTGCTTCTGTTGAAGAGTTGCACAAATGAACCACGCCCAAAACTCTTCCTACACAGCATGCACAATAACAAATGCAGGCTCACCGAGCGCCCTGATACCTCTTTTAAATGATGCTTCATACTGCTATTCTCTTCATAGGACCCACGACTCTTGAAAACGGTTTTGTTGGTTACAGGAGGAGAGATTGCATGACATCTGGAGGTCTTCACAACGGTCTGCAGAGCACAAAATGAGCACTTTGATGTGGCTCTAGCAAGGCCCAACATTCTTCCAGCCTAAATCCTCTGTGCTTTTGAGGCACCAAGTCCTATCTTGTGACCCACTACAAAAATACATAGTGGAGCCAGTTCAGGTTGACCAAACGAACTAAGGTGTTCGCCAGAGTCTAAGCACCGCGGCTTGAAATAGCTCACCTTAGCTCATGTTCACTCACACACTTCTTTGACCACAGAGACAGTAGTGGCTGAGTTTTGAAAATGCTGCATCCAACCTCACCAACATTTGACAATCTCCGTTGCTCTGCCTTGGATAATCTTTGCACCAAATGCAAGCAGAAACCGGAGTCAAACAAACCCTGACCTTCAACTAGAAGCCACATCTGGGGAGAACTGCAGGTACGATGGACTCTATATTTTAAAATGGCACAAGGATTTTGACAAAAGACCAGAAAACCTCTTGTAAAGACTTAGTCACAGTCTTGCACACGGAATACGGAGCACAAAACGAAGACAGCCGAGCAAAATGATTTCCCTGGGCCCTTTCATCCTGATCGCAGGGATATCAATAGTCATCCTCCTATGCTGGGCATGGCTCCCCTTCGCCATCATAGCAAAGCTCTGCGGGCTGGGTGCCCACCGCAAAAAAGACGCAGGCCTCCTCCCCGTCCGTGCCGCAGCAGGCGAGGTCCGCTACCGAGCCGAGGGTTTTGTCCCGCCACCACAGGCTCTGCAAAGTGACCCCCACGCCTTCGACCCGGAGGTGCGACACCACAACTACCTCAAGGTCGACCCGCGCAGGGCCGAGCAGAACTTCCAGAACCGGGGGGCCAGGGATGCCTACGAGGCCGCGTTCGGGCTGGGATCGCAGGAGGAGCGGCGGCCGCCGAATGCGCTCCCGTGAGCGGAGGGGGAAGAGGTCCGCCGGCGCCGCGGGCACGGCCGGCCAAGATATTGAGGGTGGTGTTCAGAAGCCGGCAGCTACGTTAAGCCGGAATCAGGAGCGTTGGGAGAAGCTTCACAGTCATCTCGAGGCACAACAGTGACATGAGTGCGTAGCTTGAGGTTTGGAAGCGCGTCGACCATAGAGTAATACCTAAGTTCGAAAATTCAGCAGAATGACAGTCATGCGATTCATATATTCTGAGTAACTATTTTCGCTTTGTGAGACGATACACCTACCTGATGGGAAGCGATGCTTCTTCTCGGGATGACCACGCAGCTGAGACTCAAGTCAAGACCACAAAACTTCAAAATCAGCGATAAGGCGCCGTAGCCTCGTTTCAGAGACAGTCAACTGGTTGGGATGAGGCACATGTGAATTTGAAGGAAGATTCGTTAGTATTTAGCTCCTACCTTATGCATAATAGTGATCTTAGATTCAGTTATGGTTCTATTCTCAAATTTCCAATGTCAAGATTCACGGGAATTCAGCCTGGGAAATGAATTTGCTCGGAACCGTGGTTGAAGTCTGAATGTATTCAAGGCCGAACTCAGCAGTTGGATCCGGTAAAATCACAATCTGGCCCAAATCGAAATAGCTTCGCATGCCCAGGCAGCAACGGCCATGGTTAGTCTAGACCGAACCAAGGCGAAAACTCCACAAGCAGTGTTTCTGCCTATTCTGCATTCTCAGAAAATTGTCACCAAGTTTGTCAGTGATGAATCCTTCAGAACGTCTATATAAGCTAGCCATCTCATGCTGTTTGCCCATCTATGTGCATCCAAACCTCACTTGCAAATTATCAGAGCGTCGAATCAAACTCTCTGCTTCTAACGCCTCTTATTCTCATCAACATGGTTCACTTTCCTTCAGCTTCGGCACTCCTAGCCCTCGCTGCCTCAGGAGCAGCCCAGAAGCTCAACTCATGGCCTAAACACAATTACGGAGGCACTGGTCGCACAACAGACAACGACATCAACACAACAGAAGTGACCAACATCCCCCCCCCGGAGGAAACGCGCGGTATGCCCTCCTCTTCAACAGCTGGATCGCTCTTAGCGGCTTCTACATCCAGTCTTCCGGGGACTTCATCACCGACTACAAAGTCGAGGCCATGGTTGGTCCCCATAGGCCTCGTTCAGAGGTATTACGTTGGCCAGGTGTGCGGTGCTACCGGGAACTTCACGTATGTGCCACTGGTCGACCCGCAAGATGGGGATTATGTGTGGTCCGACACGTTGTTTATCGAGGTCACCGCTGCCAAGGGGAACTCGTCAACTGCCATCATCAACGAGATCTGGCCTGTCTTCCCCGGCGACGACATCTTCGATCCGGAGAACACCTCTCCATGCCCGGCCGCGTCTCGTAGGCGCTAATTGGAGCTGCCGGCTCCTGGATATCGGCGTTATACGCCGTCTAATGTTCCCGGGAACAAGAGAGCACTTCTCGGAACATTACAGCATTGATAAAGGATAAGATCAATGTCCGAGGAAGCCGGAGTATGATTGTGGACTGACATGTAGACATATGCGCTCTGGTTTGATGCTGGTCTATGTACGCCAAAGACAATGATATGAAAACACGTGGAAATAGGCTACCTGGTACCTAGCATGTATCCCAAAAACGCATCATGGGACGTCATTCAGTCGAACATACATTACACGGATTAATAAAGAGCTAAGAAACTTTCTAGGAGGCTCGGTAAGCACAAATACGACCACGCTCTTACGGAAGATGATGTTTGAGTGTTTGCTTCCTAATTCATATTTACTCTACTAAGGAAAGCATGTCCATGAGAGTACTGACTGATGGATGGACGCCACATCACCTGCACGTCTCATCTACAGGTAACTATGTGTCATAGCTCTTCTGAAGCCACTGAGTGACACTCTCCCCGAACTCCTTTGGGAATTCCAGCAATCCCCAGTGACCACCCTCCAGGGTGACATTCGTCAGTTGCGGTAGCGCGCCGGCCTCGACAAAGGGCAGTATGCTCTCCTTCCTGCAGACAACATCTCCCTCATACCCAAGGAAAAGCGAAGGGACGTTCACGACCTGGTTGTCGGGGTTTGCCTCCTCACTCTGTTGGCCAAAAGCCTGGCTCTTGTACCCTAGGAGGCAGTCGCATTAGCACCTCACTAACGGCACACTCTCGGCAACGCTGTTATTTGGCAGGTTGCAATGCCGGCCCTTGAAGGTGGAGGAAAGTAGCTCACAGCACACGGGGCCGTCGAAACCGTCCCGCTTGAAGCGCTCGATGAAGGCCTTCTTGGCCTCCTCGGTGGCATACGGATGCCGTTTGATGTCGAAACCCTCGCCTCTGTTCACCAGCGCGTTGCGCATTCCGTCTTTGGTGCAGAATGTCGCTTTCCACACCTCCGGCGAGTGTGCAATGTCGAAAAGGATATCCGAGTTCTCGTTTAGCACCTTCGCCCCCTGTATGAATATCCGGTCAGCAAAGCCTCGGACCTAACTCGATGTTTCCAGTCTAGGTAGATCCTGAGAATATAGGGGCTTTTCGTCGCGGCCCGTGGACCGCGGGGAGGACCGCCGGGAGGACCGCCGTGCTGTGGGTACTGGCAGAGGCGCAAGATGCTTCTTGGCGCCCGTCTATGTACAACTTCAAGGCGGTTTGAATAGCGCAGAGGGGTAACACGAATAACATACGTCGTCCGCAGTAAATAGCTTCCAATACCAAAACAGGCCGTAGCCAAAGACCTGCTCTGTCTGGGCCAGTACCGCATCAAGATCAAAGGGACCCTTGTTCGCGCCCGACCATGCCAAGTTGACCATGACGAGGCCCGACACCCTCTCGGGGTGCAGGTTGAAGAACATCTGGGCGGCGCGGGAGCCCCAGTCGTGGCCCAGGGAGACGACCTTGTCGACCTTCTCGGCGTCGACAATCTCGACGACATCGGCGGTCATGCCACGGAACTTGTAGGCGGCCAGGTCGGTCGGCTTCGACGTCCCGCCGTATCCGAGAAGGTCCGGCGCTATGACGCCGTAGCCGGCGGGCTTCAGGTGCTTGACGATGAGGTCCTCCCACTCTTCAGCCTGGTCTGGGAAACCGTGGTGCAGGAGAAGGGTTGGCTTCCCGGCTGCGGCGGGGGAGACATAGTACGTGTACTCGAAGCCACGCTTGGTGGTGATGGTCTTCTTGGTGAGGGTGTCCATATTGGCTGGGTTGCTACAAAGAGACGGCGGGTGTTTTGGGCAATGGAACCAGGTAGTGGTGGACGGATGAGATGGGAACTGGGATGACTTTATACCTAGGCTGACTTGGCTTCCTCCGTTGGCTTAATGTTGTCACTCTTCTCCGCCTGGGTGGGGTTCTCAAACGCACAGTATTGGCCCGTATCCTACAGTACTGTGCCATTAGGGTGCATGAACCCTTGGCTGCCAATGCTAGCACAGGCGTCGGATCACCTCACATTCCACAGCATATCGGGCTGGACATTTTGTCCCGTCATCCTCGGGAATATCAATGGACGGTGGAGCGAGCGATGGCTCTAGCGCTGACAACATCAACATCCGCGTCAGCTCGGATCTTCACTTGTCGACCCAACATTGTGCTTTTCGGCTCCTCAAGTATGAAGCTCAACTTGAATCAGATGCGTTGAGACCCTTCACGTGCAAATGGTTTGCCAAAGGAACCGGATTGTCTCCAGTGGGAGATTGTCAAGCATTGATCCTTTCACGCCTGATTGCTCTGCTCTTGAGTTCATAATGTTGGCATTTCCATCACTGGGGATGCTCTACTTTCGAAGTAAGAATCATCTAGGCCCGATCAAGCCCACAATGTGTCGAAAATACACTGCGCTGATTCCTCTGCTCTTGACGATCTTTTGAATTCTGGCTATTGAGTCTCGAGTTCATCTGTCGGCGGCCAGACTTCAGCCAACACGCCCAACAGCGAAGATCCAGCCCAAAGGATGTTATTTGGGTTTCCTGTTCATCTTGGGGAATTACGTGGTGCAAGTGATGATGGCCTGTTTCAACTTCTCGAAAATATAATACTGCACTCCCATATACACTCATGGCCTGGATGTCTGATTCCCCATCGCAAGTGGAGCGCCGTATTTGAAAAAGGTTGTCTGCCGTCTGTGTCTCCACACACCGCTAACACCACGCTGCGCATATTTTGGAGGCATATAGAAAAGAAGCGAAGCGAACACTTTCTTTAGTCTCTTATCTTCTTAGTCAGAACTTTAAGCTGCCCTTCCATGCACTGAAGCGGTTACTGCAGAATGTCTAGAAACCGGTAGGGCCCGCGAAGGTTAGCAGAGAATTGCTCTCAGTGATTCCAACACCTCCAAGGCTTAAACTTGCACTGTTGGCTCCATATTTGCCTCACCACTGAGACGAGTCAGTAGAATCTGAAGAATGCCGAGCTGACCGTCAGGTGAATATACTTTGAACGGCGTTTGTGATTATATTTGTATGGATAGTAATCATGGCTCTTCAACGTGTTGAACAGCCTCGGTAAGCTGTTTCGAAAGCTTATCTTATCGCGAGTCGAATTCTATAGGCTTTTTCTCCGGAGATGTCCTGAAGAAGTTCCACAAGGCCTTAGACCTAGCTATGCGTGTCGGCTCATCGCAGGGTGCAGTACAGCCGTTGGGTGCTTCAGTGACGACTGCCTGTACTGCATGCTGGGCTTCTAAGTCGTCAAGGTTTAGGCACTTAATTCCATACACGTTGACTGCGGTTCTGTGGGTAAACAAATGAGAAAGCGACTTTCTGCAGACATCTGTCATGGGAAAGTGCGAAAGTGAAGGCTCTGCCGAAAGTGAGCAAAGGATGGTGGGCAGGGGCCAGATGCCCCTGTAAGCTGGGGTTGATTCTAGCCTATAACAGACTCGGAAGCTACTCCCATCCAGTGGCAATCAGCTGCTGACCGATCTTTTCCTAGATCTTCTTTCTTCAGGTGCCAGGCAACCAGCTTTCCTCCGAACCCTCAGTCAACGAGCGGCCTTCCGTGTGGATGGTCTTGATTTCATAATTATCTTCCGGGGCACAGATGACGCCCTGCCCCGAAGTGATTTTTACTCCGGCCGTGGTGGGAACTACTGCCCCGGGAGGCGGCGCGAGGACCTGAGATGCACAGACGGGTTCGCCAGCGATGGCAACTCGGCATCTGTCCCAGCATAGAAGGCGGCCAGGTCTGGAGAGCTGGGCGCGACAAGCATCACCGGCCGAGTTGAATGCGACTGCTGGGGCAGCTGGAGGTTTTGTGGCAGGTCTGGTCACTTGTCCCCTGGACACAATCAAAATACGCCTCCAAGCCCAGGAGGCGTATGTTCCGATCATTCTCCGTTTGCGGAAGAGGCACCGCTCTTGCAGTCAGAGGTTCTATAAGGGTACTTTCGGAACCGCACGGGTCATACTGAGACAAGAAGGAATCAGAGGTCTTTATCGAGGAGGGGGTCTCATTATTCTGGGATACCTCCCAACATGGGCTGTATGGTTTGCAACATATGAGAAGAGCAAGCATGTGCTTCAAAACACGTTTGGTGAGTGGTCTGCTCATGGCTCATGGAGTGGGCCCTGGGAGCTCATAGAACAAGGCTGACAAAATCACAGATAGCACCTTAGTTGTCAACATGTGCTCTTCGATCATTGCTGGAGTTGCGTCCACTGCTATTACGAATCCAATATGGGTTCTCAAGGTGCGCGTGATGTCACAGGCGCACCAGGCCAAGAGACGCTGTCCCACGAAGTTGGCAGATATGACATCGTCATCTTACCATCGGCCTCACTGGTACTACCGCTCTGGCTTCGATGCTGCTCGGAAGATATACCGATACGAAGGAGCACCTGCATTCTACGCCGGGCTATGGCCTGCGCTCGTAGGAATATCCCATGTCGGGGTTCAGTTTCCAGCCTATGAGTATTTAAGGCGGAAATTCACCGGTGGCGGCATAGGCGATCCTGGAGCAAACTGGTTCGCGGTTCTCTACGCTTCGATCTTTTCCAAGATGCTCGCGAGCAGTGTCACATATCCCCACGAGGTCATCCGCACAAGGCTACAGATCCAGCGACGTGCAATGCTGGGACCGGAGTTTTTGAACGGGCTTGGCAGCGTTCAACGACAATCGGATGTCCTGCTTCGACCAAAATATAGGGGGATGGTCTGCACATTTCAGACAGTTCTCAGAGAAGAGGGCTGGAGGGCGCTCTACACCGGTCTGGGCACCAACATGCTGCGAACAGTGCCTTCCGCAGGTGCCACAATGTTGACATATGAGTATGCGATGCAGACCTTGAACAGCCTCAGGGAGTCGAAGCTCGACCCAGATGGGGCCTTGTGAGATATATCAGATTTGGCTTTTCTCCTCACTACGCGGCTATATCAGCGTGAAACTTCTCAAGTGTTCGTGAGATCTGCTGTCCCGTGGATTCCAAGCCTCGCCGTGGCTTATCCCTGCAACGTACGCCACAGCGAAGAAGCGATGTCTCTCGGAACCTGAGGACCTGAGGACGGCGGGGAGAGCACATCCTGCCAAGAGCACAACCTCGTCTCCCTCGCGGACACTGAATTGTGACACACCGAGGTGCCCTGAATCGGTCACAAAGAGTGTACACCCACCGAGGTACGGGTTGAACCTCATCACCCCGTCAAAGAACTCGTGGAATCCTTCTGCAAAGGAAGAATATGGGCAGATGAGCTCGCCATTCAGCACAGCTTCTCTGATCGTATCCCGCCAGCTCCAAAACCACGTGGCGATCTCTTCTGCAAAATCTGGAGACTCCCGGGTTTCAAAGGGAGCTATAGCCGATATCCTCTTGATGGCTGAGAAGTTTGATCCCTTCAACAGAAGCTCGCCCCGCCTCGAGTGGGCGAGCAGGTGGAGGTCAACCTTGCTATCCCCTGTAGCTCGGGCATCGAGCTGGCTGTGAGCCCACCTCCGCATAGGATATTTTGCCGGCACTTGCAAATCCACAACCCAGGAAGGCAGGCTACTCTTGTATCGCAGTGGCGGGAGCGTCTCCAGATACCTCAGGGTCCCCGAAAGCCGGATGGAGTACTTCGCAAACTGCTCATACACCTCTGGGTACGACATGTCGTACCTGACAGGCATGGGGTCTGTGTTTGGCTCGATCCTCTGCATCAATGGCAGGAACGCGTACACCTTGTCCCTCGGGTCGCTTGCGCCGTGTGTCCGGGCACACTCGACTAATCCCGAGTAGATGTCAAACTGGGCATTCAGTATCTTGCGGCCGCCGCCTTTTGAGTGCGACAGAGATGTGCTTTGGAAGGCGATCCATGTGAGCAGCCGTAGCGTGACCGGTGATTCTTCCCCACCTAGTGATTTGATCGACCTGATGTTCCAAGCCCAAATGTTTGCGAAGGCTTCCCAGGGACATTCATGGTGGCCGATGACGATCACAGCCTTGGAGGATAGGAGTTGTTCCTGGAGCGTCCACACGCGGGTGAACCAGCTGGATTCGCCAATCTCTCCCAGAATTCGTGAGTCTTCGGCGCTGCGCACAGCTACTCCCTGTCAGTAGGTAGGACCACCTAGGAGAGGAGAATAAATGCATAGTCATGGAGCAATAAGAGCACTCACTGTGGACCCAAGCCCAGTTGGCAATGCGTGAAACAAAGTTCAGCCTCCGAAACGAGTGCCCCGCCCAGGGACCGAAACGTCTCATGACATAGAGCTGCGGCGATATGAACGGGTTGAACAGCTTCACTCTGCGGAAGAAGTTGGCCACACTTGAGCGTTCTGGCCCAAGCCAAATAATGACACGCTCTGCCGACTCGAAGATGTCTCCCATCAGAGGCACCTGATGGTTCTTATCCGAGGTCGACGACTGGTTGATGCAAAGGGCGTCAACCCACAGATGCCTCGTCTGGGTCTTGAGCCGCAGATGCCGCAACAACGACTCGCAATTCACAGTCACTCGGATGGTCTCATCATCACAGAGGACCTCCTGGCCGCCCCGTGGGGCTCCCCAGACGTAGGACACTGCCTCGAAGCGATGTCTGTCGTGGTCCTCGAGTGAGACTTGTTTGAGGGAGAGATGAAGGGGATCATCGAAGCTGTCCGCCGGCCTGAGCTCCAGAATGCGAATATCCCGGGCTTTCTTGAGTTGTCTGTATTGGTAACGGTTATTGGCCAAGCGGCGGCGGCCAGCAAACCATCTCTTGGACCGGGTAACCGGCGTGGGTAGCTTGAGACAACAGAGGCGGGGCGTGGGTCGCAGTGAGATAGATCTGGATAGGGACCAGACTCCCCGTAATGTAGCCATCCGTTGAAGAGTTGTTCCAATATTAGCAGATCAAGTCCCCTAGTCTTTTTCGGACCATGTTTGTCCCGTATTCAAGGATGAAGTCTGCGAGACAATCAGACCGTGGAATCAGGGTCCTCTGCTGATTCTGGGTAGCAATTGTCAGCTGCAGCGTTTTTTTTTTGAATCGAATGACCCCACCATCGTCAGCCAGCCACTAGATTCCTACCCTGTAGCACATTAGCACAGGCAGAGACGAAGCTAATTCTCGTGAAGCCAGACGCCGCTATTAGTTATGCATTTCAAACGGCAGATATAGTGTGACATAATTCAGATTGATATCGACAAGGCCCGCAGCACAATCCACCCAGCTCAGCAATCACTGCAATTTAGTTCTATCCTCCTGAGCACTCGAGTCAACAGCCGTCAAGTCGTCCTTTTAATCTCGGTGATTGAGTCTGGGGACGTTTCTGATTGCACATTGGGACGATCTTCGTGCCAGGGCCTAGACTACAAAGTTCTATTTGATTTTCACTTTGACGACGTATCTGCATCTAGTACGGCAGTTTCTGACGCCTCTCCCAGTCCCTCTGCAGAAGCCAAGCCATGCCGTCGAGTGATATCGTCTTGATATCATCGGTGTGGGCATCTGGCATAGGAAATGTGACCCATCCGATGTGCCCGAGATCCTTGACAACTTCGACGCGGGTCTCAGCCACCCCATTGTCACTCATGATCTTGCCGTAGACAACAGCGTCATCCCGAAGACAGTCCAGCTCGCCGGCCTGCAGAAACACCTTCGGAGGGTGATATCCCTTGATGCTGCCCATGTCCAGGTTCAGCGGCGAGAACCACGGCGAGGCGAAGTCGGGGGCGAGCCTCCTCTCGCACTGGTGCATCTGCTCCGTCTTCATGACCAGCGCGTCCGCGTTGTCCACCCGCGACGTCCACAGCGGTGCGTACTCGGGCGGCAGTGTCACGGCCTCAGCCAACAGGGCCGGGACGGACGCGAACACGCCCGTCAGCGGGTGACTGAGGGGTGTGAGGCCGCGGACGAGCTCGCTGCCCTCATCTGCGGCAGCCACGGCCGAGATGCCCGCGATGACGGCCGCGATGTGTGCGCCCGCGCTGGCTCCTCCAACGACGAATCCTTGCTGCGGGTCGAACCGCACGCCATCGCTCTTCGCGAGTATTCCGCCGTTGAGGTTTTCCGGGTCCGAGAGCCACGCGACAACCTCCCACGCGCTCTGCATCGGCGCCGGGAAGGGGTCCTCCGGAGCGACCTTGTAGGTCGGGCAGGCCACGACCGCGCCGAGGAGGGCGGCGAAGCCACGGGCCGGTGCGGCCATTATCTCGGGCGTGCCGCCGGACCATCCGCCGCCGTATAGCAGGACGATCAGAGGGTAGCCTTCTCCGGTGGGGGCGGGGTTCGCTGGCCGGGTGATGATGGTGCGGCTGCTGGTCCCGTCTCGCAATGGGATCTCGATGGTGGTCTCGACGAGGTCCGGCGGACAGGGCCCCAGCTGCTCCATGCCTGCCTCAGCGAAGACCCTCATGCCCTCGCGTCCTTGTGCGAGCTCTTCAGTTTCGTCGGAGGAGGACATTTTGGTGGATGGCGTGGTTTGGTGCGCTTGGCCGACACGATCTTGAGGGACAGTAGTGGATTGTGTGTTCCTAGTCTCAGATGAATCGTATCATGTAGTGTTCAGCTCTTCAGCCAGGAACATGTCTCAGGGGTATTTGATTGAATTGGACAGCTCGTGCTAGGCAGCTACAAAGTACAGATACGTATGCAGGCGCCGGAAGGAATTCCTCCCGCGCTAGGAGGTCGCTTACGGTGGGGCTCCACGCCGGTAGAGGTAACACCTCTCTTGAACACATCTCGTGTGTAAAGGATGTGGTTGTTAAAGAGACTATCCCGTCTCCTGACTGGTGTTTTCAAACATAGCTTCCCTTTTTCGAGTGTCCGTTTGTGATAATATGGTGTCTTCCGTCGAACTAGGGGTGGCGCGGAAGGGGGCGACAAGGATGTGTGTGATACATGCACCCTAAGTACGAGCCAGAGTACGCCCACCCAGCTTTTAGCGTTGGCCCACCTAGTATAAGGAAATTGGCTGTATGTGTTATAAAATATTGGTACTATGGGGTTACTGATAAAGCATAGCTATAGCTATCTTAGAGGGGTTTTATAGCTACCCCTTTATTTACAACTTAAAAGTTACTTTTGCCCTTTGCCCTTTGCGCCTTTTGCGCCCTCTTGCGCCTTCTTGCGCCCTTTTGCGCCCTTTTACGCCCTTTTGCGCCCTTTTACGCGCTCTTGCGCGTTTTTAAGCCTTTTAAGTTATTTATACCCTTTAAGCTTTTTAAGCTTATATTTTTAAAGTATTGCTTAAATTAAAAAATAATTACCTTAGCTTTTTATATATAGGGTAAACTTTATGCTTGCTTAAAAAAGTACTTAGTTTTATTAATATAATATCAAGAAAAGGAAGTATTAGGTAGGCGCATGCTGGAAGCTGGGTGGGCGTATTCTGGCTCCCTAAGTACCGTATTAATAGCGAAATGCGAAGAGCGAAATGCGAAGGTACGAGACACAGCCTCAGAAGATGAAGATGCAGTTGAATTTGAAAAATATTGTGAAAATACTGGCGCGAATATTTGTATATAATAAAGGCTCTCGCGTGTTTTCAGAAGTCAGTATATGCCTCTCAATCATTCGGCCTTTACCAATTCACCCTCTCTTGTCTCTTAACCTCACTCACACGCCCATCCTCGCCTCGAAGTCTGACAATGGCATCCTACAACCTGTACAAGTACACTCCATCGGGAGCAGCCGCCATGATCTTCCTGATCGGCTTCATTATCGGATGCGGGTGGCATACTTTCATCATCATCCGCCGGCGGGGCATGGTACTTTGTTCCTCTGATCATCGGGTGTCTCCGCACGTTCTCCATACCAACCAGACTACACGACAGCCGAAAACCACTGACAAAAATCTCCCATAGTTGAAATCTCAGGCTACCTGGGCCGCTTTCTCTCCTCTAACAACACCTCGAGCCTCGGCTTCTTCATGATCCAAACTCTCTGCCTCCTCGTCGCCCCCGCCCTGTTCGCCGCCTCGATCTACATGGTCCTCGGCCGCCTGATCCTCTACCTCCACAGCGCCACCCTCTCCCCGATCAAGCCCTCGCGCCTCACAAAAATATTCGTAATCGGCGACGTCCTTTCCTTTCTGGTGCAGGTCATGGGCGCGGGTCTGCTCGCCCAAGCAAAATCCATGAACACGGGCAAGACCATCATCCTGCAAGGCCTAGCCGTGCATCTCATCATCTTCGGGCTCTTCGTCGTGGCGGCAGCCGTGTTCCATCGTAGACTTCTGGACCAGGTGCCGAACTTTGTCCTGCACGAAGAGGCGAGCTCGGGATGGCAGAGGCACATCAGAGGATGGAGGGGTGTCATGAGCGTGCTCTACGTCGCGAGCGGCTTGATCTTTGTGAGGTCGCTGTTCCGACTGATCGAGTACATCGAGGGCAACGATGGGGTCCTCCTCTCGTCGGAGGTGTATCTGTACATCTTTGACGCGCTGTTGATGCTTGGTGTCGTCGCTGTTACCGCTGCCCTGCATCCGGCCAAGTACGTGCCTGGGAAGAAGGAGATTATGGCTATGCAGGATTTGGATGGCTGATGTTCCTGGGACGTGTACCGCGAGAAGAGGACCTCGTCATAATGAGTTGTGTGGAGACGGCGCTTCGCAAGTTAGCCATGTGTGAAATAGCTGGGTCTGGGAGTTTCATCAGGTCTGAGGTTCTCAGCCGCCCATGTTAGAATCAGGGGTATGCCTGAACATTAATCAATACGTACCTGTCTTTTATTTGTTGATCAATTGGACCTCACAATCTCCATCAAACAAATCCTTCAAAAGAGTTCTCATCTTGAAGACATTCACGGGACACGAGCCCAAGAAGGAACTCTTTCAGGAGACCCGTATCCTTCACTCTCACGGCAACCTTGGGAGCCGCCAGAGGCGCAGCCCATTCATCCCCAACTGCCGCGGCAATCCTCTCCGTCTCCCGCATAGCCACGTCCTCATACAGCCAGATCTTTGGAAACCAGTGGAAGAATGGCAGGTAGTAGCTCGTCACAACCAAGGCTCTCGGCCTCAGGCGACGGGCGATATCCACAAATTTTGACGAGACGTATACGAACAGCCATGACCTGACCTTGAAAGCCACGCAGAGCTCACAGGTAGGGCAGACCAGTGACCCGAACAGCCTGCCTATCCCGGATGCCGCGCGCTGGAGGTCCTCGCGGAACTCCCAGTCCTCGTCGTCCTCGTCGTCCTCGTCCATCCGCAGGACATCCTCCAGCTCCAATGGGATCGCGACAGGAGCAGCGTGGTCCAGCGGTGTTGCCCTCAGCGGCGTGGGGCGGGGCGATACGTGTTTCCTCTGTCCGTTTATCATGATCCGCGGCCCGATGGCCAGCGCAAGCCAGTTCGTGAGCCACATCCCCTCATAGCCCGTCTGCCGATCCGCCGTAAGTGCAGTCACAGATAACAGGGGCGAAGCGATAAAGACGGGTCGGGCATTTTCTTCCGACACATTCTCGACCTGATGCCGCAGCTGCCGCAGCGCGCGGTCTCGGTACGTGGTGACGGGGAGGTCAGGGGAAGGATCCGTGCTGGCCAGGTGGAGGAGGGTGACGGAGAAGAGGGCGTCCATGAGGTAGTGGTGCTGGAAGGCGAGGGTGGGGACATCGACGCGGAGAGCCTCCGACTTGAAACCCCCGAGCTGGAAGGCATCAGTGAAGGTCTGGACGGTGTAGGTGTTGTATTGGTGTAGAAGGCGAAGGTGCAGCATGTGTTCCGGGATATACAGGCTTCCGTAGCTCGGTGAAGGCTGATGCTGGATGGCGAGTGAGTTGTCAGTGTCTGTTTGAGGACTGCCAGTTCCAGACTTTTGCAGCCCAGCAGGTCTTCGGCGGCCTGGCGCGATGTACTGGCATTGTGTCTGTCGTCTTGCGCAGGCTGAGCATGTTGGCTTCTTCTCGTCACACTACAGACGGCGTGTTAATAACGCTGATGTTCAATTCGTTGCACTGCGAGGACAGACGTGCCTTGATACGCCTAGTCTTGCAGTCAACACATCCTCTCCTGGATTTTGTATGATGCCGCATCTGGTGATGCTTGGCAACGAGGGATTCTGCCAGGGGTGTTGTCATGTTAAGCCTGGATCAAGCTTGGATCAAGCCTGTCTTCGCCCGGGCGACTTTATCCGCAGATCAAGAAGCTTCCGGACGAGTGGTGGTGGAGAGAAACCGTCGCTAAGGGCCGGTCCAGGTCCCTTCAACAGCGCTGTCTAGGGGGTGGCAGTGCATACTCCCGAGGCTTAGCATCATCTTTCGTCTCCAAGAGGAAGCTTGAGTGGACACTAGGAGAGTCAATTCAGCTGCTTCCAGCCGTTGGAAAATTAAACCTGGGCCCTGCACTGCAGTGCCCTTATCGACAGATTTATCAGCCCACTTCCCGACCGACACCTTTTTATGTAGTACGCTACAGCTGCGTTTCGATCCCGGCGCAGCTGGCGAGGGCTTTTATTTTTCTTCAGTCGACCCTTTACGAAAGTAAACTTATTTCTACTACCAAACCGAGCCTTTGTGCCGTGACCACGTAGAGCCTGTCTCACTAACCTGACGTGGCAGGGTTGACCAGCTGGCCCGCCGGATTGGACACTGTATGCTTGGTAGTACTAGAATGGCATCGGCGTCAGCAATTTCCGGGAGAAACTGTCGCCTTGCCCAGGATATAGATGACAAGTCGGAACTTGGCCTGCGGGAATTGTCCTGATTAAGTGTCTGGGTTGAAATGTGCTGAAGCAAACTCAAGGGGGGAAACATGTTGGCGTGTTGGTTTCTTCGAACTTGACTTTACTAGTAGCTCCCATGGCTTTGGCCGACTGCGAGTATTGACAATAGTCGAATCTGCGGCAATAATTTGACATTTAAAACTACATCTAGAATTTTAGATGCGGAACTAAATGTCTCTCACCACAATGTCATGCCGCTTTTCTCTTGGGGCAGCGCTGGTTGATGTTGTTTGAGGCGATCGTGGTTTAGGAGGGGGTGCATTTGGCTTGAATTTCAAAATGATATCTTGCGGCTCTTCCAGCTCACGAGTTTCAATGAACAAAGGAAACATTGTATCGCAAAATACGAAGGACATTTCCTTGAGTAAATAGAACGCCCGAAAACCAGCCACCACGCAGGCAGCACTTCGCGCGCGCATTGGTCTTTTCGCGTGGATGAAACCACACCAACTTCATGAATGGCACCCAAGTCAGCTCTACAGCGCTACATAATGGAGCTGGAATCATATTATATGTCGCCAATGAGCTGGCGGATTGAGCGACTGATTGACAGGGACAGTGAACGGGAGAATCGCACGAGACGTGCATAGACTTCATACCATAGAGGGACCTTGCCTTTTGGCGCTTACACAGTCTCTTCCCGCACCATTGAAGCTCACGGATATTTCAATATGCTTACACAGTGCCGCCGTGGGGATGCCAAACACTGTGGCGCAGCATATAAATACGCGTCATCCCCACGCGAAAGTCGCTAATAAAGAGCTTGTGTCGACTGGACGCAGAACCCATCGTGTCCCTGGCTTGACTTCTTACTGATCGACAGCCACGACAGGGGCTGCCTAGACTCACCTCGAATATTTAAGCTTCGAAATTCAGCCTTTTCCAGTCGTTCTCTGTTCAAATTCCCCTCGCCGCCGGATGTCTTGGATTCATTGACCCTAGCAGCTCTTTAATGACGAGCCTCTTCCTCGTCGCAGTATCATTACCATGACCCTCGGACTGGATCTTGCGCCGAAGAGAAACCGAGAAAGTACGTCCAAGGTTCGAACCGGTTGCAGCACTTGCAAAGCTCGTCGAGTGAAATGCGATGAATCAAAACCTGTCTGTCGACGTTGCGCCGTGGGAAATCGAAAGTGCGAGTATGACACGGCACGTGCAGCACCAACACGCCGAAATGTAATCACGGTATATATGCCTCCTATGCAGAGCCAACCGACGTTCTTCGTAAATGCTCGAGGCCTTGAATTCTTCCGCCAGACCCTTGCTGCGAACCTGGACGGACAATTCGATTCAAGTTTCTGGAGCAAGCTTGTATTACAACTATCACACTCTGAACCATCAGTTCGTCATGCTGTGTCCGCCGTCAGCCACATTTATCGTGACGTTGAATCATCTTTACGACATCCGGAAGGCTATGTCAGTGCCAACCCCGAGGCTCAACGGGAGTGGAACAAAGCAATAAGGAGCCTATCAGCTCGGATTCAAGCGCGTCCCAACTCGAATTTGGTTCCTTTGGTCTGCTGCCTCTTGTTCACGTGTATCGACTTGCTTAGGGGCAGCGTTGAATCTTCATTGCTTCACGTTGAAAGTGGACTCAACATTCTAGCTGCAGCCCGCCGCAACAGCCATGCAGACTATGACCTAGGATCCGATACCTCGAAGAGCGATTTGCAAACTATTGAGGATCACGTTGTTCCGGTGTTTGCGGGTCTGAGTGTCCTTAGTTCCCTCGCCGGCAGAACGACTCCGCCAATATACGCTCCAACAGCTGAAGAAGACTCTCCGCACGAAGACCTTGCCGATTCTAGACGGCGGCTCATCGAGGTCTCAGATGCCTGCATCCGTTTCATTGGCGCAGTCAGCCTAAAGGCCGCGACTTTCCAAGTTGACGTCGATGACTTGGTTGACCAGGTCAAACTTCAAACAAGGCTGGGCGCGTGGCGCGACCAGCTAGGCAGACTGGTGGATCGAATGCAGGCCCGAGACAAGCCAGTGAAGCAGGACGCGCTCAGCCTTCTTTTGGTACATTACAAAGTCATTTACATCTGGCTGCGAGTCTGCACCACAGCTGGTGAAACGGCCACAGACTTCTACCTTGCCGACTTCGACGAGCTTGTGCACTACGCGGAGCAAATCGCCAAGACACGTGCGGGCGTGGAAATGGCAAGACCGCAACCGCTGTCTTTCGACATTCAAATCTTGGGGCCTCTTTACTATGCCGCGCTGAAATGCCGCCATCCCGCGACACGACGACGCGCGCTGGAACTACTGCAATTTGCGCCTCTGCGGGAAGGGCTGTGGAACGCACATCACGCCTACCTGACCGCCAAACGAGTGATTGAGCTGGAAGAAAGGGATTTGAAAGGGCGCGAGTTGCCAGACGAGTCTTCGAGACTGCACGGCCTCGTCCTGCCTGATGATATGTCACGGATCGATGGGCAGGGCGAGATGCCTTTTGATGTTCGGAGGTTCGACCACAGCATCGTGCCCAGCCCAGCTTACCCAGGCACGCTTAAAGCTGTATTTTGGACAAAACCGTGGGGGCTATCGCGAGAGTGGCAGTCAATCACGGAGTACATAAAGATATAATGATGTGAGCAGTTGTCCGATATTGGTCGTCGCAAGTATAAAGCGCTAACTGTGACATGCCCTCAGGGGTTTCCAGCTTGTGCTCCTACGGCCAGTACAAGTACAAAAGAAGACGCTTGCTGTTCCTAATTGTATTGCCGATTGAGCTCATACGTGTACCTCGTCAGAGACCAAAGCACTCGAAGAATACCTGATTCGAGACTCTGCACTTGCTCTCAGCTGAATGAGTTCAAGGGTTATGCTTCTGTCGCATGTGAATGCTGTCTATGGATGAGCCGCTCATGGCAATCGCAGCCTTTCTGGACTGCTTGAACGACCAAGCCGCACTGCTCCACTGGCCGCCAAAGCCAAAGCCGGGATGCAACGCCGTCATTGCAAGCACTGCCAACAAGATCATCGGCCCCTCCAAGATCATAAAAGACACCTCGTCATTCGCGATGGGTCCATTGAAGCCTTGCTGCAGCTCTGCAACACGGTATACCGAGCGGATAAAGATGAGCACAACAGCCGCGCCGAGCGCATACTGGAACCAAGTGAACTTCCTCGTGTCCCTTAGCTGTACGAACCGAATGTCCCTGGCGCTCCCACCTGTCCTGCGGCGCAGGCGTGATGCAAATTCCAAGCCCAGTCCCATGAAGATAAGAAGGGAGACGACCTGGAACACAACACCAGCGACCATGATGGCCCGTCCTCTTTCGCTCCCGGAGTGATCATCCGCTGTGGCTGCGATCCCGCCACCGGTGCCTTGGAGGACCAGCGAGACGAAGTCGCTTGCCATGAAGACAATTGCATAGGCGCGGGGCCTGCAGCGGGAGATGTTCTGGCCGTAGACGATAACTATGCGGGACAGGCAGAGGTAAAGGGCGCCAGCGATGAAGGCGGGAGCAATTGTAAGAGGTACAAGATAGCTATGAAGGCTGTCAGGAGTCTTTTCTCGATTTTGAACAGAATGTACAGTTCACGGGGCGAGGGAGGGGGGGGGGGCTTACGTGATGAAGTTGTTGAAGTTGAACGGGTTCTCGTGCAGCATAATTCTGCCGGCATATCCAACAATTTCAAGAACGAGACCACAGATCATGCCGACCATGAATCCCCAGGTTTTGTATTTGATGCCGAGCCCGAGCTGCGCAATAAGAAGCAGGCCAAAAGCAGCAGCGTAAACGGTATTTCCAGCACGCGTGGGCTGGTAGTCCACCTGAGCACAGCTGAGGGGACATGTAGTCACGGTGCAGTTGACAATGCTTTGGAGAGGGCAAATATCTGCCATCTTCGCTGTGGTTTCCAAAGATTCCTGGGATTTGAATTGTAGAGTGAGGAAGAAGAAGAGGAGCTGGATCTCCGGGGCTATGTCACTTTTTATGGTTGATTTGATGAGTTGATCGGAGCCCATCACCATGAAGTCCTCCCGCTCGTATTTATACCCCCATCATTCGCAGCCTTGACGTCGACTCTCAATATTTGCGTGCCATGTTCGATCACAATATCAGTCCAGAAGGGGTTAGATACTTACGAGACAGCCTCAATCTTGGGATCCTCACAATCGACTCCGAAAGTGCGAAACTGCGGATCCACGAGGCTTAGAGGATCGGTCAGCGAACAAGTAAGCCAGTAGGTACCAGTAGTTCCGTTGCCCATGGACGTGTTACTTGCCCAGCTGAGAGCAATCAACCTTGGCAACGTACCTGGGCGGCGGCTCTTGATTGGCGGACGGCAGCATCTCGTAGCCGCCTAACCAAAAGGAACCTCGTAAACGACTAACTAGAATAGGAAGCGCGCCTTCACACTGTAGTCCTCGATGTGGTTGATCAGGGAACACATCCTTCTTAACAGGCTCGCATAATACATGGTCAAGTCGCATTGTAACTGTCGACGTCCGCGCCTACTGTCATAACTCGCATCCACAAGAGAATCCCTCCGATTCACTCTCCTTACAGCCGCGCCACCTCCTTCCGCTGCCACCCAGACCGATCCCGCGTCAGACTGAGACAGGAGAGAGGCTCTGGTTCCAGTGTCATCTATGGCGAGACTGGCTCTAGCGAGTGGTAGCCATATTGAAAAGAGCTCCACTTCCTGATCTCACCATGGGCAAATGTAACCAAGACAGAAAGTTGCCCTGTTCCAGAGCGGTGCCCCCCGGAGCCTCTCGATAAGAGCACCGTTGCACTGCAGTAGCAGTACAATCTTGTGCATTAATTCTCACTTGCGCGCATTTCGTGTGCTCTGATGTTGTGCAGTGGCCTCCAACAAGCCTTCTCCTCCCTCCCTGTTCCTCTCAATCGCAGCTATAGATACTAGTCACCATTATCCCCAGAGCGGGCCCCCGACTAGTAACAACTAGTCATCTGTTATCATATATCCTGTTGAATACTGATAACAACGCCTTTCCAGGAGACCGGTCATCCATCCCTCGCGCGGGCGCCGCATACCAGTCCCGCATCGCGCCTCGCGCCTCGCATCAAAGTGCCTTAGGCATGAATCTTGTTATATAGATCAATCATATGCATTTCTAGTTCCATTTTCCTAGCAGGCCTTCCTGGGAAAACCCCAATCGTACCTTTTCAGCAGTAGCCTGACCTCAAGTACAATACCAGTATAGTAGTGCAAACCAGGTTAAGCGCAAAAGATTCAGGCAGCAGGTAATCGCTAACTTTACTAGTTAGCCAAAGGGGTACCATAAGGTAGAGATAGTCCTAGCGCACTTATAATGCTGCCCCCTTAGCTAGAAGATACAGTATGCATGAAAACCTAATTACTATTTGGCAGTGAAAAAAGGTATCACAACCCTTGCCAGCCAGGTACTATCTAGCACCTATAACGCTGCCAGTGCGGCGCGGCACATAGCCCAATCACGAAAGCAGCAGCGCGGAGCGCATCACAGGCATTACAAGAACGTTTGATACCCAGGTACTCATCTAGCTCAATGAATATGGGTTGAGGAGAATGCACGCCGCCTATCGGAGAAACAAGAAGTGTATTGGATCATGAAGGATCAGTACCCCGATATTTCCGTTTTACCATGATCTGATCGACATGGTCAGTGCCCCTTCTGCCTGCATCATCGTGCATGTGGTGAGTGTGGCTAGTGCGATGACGGCATACAGCGTCACCCCAACTCGACCGCGGACAAGGGGGCTGATATCAAGGAATCCCGCTCACTTGTAAGGCCTCCCAGGCTAGGGCTAGGGCAAATAAGGTACTGGGGCGTACTTCAGGCACATTTCAAGACCACGGCTGTTGTCCCACGTTTTTGTCTCCCTTATTCTCGCTGCTGTCACCATCCCCATGCCATCTTGACTTTGCCGCCATGGAGAAGCGATCAAAGTGGAAATTGTTCTCCAAGGACAAGAGCAAGAGCCCCCCTCATGGCTCTGGCTTCAGTCCGCCGCAGGACACCGGCAATGCCAGTAGACTCGATGTTCCCGACGCAAATAGCTCAGAGCCCACTAATTCCTTGACTACGGAGGGTAGCTCCAACGCCTCGGCAACTTTGACAAACCCGTCCTCGAACAACACATCCAACCCCGGGTACGCGAATGGCAACACCACGAATGGTATGACAGCAAATGGGCCGGAAAGCCAGGTCCAAGACCCTGCAGCGCAGAATAGTCCCACCATCAAACGTGAAACTCACACCAACACCAACACAGGTCAGACTGTGACAACCACGACGACGACCACAACAACCACAACAACTGTGAAGGGTCCAAATGGGACCACAGTCGTCCAAGAACCTCGAGTGGGCGCCGCAGAGTTACCCGCAGCCAGCACTCCAGGCTCTGAGCACCAGGCTGCCCACGATCCCGGCGAAACCGGGTTACGACCTGCTCCGCTAGCAATACCTCCACGGCCCCCAAAGGAGACCCTCGACCCAGCTCCTAGGAAGAGCTCAGAAACACCCGGTCGCCGTATCATCCCACCTCGCGAGCCTTTGACATCACCATCTGCGCCAGGCGCCTACGATTCCATCGCGACACCACCAGTGCCTGAGCGAAACACAAACAGACATGGTGGGCCGCAAAACTTCTCATATCCTGGGAGGAATGAGTCCCCGCCAGACAGCTACTTCAGAGAAGCCCCGAATGAACATCGTTCCACCTTGGAGAGCCTCAAAACGGCCGCAGTGGGTCTCCATGTAAGTACACATTCTAGTCACTATACATGTACCGTTCTGCACGAAAACCGAAATCTCGTGCTGACTATGGCCTAGGGAGTCGGCGAGACGCTCCGAGGGACTCTGAACGACTCTGTAGACCGCCGCTTCGGCAACAACCAGCAAGCGCGAGACAAGAACCAGGCGGCCATCGATGCTGGCAGGTTCGAGATAGAGCAGCGCCGCTTCTACCAGCCCTACCGGGCCGAGGACGGGCGCCAGGCCGAGGACCAGCAGGAGAGAGCACTTGAGCAGCAGAAACACCTCCAGCCAGGATCCGCCGCGGACCGGGCCAGCTGGGGGACCTTTGGTGCGCCTGATGGAGATGCGGGAGTGAGCAGTAGGTTGGGCAAGTTCTTTGGCAAGGCTACGCCATCTGCGTCACAAGTGGACAAGCCTGCGCAGGTTGAGACGCCCAAGGAGAGGACCAGGCTGCGCAAGAGGAGCAGTTCTGCGCTTGGTGTGGTCCAGGAGTAATTAAGCCATCTTGTCTTTTGAATGGAGTTGTATGAAACCCATGCGTCTATGTATAAATCTATCGCACACCGGGAGATGCAAACAAGCCTGGGTCGATGCACTAATTACAGCGGCCTCAAGGTCTGCCCCAGAAAATCTATATTCCGGGTCAGCCGGCTAGCGGGAATCATAAATCGCGGCGGTCTATGCGTCTCATGTGTTGTGTAAGCCATCGATTAACTTATAGCGTGAGTGCCGAGCAGGAAATCCTTTGCTGTGGGGTTTGAATTGGATGTTGAGTTGGCTTTTGAGTCGCAATAACACAGATCTGATTCACCAACGCTTAGTCTTACATCATCTATGCGTATGTCAAATTGTGTTATGCTGAGCCCGTTGACACGTTTTGGCTTATCTGAGCACAAGCCCAAATAAAAGGCTCGCCAAAATTCCCTCATTGGTCCAAGTGTCCATCAGCTGTAGAAGTACTAGGAATTCAGCCCAGAAAGGAGTACACGATCGCCGAGTGTAAATTTGTATTCTCGCAGTCTTGTCTGGACGACAAGATTGATAATTTCGCACATACCGAGTCAACACATGGTAACGGTATAGGGGAAGTGCCAGCGAATATAGCCACATTTCTGTGCATGTGTATGCTGCCGGTCATGATTCTTTCTTATTGTGAAGATCCAGCCTATCGACTGCACGGGTATTGACGCTCCACTTGCAGTACTACTACCGGGAGTGTTGGCATTGTCGGTACCAGCTAATTCACTTCACTTGGCCCTGCCTTATGGCCACCTACAATATAGATCAGTGCCTTGCGCAGAACGACACTGTTGCTGGCCACCCCCCACAATATAGTCTCAGTATGCGAAAAATGGAGACCACGGCAATTTCCGTCGTTGCTTAACCGTAATACCAATGACAAGTGCTGTCAATAGCGGTTCTCGCATGCGCCAGAATGCATTGCGGTCGCAGTTGCTTCGGGCAGCACTCGAGTGTGACCAATTAATTGTTCTAATTTGTGCGTACTGTACACAGCCAGTAGCAGTCATTATATCCAATTCCACTTCTCCCCTGGCTGTTTCCGGGTATTCATCCTCGTGGGCCTGCCGTCCACGTCCTCCCTCCAGCTGGCCGGCATATCGCCCGGCAGCTCCGCCACGAAATCCCTCGTCTCGACCTCGACCGGCTTCTCCTCCGTCGCGAGCTCCACCGGCTTTGTCGCGTCGCCGGCCAGCTCCGCCGCGTTGGACTCCCCCGTCGCCATCTCGGCCACGGGGCTCGAGTCGATCTCTGCCGTGTTGGCCCCCTTCACGGTACCCGTGATGGAGCGCGCCCCCGCGTCCGTCAGCGGGCTGACCGGGTTCGGCGAATACGGCCCCGAGGACAGCGTGGTGCTTACTGTGTCGGCGCTGGAGCCCACTTTGGGGCTCTTGTTGTCCTTCTCGCTCATCTGCAATCGTGCCACCTGTTTCCTCTTCTTTGCCAGGCGCCATATCAATATCGCTGATAATAATAGCAGCAAGAACACTCCGACCGAAACACCTGCGGCGACTGCGACAGACCCGCGGGAGAATGTCCCAGGGGCATCTGTGGAGTCGGTTCCGGCTTGTGTTGCTTGCGTTGCTTGAGGTGTGGCCTCATCTGTGATTGCCTGAGTCTGCACAATCGTCTGCCCCGGAACGGTCGGATTCGTCTCTAGTATGCTCAAGTCCTCCTCCCGCCATCTTACTTGTATTGCATATGCCAGGTTTTCTGTTGTCGTATATGCTGTGCCTGTTGTCACCTCCGGGTCCCGCATTGTCGTGGACGGCACTGTGGATATGCAGAGGCTATAACTCCATCCGACCCCCATCATCCCCGTGGAATAGCAGTTGTAGCCCGTCGGGCAACATAACCTAGCCGTCTCATCCGACTTCACCTCGCCGCCGTAGTACGGCCATGATTTAGACGACGCGGACTCGTCTGTGAATGATGAGAAGGTGGCGAGTGATGTCGGGAAGTCGCACGCGGCAGTGTAGCCCGAGGGGCAGATGCCCGGTGAATAGTAGCCTATTTGCCAGTTCCAGTAATTATTGAAGTTGGGTGGCATGCAGATGGAGCTGTACAGCGGCGGCGTCAAGGGGTATTGCCATAATGAAGAGGCGCAGAAGTCGGGCGTCTGGAAGACTGTCGTCAGGGGGCCCGCCCCCGTGCCGTACGTAGGAGTCGCCGTCCTAGGATCATATGATGTGTCCGCCTCCGTAGGCGTTGGCATCGGCGTCATCCTGAATCCTCACTGTGGGCCTTTTTTTGCAGAAAGGGTAGGTGACAGTGTCGCTCCCCCGAAACTGCGACTCGCGTGGTGGTGTGGTCTCAAGTCGATGGTCTCGCCACGTGCTGGACGTCGAAGATATGGAAGTACGACGCTTCCATGAGGCACTGACTGCTTCGCCCAGGTGACGCCGTTGAGAGGAGGCCAGGGCTGGATCTCTACACGGTCAATTGGAAGAAGCAAGAAGGTCAATGAAGAGGTGGCCGGGGATGGGACTAGAAAGACTAGAAATTGTGCCAAGCCACGCCGTGTCAAAAAAACACGAGACAACTAAGGCCTGGAAATGAACCGGGGTGCGGGCGGTCGTGTACCGGAACGAGTCATGCGGCGCAGCGAGACCCAGGGGCCCAACTTTAGCATGCACGGTATAGTCGGGAAGGGCGAAATGCCCGGCAGATAACAGATACGACGCCGTGGGCTGTAGCATCCCCGGACACAGGTGGACCTGTCACCGTTCTTGGCAGTAGTGTGCTGTGAGATTGGCCAGTGACGACAGCGACTCACTCGGGGTAAAGAACATCGGGCGCAGAAGCGAGGATCTGCTCGGAGCGGGCCTCGATTTGTGCTAGACGTTAATATCCCATCCTAGGCGAGGGGCACGGTGGTCAAACCAGGTGGAAGCCCCTCCCGGGGCCCTGGGAGCTATTCGTCTGGATAAGCAGTGCATACTATATAGGAAACATAAGGGGGGGGGGCCCACCTGCTTTGCAGCCCCCCCCCCTTGCGCTTCACGCCCCTGCTTCCCACCAATATTTAAGTTAGGGTTAGGGGTTTAATTTAAACCAATTAGCTGCTAAAGTTTAAGTTTAGTTTAACATTTTTTTTATTTAGCTAATTAACTTTTAAGTCTTAAGTTTGATTTAGCAAATATATTGCTTGGCAATATTACCTTGCTTGGCCAATTAGCGTTTAAGCTTTAAGTTCCGTTTGGCAGTGTTGATGTGTTATTTTTTCCGTTCACAGAGTATTCTAGACGTATAGCACAGGAACATCCTTGGAGTATACTGGCCTGATTTCTATGGATATCTGTGACGAGGGCTATGCTCAGCGTTGTCAGGTTCAGTGCATGCGCACGAACATGCATCTGAACATCATCTGAAATCTCAAAAGAGCCACTCGAACAGTGTGGTTCTTTCTACATGAAAAATGCCCCACACACAAGTGCTAGTGGAAGTCAATCAGCGGACGAACTCAATTGCGTGCACGGACTTTGGCAATCTCAAATACAGTACTACAAAGGGATTTACATCCCGTCCGTTCATGGAACCATACCTGACGATGGTACGATACTTTACGTAAGCTGAAATTGGTGACATCAGTGGTGGAAAGTGATTGTGAAGGCTTTGATGCAGAGCATTTACACCAAGCCTGCATACTGTCAGACTGTGAAGCTGCACCTGTATGAGAGCCAATGGCCCAGGAGGCGACTGGTGGCGAGACTGACGCTCAATCTCCAGTTGTTCCAGTTGATCAGTATTTCCTTTCCTTCACGGGAGTTGGATTACAGCAAACACACAGCCGATCACCCAAAATGGAATAGTCTCTATGCAACGACCAGCTGAGTCTGCATTATAGTTGGGTCAAAGGTGGAGCAATGGAGAAGTCATGACAGCTGTGAAATCCTTCTGAAAACGTGCGGTGAAGACATGCAAGTTGTGTATTTCAAGTAAATAGGGGCTCGACTTCATTGTATAGTACAAGGCAAGTCATTCAAGAAGCATATGAGAGTCCGTATCCCACACCAGCCACTCATTTGTGAACATATGTAAGTGAGTCATAGGCTGAAGGCCCAATTTCACATGTCAATGTTCTATGTACAGCGCACAAGGTTTCTAAACCCCCCTACCCAACACAATGAATACGTCACTTATACTGTGGGCAAGTCTTTCTCTGCAAGGATAGTTACTGGAACAACAATGTAGCGGGTATAGAATGGCCTCATAATTTAATTGATCTATAGACTTGCCGGTTAATAACTTTGAAGAATTAATTTTCTTCTGTATAGGCAAGGCTAGTATGTGTCGCTTGGGAAACTTCGGGAACATTGTGGGCGATACACATGTTGCCAATAATATCCTACCAGAGATAGACCAGGCTTCTTGTTAGAGATGGCAAATAGACCTGAGATATTGAATAGTGCAGTCACGTTCTGTTTAGTTTCACATGACATCCTACTAGGTGAAATGTATCTCACAGAATTGCTGATATTTCAGTGAATCCGAAGGACAGAAGACTTCCTCAAGGGTAACGAGCCACTCCTGATTAACAATTTCTGATCGTACCATTTGAACATTGCTTCATGATAGAATTATGAACAACCTGAGCTTCACTCGACTTGATGGAATGCAAAATCGGCCAGAAGACAATTGCCAGCACGTTCTTTCCCAATGGATGTTTGCAAGTTTTAACGCATAGAGATATTACATTTAAAAGCCACAGAGGCTTTACGAGTAAAAGGAGCTGAATTCCGGGCTTGGGAAACCTCTATGCTATTCCGCACAAGACTTTAGATTCTCTTCACCGGAACCTTGTGATATTCACTGACGAGTCTAGATGAGGAGAGTTAGCATCTGAAATGTCTGATATAAATGGATTGAAACTAGAAATGGAATAGTACGTGAGGTTTATGACTCAAAAAAATGAGGATGGTGAGTTCCGAAATGACCCATAAAGTCCTGATCATGTGTGAAGAGACATTCGACTCTGGTTCACAAAGGATAAGCGACTGGTTCCAGAATATAGAAATTGACTATCTATCATCCTTTAACGCCGAATATGAAACCTATCTGCTGTATCGCGAAAGTGATCCGTCTATATTTGTACCTTTTCATCTGGCCATGATGATTGTCCCTCAGCTCGCCTGATGGCTAAACCAGGTAGCTACTTGTTTAAGTCCCGGTCGAAGAGTATGTACAGGAATCATGCAGCATTAATGTGGAAGAACTCTAATTCATGATGAGACCAACGTGCCAATTCAGCTTATTCGCCTGGAGCCTTGATGTTCATAGGGGCTTTCTGGATGTTGGTAGTGTCGATGCCCATTGTGATGTACGCAATCATGCCGTTCTTGGGATCGACCCCATCGGCGGGGATGACGTCGAACACCGGGTTCCAGCCATTTTCCAGGCCGTCGGGGAAGAACTGGTCGACGTCGTTGGTCACGCGAGGGGTCTGCGTGTGGCTCGCGTAGGGCTCCAGGGCCATCATCTCCGCCGAGAGCGACTCGTCGAAGTAGAGCTGGCCGGTGCTGACGAGGTTTCCGGAGCTGATGGTGCCGTTGGGGAAGAGGGTGTAGTCCGTGTACACCTGGCTGTGGACGTGGAGGCTGCGGCCCGCGTAGAAGCCTGGGAAGATGGTCTTCATCTCCATGACGCCCTCGGAGTCGGTCGGGTACATTCCGCGCAGGAACGTGGTGTCGTCCGTGTGCAGATCAGTCACCCCGTATTCCACCTGGTCTCTGGTCATGTTGAGCGACGCGAGTAGGTCGCCGAAGACCAGGTTGGGGTCCAACGCGGTGAAGGACGAGTAGGAACCCGTCGCATTGGCGTGCCAAAGGCTCACCATCACGTCTGTCAAGGGCTCGCAGGTGGCCATGTCGAGGACACCGATGTCCATGGTAAGAGGAACACCTGGCTGGTTCTCGCTCATCTGTAAATTGACGGGACGTTAGCCTTCATCACCAATGTATGTGAAAGGTATCATGAAGGTGAGAAAGGATGATTGGGTCGCGGGCTTCAGTTCACTCACATCCGTTCTCAGGAGCTCAGACTGGGGCCAGACATAAGGGCCCTGAATGATGTCGGGTACCTGGATGCAAGTCGTGTTCTGAATAACGTCGTAGTAGGGCTGTGCCTCGGGGATGGTTGCATTAGACCAGTCGATTTGGCGTTTCGCCATGCGCTTGGCGTGGCGCTTCCGGTTGAGTTTGGCGATATTCGGTTCGCATCTTTTGGAAAGTGCGGCTCTGCGCTGAATTTCACGGCGGGACAGGCGTTCCTCAGGGTGAGCCAAGGCAAGCCCAGAGAGAAGGCCAGCTGAAGTGATGAGGGCGCCGAACTTCATGTTGGAAGACTGTAAAGACTGGAAGACAGGGAAACAGCGAGTGAAAGATGGCAGGAGAGCCTAATGAGATCAAATGAAGGTGGTGATTTAGTTTGAAGACGAGACTGGCCTGGATTCCTTCTGTCACTGCCTGTGTTGTCATGGAAAGGTCCAAGACCTTTATACGCGTATCCACGGATGAGAATGGAGTGTCTGTCAAAGATCAACGCCACTGCCACGATCTACAAGATACACCCAAGGTTGTATCTCCAGAAAGAATGCTTCTATTAAATGGCTGACTCGGATTGGCTAATGATGCCCCAAAAAGATCTAAGGGGGTCGGTCAGTGGCCGGTTGTAGTCTTAACCGGCGGCAGCTCTGCATGCCTCCACATTACATCCCTTATACAATAGCGAATTCAGAGCACGAAGAGGCATCACAGACCATGCCCACAGTGACTCAATGATGCATAAGCAAATATCATCCTTATCGTGACTTCGTCAGTGTCCACTGCCTACCCAGATAGGTAGGCAATACGCGTAAACATTAAGCCACTGCAGAAAAAGTACAAGGCCGGCCAAGCTGACGCGTAAGTCTTCCAATTGAAGTTCTCCCATTTGAAATAAGGCCCCGTCTATAACCGATCTATGGTGGAGATGGACGCGTAACTTGGAGAGCCGGTTGGTAAAGCCCGTGGAGTTTGCGCCGGCTGTTCTCCGGGGTTGATATGTAAGGTGTAGAGCCAAGCCAAGATATAGTCCAAAGCGGGTACCATATTGCGTCAAGCGGTAGCGATCGGCGAGCAGAGCATGCCCTCAGTGGATTCGGTCTGGACCGCTATTCGAGGATGTCCAGAACGCTAGCAATGACATGGCAGGTGGACATGCAGGCTGACAACATGGGCCGCTTGCCAGCTTAAATTCCGACTGGTGAAGCGGTCGCAGGGCCAAAAGCTGCTGGTGTCACTTTCACGTGACAAGAAGCTGCGCCGCCAAAGGTTTGACAGTTTTACTTGTACGACATGGTTAATTAGTCGTTGGGATGCTGGGGTGCTGAAACGGATGGCATGAAAGACTGTTGAGCGATCAATATCTGACCATCAGTCGCCTTGAGCGCTGTGTGGTACAGCAAACGTAACATCAGCCTCGAAACCCGTTCAACACTCTATGTGGGAGCTGTACTGTAAGTCTGCTTCTGTGCGAAGAAGCGTGGACGATCAAGAGCTGATGGCGCTTCTGGCTCGTTCCGCTATGGGTATGACAATCCTTTGCCCGCTCTTTGCCTGAGGTATGGACGGACCGACCCGCCATTCTCCATTGCTGACGTGTCTTTGTATTCTCACAAGATGCGTTCTATTCTCTACGGGGCTGAGTTGAGGTCTGTGTGTGTGTAAAGGAGACCCACCCACTAATCTGTGCCATGGCCTCCGTTTCTCCTTTTCCCGATTAAGCATGAAAACAGAGAACGCATGTCTCCATAATTTTAAATCTTTGAGTGTTGAAACTGGAGATATGCCAAGAGTTGGTCCAACCGCTGCTTAAAGATTATTCCGCCATAGGGCTGTCCATCCAGTTTCCGAATTACCGCGCCGAGAATGACGTCTGTTTGTGGCATTTGTGCACCGGCATGCTGGCCCTTGACAGCCTCTGCAAGAAAACAAACACTGCCACCTTCGACTATTGATCAGGGCAGAAGAGGAAACGAATAGCAGTTTTGTAAGCCCCCATAAAAGTCGAGTAAACAAGGAAGTCAAATGTGAGTCGGGATGATGTCGTCGAGCCAATTCCGATAATGAATGCTCCGCGGCTCAATGAGTCAAGACCGACACAGCCATGGTCAAAGTTGCAGGGGAGGCCCAGGTCTGGACCCGAACAGCATGCTGCCACACACTTCAGGAGACATGACCTGTCACTTTGCATGCAACACAGCGAATAGAGAACCAGGGAGTCAAATTATAAATCAGGTTCCACTACATTAAATTGAAGCATATGTGTATACATGATAGGGAGCATCCCACACTCGCAGATCGCATATAGAAAAGCAAGTTATCCTTTCTATCTTCCCATCCCGAAGACAAAACGCCACAACACGAGCATCTATAATGCGTCTGCTTCAGAATGGCAGACGCCACTGACTACAGTACTAGTAATTAAACTTTACAAATAAACATAACAGTAAGGTGTCATCCCCATCGGGTCCGCCGTCTCCCCAACCGTGATGGGGTCTCCAACAACGCCAAACGTCATCATGGTCGAATTGTCCACCTCTGGTGTCACGCCAGGCGGGTTGAAGACGGTGCTGGTCCCGTTGTACGTGTACCTCAGGTCCGGGTTCTCGTCCTGCCAGTTCGCCCAGAGGCGGTCGAGCTGCGCGTGGTGCAGGAAGAACGCCGGGTCCTGCGGGCTGCAGAAGAAGTCGGACATGGTGCCGCCGATGCCCCCGACCGCGAAGTGGCCCCCGCCGTGGATGCCCTTGTCCGTGAAGCCGTCCATGAGGTCCGCGCCGTTGAGCCACCGCAGCACGGTGAGGATGTCTGGGGAGGCCAGCAGGCCGTCGATGCTGGTCTGGTTGTTGTTTTCGCGGAGGGGCTCGTTCAGGAACTGGCGCTTGATGCACTGGGGCTTCGACTCTTGCCAGTTGGCCGGCTGGGTGATGTCGAAGGTGACTATGGAGGTGAAGGGCCCGAAGTTGACGGTCGAGTTGGAGAAGGGGCCCTTCTCTATGCAGAGGTCGGTGGAACGGCCGTTGGTCCCTAGTGAAGTGTGGGAACCATCAAATATTGGGCTGTCTGCCAGATTTGGATAAAGTGGATAGTCCCAGTAAGGGATGCCGAGTGACTTTGGGTATCCACAGTCCTGATGGAGAGCCTGCTCAACGAGATAGATGAAGTGGCGGTGCCAGGGAAGGAGAAGTCCGTCAAAATGGATTTGGAGAGTCTGGTCGATGTGGGTTGCCGTGAAGTCAAGCCAGCGGCTGGTTGCGCCTGGTACGACCCCGGCTGGATATTGAGAGGGCAGCCGCATCAGGCATCGGACTCCGTGGATGTAGGACAACTTCTCGTGGTCAGCCATGCTGCCATATTCCTTGCGTTGTACGGCGTTCTCCGGTGTGCATCTCGCAGGCGTATACCCCCTCCTGCGGCCATGCTGGGCCTCTGCTATGGAGGCAGCCGTTGCCAATACGCCGGTCAAGAAGGCTGCTGGCTTCATTTCGGTCGTCAGGAACACTCTTGCTCGTTGCAATGAAGAAGGCACTTTCATCCAGAGTTTTGACACGAAGCGGCCAAGAGCGGTTTTATAAGAAGCAGTCGTTCGTTCTTCGGGAGACTGAGATTATGTACATGCAGTGCTGCCTGCCTCGCAGTAGCTTGGATTACCTTGCAGTAGTAAAGCAGATGACTTGGCAGGGAAAGCTTGTCAAGCCACCCTGCAGAAACGAGAAGGCATGTAAGGCGTGTAAGGCATGAAATTGCGCGGGAATCCTTCGGACTTCCGAGATATCGTCAGAATACAAGCCATACTCGGCGGGTTCACCATGCGCCATCATGATGTGGCGTGACACCAAGAGTCCAGACAGAAAGACACATCACGCAAATGGAACGATCTCATCTGTCACACAACACGGTGGTGAGGACCGGCGCGTACCAAAATCTCCGAAAGGCCGCCATGTGCTCGGCCTAGGCCGCCATTATGATTCCTGTGTGGCAGCCTATCCGTGCTGCCGGGTCTAATAATGGCACATTCGCCTGTCACAGCGTAAGCCGCCTGTGACTAAACGTGCTATTTAGATGTTGTCTCAGACACAGTTGGCGACTCTGACACTTCCACTGTGATCTGAGTCGTCGCCGTAATGGAGCTGAACCTTCCCTGTCTGCCCTGCCACTGGTCCCCAAAATCATCGTATACCCTGTTGATTACGTCCGCAAACTTGGCCTCTGTCTTTCTCCGAATTACTTTCCCGATTGGCGTTCGAACGAGTGAGCCATGTGGCACCAACGCCACATGTGTCCGCGTGATAGTTGCATGTGCAGGCATGTTGGCGTTGGCAGCATCTATCACGGATTCCCATATCTCTTCTTTGAGGCCAGTGCTAGGCTCGGCGCCCTCGGCAACTTCGATCAGCGCGAGCGGTTGTCGGCGCTGGTTACCCACTATCATGACGCCGCCGACCTCGGGGTGTGCGCCGATCGCCCTCTCAATTGGCCCAGGGTGGATGTTGGAGGCGGTCGAGAGCGTAAAGGTATCATCAGTGCGGCCGACGAATTTGAAGACGAATGCGGCCTTTTCTGGGTCGGGGTGGGGGGTGAAGAGGTCGCCAGGCCGATATTCCGGATACGGTGGCTTTGTGTTCTCGGGTGTGATGCCCTGTCGTACGTGCCAGCTCGCGTAAGGCGCTGTGTCCTCGGTCATGGTGAGCACTATCTCGTATAGCGGCACCTGTGACCCGTGCTCGTCGAAGAACTCGGCGTCTGATTTCCGAAATTCCACACCGGCTGGTACGTGTTAATCACCTGTTATAGGTCCCAAAGTGACGCATTCTGGAACGTTCGGAAAGATAACAGACGAGAGACCGTAAAAGGAGAAGAATGGTGCTTACTATGCACCGTGTCAAAGTACACATATTGCCAGTCCTCGTTATCCCCTCTGACAATGCCTGCAGCCATAGCCTCAGTGCAGCCCCAGCCATTCTGTGTAACTGTCAGCCACTATCTCTTGTGACACATAGCTGCCTGGCACAAGCCGAAATGGAGGATGCGAGCGTCACACCGGCCACTCTAGCTTGGCACTTACTTGAATGTGAGTATGTTCAGCCCAAATACTACTCGCAAGTGGTGAAAGAACGGCTGGGGGCACAACATATCAGCCATCGCGCAACGCAACATCTTTCATGACATTCATGTAACTCACCACCCCCAAATAGCACAGACTCGAATGGCTTAATGTATCGCTCTGGGTTGGGTTTGCGAGCGACATCCTCCATCATCCAAGGCGTAAGCGCAGCCTTGGTCACCTTGGCAAACTCCAGATACTCGCGGATATCGCCGGTGGTTATGGCCCGGTGCCTAAAGCCCGGGCATAACGTGCCCTCCCCAAAGACGCTCATCGGAAGAGCGCAGGTAGCTGACATTGCATGAAATGGCGCTGATGTAAGCAGAAACCTCGTACCATTGCCAGGATACATCAGGTCAACAAAGTGCTCGCGTCCATAGACATCCGGCAGGAACAGATAAGTCCACGCATTCCCGTAGAATACGTGCCGATATTCTACCGGCTTAGGGTCACCTGTTGTCCCACTGCGTACGATAACAGTCAGCCAGCGCAGCGAATCGGTTGACCTCTAGGGAGCTGACCTAGAGTGGAGGACCATGTAAGGGTCAAGTTTGCCCTCTTCCCATGTCTTGTGGAAGGGATACGGTGTGGCACGGTCCTGTAAGCTGAGTAGGTCGTCCAATTCTGGTATCAAAGCATGTTTAACCGGATGAGCCCTCAGGATATCGTCGACTAGAGCACCGTTGGCTGACAGCAGTGCGACACATTGGGTCTTTTGCATTGACGAAGCGTGGACGTTGGTGCTGTTGAGCGGAGACGACAGGAGAACCTTGAAGCCGGTCTTGATGGACGCCATCTGCACGAGATGATATCGGATATCAGGCACGCCTAGATAGGCAAAGGTTTCGAACGTGGAGGATCGCCCGAACGCCGCCTCGATGACATGTGCTACCTTGTTGATTGCGTTGGCTAAAGCCTCAAAGGTCACATCTTCAAAGCCCTGGGCCAGGTCCCAGTCGTCCACAGGGAGCGACACCCATGGCCGTTGCGGCTCCTTGCTCGCTATCTCGTCAATTGCTACAGGGAGGAGCTTCTTGCAGTAGTCTCGAGGAGGGTTTGGGCGTCCCATCTTTGGTTATCGAAATAGCCGGATTCGAGGGCTCTCGACCGCGGAGGGTTGCAAGTGAGTCCGATCGCTCACTTTTTGGTGACGGCTGATCGATTTCAGGGCCCGTGAAGTCCCATGTAATAGCTGTCTTCTAAAATCCGAGCAGCCGGGGACGGGACATTTAATACAGCCGGCCTGCCTGCACCCGAGGGAGTGGATAAATGTGGATGAGACTGGAGCTCCTGGAAACCGGTTGGGACATGATGCCTGCTCGACACCGTACTCTAGGGGCGTGATACGCACGCAGGAGAGGCACAGTGGCATGGCGCGTTTGTGTGTCTGGGCTAAACTCGCACTTAAGCACGTTCAGGGATCCGAAACGTTCTAACTGGTACAGCCCAGGCCATTCTGTGGGGTTTAGTCGCGCTCCACTAGGCCAGAACCTTCCCGGGTCAGGAAGGTCTGTTGGTGTTCATTTCAATCCTCTGTTGGGACCAACCCTTGCAATCGTGTGCCTCTTGGAGGGAGAATCAGCCCAGAAGGAGACTCGGTCAGAAAGCGCCCTATTGGAACGCTGAGCTGTGTTTCGACAAGACTTGTACGAGCACCTGTTTAACTGAGATGGGAAATCCTTTCGGCGTTTATCCGCTCTTGATCCACTCCCCATGCATGCTGCGCTCTCCACCAGTAGGTGGCTGATTGTCTCATTGGTCCGGGGAGGGAAGGCTCGTCGTTACAGGGAAAGGGATGGGACGATGGCCGAATCTCTTAGGCTGAAAACCCCACGGCCCGACGCGTGGCGTTGTATCGGGGCTCAACTGAAGACTTCTGGTGCCTGTCACCGGACTAAACCTGTGGATCCGATTTCGCTCCAAAGTCTGGCACTCCTCAAAAGAATAATGTTTGAGCTCGGAGCAGCTTCGTTCGAAGACTACAGCCGAGGCCTGTTGTCTTTCGCCTCTTTGCTGCGGTTGTGCACGTAGAAATAGGAAGCGGGAAGCACCAAGGCGTCAATCTCGAAGGGGAGCGCAACAGGGACGCCATCTTCTGTCACCCGGTGCTCAATTGCAGTGGAGGTGTAGTAGAGAGCTGCGATTGACGAGTCGTTCCTGTGTGCTGCGCAAATTTGATGCGATCGCCTTCTTGGTAGCTACGCTTGAGACCACGGTGTCTTGCTGTGTCACAGCAGCTACTGTTTCCTGGGCCAGAGCGGGACGGAAATACATCATTGGGGCGTCCTAGAATCGCTGACCGCAAGGTTGTCTAGATAGCGGGGCATCAGTGTTGACTTGGGTGGAACCATGCACGCTCTTAACGTCCGTAGTCGGTCCGCCGATCTGAGGTGGGCTCTAATAAAGGGGCCAAATGGTGCTGGAGACAGACGGTTGAGAGGCGCAAACAGCGCCTCTGACGTATTTTAGGATAGCCGAGAAACCCGGGTGAGCACACCTACATTTAGCCTGTCACTTCACTTCAAGTCTGATTTTCGGGCGTTTTCATTCAGCTACGGAGAGCGTTAGCCGTAGTTTGCAGGAGAAAAAAGCAAAGTCATGGGGCATAGGGCGTATATACGGCATCTAGAATGGGATCATGTTTTGCATTTAGCGCAGGATCATCTCTTTGAATCATTGGCATTACCGGTGGGAACATCGAATCCGTGTAAATGCCATCTGAACTATGATTTATCTGCTACGGAACTCCTCATTGACTTTAGTCCTGCATATGGTTAACGCCTGGCTTGCACTGCGCTGTGCGATGCATAATGTGTCCTTTGCAGCTTCAACAAATGACAATGTTATGTCAAAGACTTTCAACCATTTAGATGAGATCGATTGACACTCTGCGCCGTCCTCAAGTGACTATATGCGTGAACTCTTAGAATCTGGATGGGGGTTCACCTTATATCCATGCTCCGGGGACCTTGAGATTCGATATCTCTTGCTCTTCAACCATGTGCCAAAAGGCTCCCGCAAAGTCGTCGCTTATCTCAGACCACCAAAACTTCCACTGAGATGGACGTGCGCCAAAGTCGAACCTGATAAGGTGGAAAATGCCCCACCAGTTGTGCCTCTTTTCACCATGGCAGCTAAATTTGAGTCCGAAGTCCCGCACGATATCGAATACAGTCACATGGCGTTGGAATTCCTCTCGACCGTACCTCAGCAGGTCCACGCCGGCGACACGCAAGCACTCCAACCATAATAAAATTGAGGCCTCGCAGCGCTGAATGAGCCTGGGCATTGAATCTTGATCTCCCAGTTGGCAACAGAACGGGACTCTAAGGTCAGAAGACTGCTTTATCAGCCTGAGAAGCGGTGTCTCCAAAAACGGCCCGTGACTCCTTGCACTGGCTTGGCACAAGTCCTTCAGGCTGTGGCATCGTCCTATGGCATCCATACTTAACCGCAGCCATTCTTTCACTGAGTCTTCGTTTCCCAGTAATCCAATGATCCCAGCTAGGCCGTGAAGTAATGTTTCACCGTCATTAATGGAGATAGAAAGATCCATTGATGCTTTCGTCCAGTATCCATCTCGTTCCAGAGCAAAGCGAGTCATCGGTATAATATCGGTATTTTCCTTCCAGACAACTGGTCCATTCAAGACCAGACCGGTGGTAAGTTGCATTCGCTTCGTCAAGAATGCCTGCGAGTAGTACTCCTCATCAGGCCAGACAGAGCGTCTGATGTTTGTAAAAGACGCTAGAGGCCCCTTCCAATGGAACAGAAATGATATAAGCAAGGGCTCGTTCTGTTCGGTCTTTCCAATCAATTGCCGATAGGCATGAAGTCGTTGGTCTCCACACCAGGAATGAAACCCGGCAGCTACAACCACATCTTCGATGCGTATTTTGAGGGGAGGCACATGTGCATACTGTTGAGAGCGTGATAATCTCTCAAATATGGCTCGGGTTCCTCAGTGTGCTTACGATCGAAGATAAGAAGAGATCCAGGTATGCTTCCACTCCACAATCCAGAAGGAATGAGCAATTTTGCCATTGGCCACATTGGAGCGCCTCTTGGAATTTCCGGTTCAGTGATAATCTTAACCAGAGCAAGATGGTGACTTACCGGGAAGAAATTCCAGCCACACCTGAGCTCATCCCACGGGGTCGCCTGTCTCTGATCAAACTGCTTTACGAGCGCTCCAAGGTCGCCATTCTTTATGTTGTGTAACGCCATGATATAGCAGTCATAGCAGGGATTCATGAAGCTCCGCGTCCTCAACAGCTGCGACCAACCGACCTGACTCCTGTAGACCAGTGCCTCTATGACTTTGCCCGACCACCACGTGGGCAGGCTGATCTTGATTCTAGCTTTCGGCAAATAGCGAACCCTCGGTCGCCTTGTCGTAGATTTCCTCGTCCTTGCTTGCAGCGGCAGCGTCGCTTCCATTTGCTAATGGGGATTGATAAAGCTCCAGTTGAAGTGAGCCTGTAATGCAGGCAAGGCCAAATTCCCACCTTGACTTGGGCTTTTGGCTTCGTTCAATTTCACGGAATGAACGTTGCAGTGTCATGGTGCCGATTGGTGAATTTGGGATTCTATTCAGCCTTTGTGCTGACATGGCTTCGTAACTCTCGCCACTTGACGACTGTTCTGCTCTTACTTCCACGACCGGGGTAGGTGCGCCAAGAGAAGTATTATGTACGAAGCCAGGTATTTGAGATTCGAGAAGGTGTCTAAATGTGTGTTTCAGCATGTCTGGTTCCAAAACAAACTTTTGAGTCGAGCCTGACGAACTTCATATACATCTGATTGGCGACAGTGAGCAATTCGACAGAGTGCGAAAGCCGTTGCTCGATTCTCGCAATTCGATCCTTTTGGAGAACATGTCTGGCAAGAGAAACCTTCCTCCTAAATTTGCCAGATCTCTCAAGCTTTTTCGTCATGTCTTCGAGCATGTTTGCTAGCCCGAACAGACACTCCTGACAGTGCTGTCTCGCGTTTTGCAAGGGAGGGATCGACACTACTTCCGCAGTGATGCCGCGGCACTCTGACTGCTGCAAGCTCAATGACAGCACGTGAAGCTGTCCGAGTCGGATGTGTATCTCATCTGGAATGTCCTGCATGTCTTTAGTATGCCGCTCAATGTGGTCCCAGTGGTGATGATGGCGCCGGTTAGCTGGGTAATGCCGATAACGCTACCGACGATACCTAATACTTCAGCCATGAGTCAATGGCAGGCTGTATGGCACTTGCGGTGAAGTTCCTCCATGTGACAATTGGGCAAGCGTGGGATTCGTCACCAGTACGACACAGTGGTTGTTTGCAAAAGGCGAATCAGTTTGGCACCATCGTCTCTGCATTATTTTAGGCAGCCATTCCCGGTCTTCTTGGTTGATGATGCCTGAGGAATTCTTGGGTGAGCGCAGCAGTCAGCCTGCTTACTCCGGTGCAGTGTAACCCAGAAAATGAAGGTTCTTCGCGAAACACAAACCCGTGAATGGACAGTTCTTCTGCTGTGTAACAGAAAAAGAGGGTGTTCACGCATCACGCGCAACGAAAGGCTTGCTCACTCTGCCCCTTTAGTTCTACAAGTCGCCATCATTTCAGCTTCCTACAAAACAGTGTACTACAGGAAAACCTGCTGTGGCATGACCTACAGTAGGAGGATGTGTCATGTGATACCTTCCTTAGGGTACTCTCAACTGCACAACATCTTCCTGTGGAATGACCTATAAAACAACAGCGTAGTAATTATAATAAAACAATGTAAATGTTAACTGGATTTACCATTATTTCAGTATCACAAGTCAATCCGCCCAGGGTGATATCGGCATTTCTTCCTATTGAAACTTAGTTTAAAAACATACAAATTCAAATACAAGTAAAGAAGAAGGGCATAGATGAGGGCAGTGCCATTAAGTCCGCCTACAAAGACAGCAGCATGTATTAAATGAGGGAGAGAAGCTATGTATTATGGTTCCATCCGTGGAGCCATAACTCTCACTTAGATAGCTCATATACATTGCGGCACCAACAGCTTCGAATTTAGGGCAAAAGCAAGAGACTATGGTCTCGCACTCCTCCTTTTGAATCAAGCTTGATGGTCATCACACTACCCTCTAGAATGATTTTGCGCCCCCACCATATCCGTAGGGAGCCTTCGCTGGGAAGGAGCATCAGGCCCTCGCGTGATTGGATCTCAGGTGGTAAAATATAATTGGTTTTTGACAATGGGGTAACACATTCCCGTTTCCCCTCATCGATAACCTTCAGCTTCCCCTCATCGCCAGTTCGTGTCTGAACCTCTGTCATCTCCAGTCTTAACTTGGCGCACTCCTGGAAGGTCCACATCGCGATAAAAGATCCCCATCTTGTCTTTTCAGGGCTGATAAGCGGCCACACTTGTCATTGCAGAGCAAGAGACTTTGGCATCACAAAGTTGTCCGGAGCCGCAACACTTGAGAAGAAACGTCACATTACATGTCGTACGTCCACTCTCGACGAGCACCTGATTCGGGATATCTAGGTACGTGCGACAACCTTTAATTGATACCAGCGGCTAAGATTTGGCCTGAGATCCAATGGCGTCAGGTTACCTTAGTAGTTTCAACGGCAATTGGTATTGTTGTGTGTGCAAGAGGAATCATGGGTTGTTGCAGTCCCCGAACAGCGTGTACAGCACCATGTGTGAAGATAAGTCATGCTCGCACACGAGATGCAGTTCTTGCCCACAAGCATGACGTGGCGGTTGTTCATAGTTATGGCGGTGGTATGTGTAGCGGTGGATAGAGCGTGGGAATCCAAATAAGATTGCAGTACTCAACTCACCAGCCTTACCCAAGGATGCGGAGTCCTGCTGCTGTGATCTAATCTCACCATCAAGTCACTCAACAACGCGGGAGCCACATATTGCAGAGCGATAAAACTGCAATTCAGACATCTGGAAGTTATCAAATCCACGGCGATTGGTCCAATCACTCGTAACTATCTAGGTAGTCGCATCCATTGGTGGTCGCGGATTGATGGCGCAACACTACACAGGAAACGGTCTTAAATCCGAGTCATGATACGAGCTCAAGATAGTGACTTTACATGTACATCGCCACCCTGAAAACATCACGTGGGCATCTGCACTTTCAGTTGCAGCAACTGAGGACTGAAATTTCTATTAGCTTCCTGCACATGATGGGGATGCTCGTTTGGCCTGCAGAAGAGGACCCAGAGATGTCAAGCCCAATATTCCTCCTGTCACGCCAATGTCATGGAATATGGAACAGTGACTGGGACTGGTAAAACCCACAATCTTTGTATTCGAAGTGGGTGGGCATATGGGCAGGATCCTGATTGCAGAAAGACCCGGAGGGCATCATGTTTACAAGTGTCTACAACGCCCCATTCACCGTGGCCCCCATTCACTGGCACAAGGAAGTAAGCACACTTGGGATATGATCCAGGTATGACCACCTCCAACACTTCACTTAGTGCAGTGACTAGTAAAGGACTACCATAGTTTAATGCACGGACTCATAAGTGGCCTCGTGCTGCACGTTGTCTGATTTATATTTGTAGTCCTACCACAGCCTCCCTTCCCAATCAATCCCATGCGCCCCAACCATCAACACTTCCACTCTTCAGCAGCGGTGCTAAGATGTTTCCCCAAACCAAACCCGTTCTTGTGGCGCTTCTCTTGGCCTACCGGGCCCTGGCTGCGCCTACCAGCCATGATCAGCAAGACCAAGTTCAATCAGTCATCAACGCACTCAAGGTCCAGATCAAGGAGTTGAACCCCTCATGGAACCCTTCGATCATCGACTATGTCGAGTCAGCCCTCAAAGCGAATGGAGTCTTGGAGGCCGAACACATCACGGCCCTCAACCAGAAGATTGAGGTAAGCAAATGCCATTGATGCACCAACAACTTGATCACTACGGGCCATGTGTGCTTTTCAAAAAAACAAATACCTACAAATTGGTTGCTAACGGACAACCATCATAGGCGATGACCGCTGCCAAGGGCCTCGACACTGATGGAATTGCCGCCACGACCATCGAGTATCTCACTAGCAAGGGCGCTTTTGTGGAGCCTGAGGAGCAGGTCGTCGAGAACAAGGTCCTGTACCTCACGACCGACATGATCAATCAGGTTCTGGAGCAGGGAGGCGACGCAGTGAAGCGGGATTGCCCACACCCAGGAAGACTTTGTGGAGGATGCGTGATTCTGTAGGCGTCAGGGCCCACGGTCACTTGCACACTCAAGTCCACCATATGGACAAACGGCCGATGGCCAACGGTCTTCGATAAGATAGACCCCAATATGATCGAGCATCGTCTCAGCTACTTGCGATGGTGATTCTGCCTTTGCAATATCCCTACCAGGGGGAGGGGGGGTTTTCGTCAACATCGCACTACTATATCAATGGCATAGCGATATAATAGTGACATGCAATTAAGGTTTTGATATGCTTTTTTTATATATACATTGCATTATTTACACGTCACTAATATATAGTTATTCTTAACATACTGTGATATTATGTTAACTTTTTAATATAGGGGTAAAAAAAAACCTTTTTTTTTCCTCATCCTTAACCTAACTATTTATTTATTCTTTATTAGCTTAATTATTTATTATAAAAGGATTTATGAAATTATGGAAATATTTAAAAATAAAAATAAATTTAAAGTTAATAGGATTTAAACCAAAGCTTTTAATATAAAATTATAATAATATTAGCTAATATATAATTAATATTAATATAAAGTTAATATTAATATAATTTAAAGCTTTAATATAATTTCGTTTTAATAGTATTTTAATAGCCTTTTATTAGCATTTCATTAGAATTATGAAATTTTAATTAAATATCAAAACATGAGTGTATTGCGTGACCCAGTCAGAAACCCCCCTCCCCCCTGGTAGGTCTTCTTGACCGTGCCTACCTAGGTAATCCAACCAGTATCGCACTTGAAGTCGGGTATGCCTACGATGAGATGCTCTCATGATCACTGAGCAGTATGTAACATCTTGTTCTGGCAGGTGCAGAACCTGAGCACCCGGATGCCACCAACCTTATGTGGGCAGCTAGGAAAGACGAACATGTATCTTCCAGTAGCAATATTCGGCCACTTGAGCGACCCGGCGCTCCGAGCTCTGAGTCGTCCTTCGTGTATGCGCTCGTACGCTGCCGGTTAGTATGCAGGGGGTATACATCCTCAGAGATTTTGCTAGCTCAACTATAATACTTTTCCTGTCTTCCAAAACAGGCACCATTTATGTGTATACAAATTAGCGCAAAGTAGCTGCCAGTCGAGTCAGGTTGCTAAAGTCAAGAACGGAGCTAATGTAGATGGACTCTAGCCGCGCTAAGACGACGGCGGACGTGGCCATTGCCCTCTGTTCCATCGCATGAACTCGTATTGATATTGTATACCAGGTTCGAGTTGAGCAAGAGTGGTCTGGCTCGCTTATCAGATTTTCAGATCAGAACCGCACTACACCATAAGCTGATGCAAATGAGCCCTGCAGCTCTTGACTGTGGCTCTGCTCCCAAAGTTTCTTCTTCGTTTGACTTCACAAGGTTCTATTCCACTCCACAGAGCGGGCACCTCAGATTCAGCTGGTAGTTGGCCCTCGACTTTAGGAGGCCCTTGAGATCTGAGAAGCTTACATCAGAACCTTACATCGAGCTCTTTTCAGCGTTTTAACGCCTTTCTATATAGGTAAGCTCACAGACTTTGTCTGCGTTATGTACATCTGAATTGTTCTATGAGGATGAAAGTGATTTTGATAATCATGTATGAGTAGGGATGAGATGTACGAGGCGTTTAAGAACCTTTCGCTAGATATGCCCAATAATGACCTATAACCGATGTATGCTGACGGTTAAGCAACTATCGTCCGGATGCTACTCTTAAAACCAAGGTATATAGACAAGGGTTATGTCACCTCTGGTAGTACTACGTATACCCATGACGCCTTTTTTCCGTCGGGTCCTTGATTCTAGATCAATATCACATTGTGGAGCATCTTCAGAGCAAGCTCCCCAACTGACTTGTGTTTACCGTGTTGCTTCGGCGCACCAAATCCGAGGAATATTCGTATTTACACGCCGGCAGATAATGTGGTGAGACTGCCGAGCCCGCTGTTACTGACTGAAGATAACAACCCATCGAAATATGTGCTACTCGATGGCTTCCCGCTATGACAGGGGCTACAAGTAGGGACAGTGAAGAAAACACCAGTCCTGATGTTGTAGCCGTACGAGTGCTAAGTGCGAAAGGTTGCCATCCAGACTAGCTGCGTGAGAGTGTTCGTAGTTGATTTCATGGCTCACCAGAACTAGTTTGACGGATGTCATCGCATGTTTGATCCTTTCAAGAGTGCAAAGGCCGTTTCATAAAATTATACCTCGCATACTGGCGAGCTCATGCTGTAGTTTCCCGCTTAGAATGGGGCAAAATATTTGAACATCCCAGATCGCACCGGCCACGCATATTAACACAAATTGAATTTCACTTCCACAAAGGACCCTGGACGCGTGTGCCTATCACAGCGGCCCTCCTTTTGCGAAAGCACCAGGCCACCGGCTCGAGTTGAAATCCTTTTCCATGTGTCGCCTCTCCTGACTGACCGACACGACAGAAGCAATGCTGCCCATGGCGTGTTTCGGGCTTTCGACTTCCTCCACATCCGTCAATGTCCTCCGCGGCTCTGTTGGCTGACTTTGGTGGTCGCTGACTGAGCCTTTTCCGCCACTGCTCTTGCCGACGTCTCGCCTCCCGCCGTTGATCAACGTCATCCTGACGCCTTCGCTGTCGAAGAGATCCGGGTTCCGAGCCTTGACCACCTCGATGAGCTTGTTCAGGATGCTGAATTCGAGCTTCAGCTTGACGCTGTACACGAGGGCCTTCCAGCTTGTTTGCAGGTCGTAGAATCCGGAGAACTCGAGCACCAGGATGGAGATGTCGAGCGCCATGATCACGATGTTGATGGTTATAAGCCAGTACATGATCTTGCGGCCGTCAAGGTTCTTGTTGTTGGACTCGAATGCCAGGTGGCGTGCCTGGAGAAACCTCCACGATTCATGGATATAGACCGATGAAATGATCAATTCTTGGATGAAGAATATCGACAATTGGACCTTCTCATAGATCGAGTATGGCGTGACGAATGGTGCTCCATTGTCCGAGTTGACGCTGTAGAATAGGACGGCTATTGGAACATGGCAGACTATGGCGTCGAAGATGATCATGCCCAAGATGAAACGGAGCTTGCGCTGGTTGTGCAGTAGCAGGTGCAGTCGGGAGTAGAGCACCACACTCTGTCCAGTGACCATGCTTGACCATCCCACGAGGACCAATGAGACGTAGGTCAACCTCGAGGCAATACCAACCTTAGGATGTAGAAACTTGAGGAGGTAGCCGACTGCGTTAAAGGATATTCCGACCGTGGCCACAAGCATCGACCAGAAGTAAAGACCTCTGCGCTTCTTGAATATCGTGAATATAATGATGACCAACTCCAGCACATTGTAGAGTGCCAGAGAGATGAAGGCGGTGATCACAAAGAGGGCCGGTCCGCTGACCAGACTATCCCCAGCGATGCCACGATCGCTTCTTGGTATTGAGAACATGACAGAGGCAGGAAGCAAGAAACTGCTGTCATGTGGTTATCGGTGACGGACTGTCGATAATGGATATGGGTCGAGGTGCTCTGCTCTGAAAAGCTGCTCGTGGATCGTCGGTCGAGCGACTTTCCCAGAAGAGCACGAAGGAAGTGGAGCGAGGATACCTCGCAGGAACACAGCCAGGCTCCGAACCGAACTTTCTCGGGAGGTGATCAATAATAACTATCTGTCCCCCTGGGCAAAGCTTGGGCCCGAATACACGTACTAACAGAAGCTTTTGCATGGTTGGTTAGACTTTGAGCAGCGCCACCAGTGCCCACCTCCCGCACTCAGGCCGGAGAGGCCTCGGAATGATTCGGGCGCCGCATGGCCTACACACACACCCACGGCAATGACTCAAGCAAGCACCCACTACGAGCACCATGCTGGTGGTCTCAAACTTGTTTGTCCCTAGGGACTGAGACAGCCGCCGAGACGGCTGGGGGGCGGCAGTTTCTAGACGCATCCAAGGCCGGCGAGTGTAGCTTGCCCCAACGGCAGGATCAGATTCCCGGGACCCTTGGCCCATGTCACTTGGCAGTTCATCTTGCCGTAGGGGGTTGCATTTCCCATCATGATATGATACTGTTTCATTTGCCGTTAATGCTGTGTGGTGGAAATGAACCACATGCCTTCACCGAGCACTAGAGTGTGGTTCCCCTGAGCTGAAGCCGCACTTTAAACATGGGTTCAGATGCGTCTCGATTGTATATTGAGATGATAGATGTTGACGAACTCGAGCAGGCACTAGCCAGGTGCAGTAATGGTAGAGAATCTTAACAGTTCTGGTATACACCACTCTGTTGAAGAAAAGCTTTCTTGTTCGGTCACACGCACATCAGCTGCATGTTGTACATAAAAGGCTGCGAGCGGTAGGACCGCCGTGAAAAGGTCTCTCTTTCGTCCCAATTTTGAAGAACCAATGCATGCTTTCCTCGAGCCGCCGATGACGAGAGATTCATTTGGCACTGAGTCAATGGGGCGAAGGAAAGCATGCAGGAATGGAACATAGAGATGGATATTCGGTTACCAACGAGTCGAGTCGCTTCCCGTGCTCCACTGCTTCTGGCCAAGCTACGTCGATCAAAGGATCTGGGGAAACCTTATCTGAACAACATCCGGGTCCCGCTTAGTCCTGAAACCTTCGCTAGGGCGATGAACGGATCACTAGGGTTCCTTCCTTGCCCCCAACCGGATAGGTGGCTAACTATTGAGCCAGGGCTCGTAGGGACCATCTTGCCGACTTCTGCGACCGAGAGGGGGTTCTTGGCGATGCGTACGACGCTCTTCGTGCGGCAGCGGGTGAGGGGAAAGATGCTATATGAGAAGTGGTAAGGGCTGCAAAGATCCCATGCGATAGGTCTTTGATCTTCATCCTGGCCCTTCTTCTCTATCGAGGAGGCCACCATTCCACCGCAACCCTTGGTCGTGGAGTATGCCGAACGAGGCACACCACACGCTTGAGGTGTGCCAAGGTGTATTTGGAAGACAGCCATTAAAGATCGACGAGAACGTCCGGCCGTTACGTGTAACATCAACCGCAAGGGGGATGAATCAGAGCCGTCTCCCCAAGCGCTTCCCTGCGCCAGTTTGTCGGATCATCCGACCGCTTGCGAGGGGTTCCAGAGTCCAGACACATCGCCACGGTGGCCGTGGAAGGGACCGGGTCCCCATCTCGAGTTCCTGCGGGGAGGGATTCCCTCCCAGCGGGCCGTCAGCTGCCGGCAAGGATGCAGCCGAACCTTGTGCCAGTATTCTCCGGTTTACCTTACCCGCCAGGGCCCCCAGCACGCCTGCGCTCCAACAAGAGTGGTCTATTGATGCCCAAGACCTCTTCCCCTGGTCACAACGGCAAATCACCCAGTCGGAGGCGTTCAATGGCACCCGTCGGAGCATGCGGGAGCAAGCGTGTATCCTTGACTTTGAGTGCGCACAGAGCCTATAGTGCCAACTGGCCCGTCATAGCTGACTTGCTCCAAACCTTGACTTAATATGCTTCGCACGGCGCTCCCTCCTCAGGCGTGCTTATTTATCATTCCATGCCTTGTGGCGAGGAGAGGCCTTGTTCTGTGTCTCGTCCCGACGTTGGCCCGGGATTGCGTGCTGTAATTACCGTAACTCTAACCGTAAAATGGCTGAAAAGTGAAAGAAAAAAAAAAAAAACAGCATTCTGAACCAGACGCGAGAGGGGAAGCAAAAGGTAAACATAACACTGCATTCTGCCAGGCCTCATTTTTGTATCCTTCGAGGACATCTGATTCCATCGATCCGTGGCTGTATGCCATCTCATCTGTCGACATGACTATCTTGCAGCATATGTGCTCTCAGGATGACCCTGACAATGACACCAGGAGGCCAAGGCCCGCAAGAATAGTCAAGTCCAGACCAAGCACGAAAGGAAAAGAGCCCGCCGTGGCGCAAGCGAGCGGACACGAGCCAGAACCCAGCCAGGTGATTAAAGCGAAGCTGCCCCCCTCCCCCCGACGTGATTGATCGTGGATTTGAGACGTATCAAGAACTCGAATACTAACCCGCACGCACGGGAAGGAACCCAAGACTGCCGACTCCAAGTCCATCGGGGAGCTCTTCTCGCCGACTCGGCCCACCTTGAGGGCTCGGCTGTCGTCGTGGTCCATTCGGCAGAAGGCTCAGGCGCCCACTGCCGAAGCCATTCCAGACATGACCAATAACAGACTGCTCCGCGTGCGCTCCTCCGAGCCCATCCGCCGCCCTCCCACCCCGGCACACGACCCAGCGGCTGGGCCGGAGGTGAGGCCCACCCTGAGGACTCGCTTCTCTGCCTGGTCCCTTCACCAGAGGACTGGGGAGGGTCTTGCTGTCTTGCAAAGAGTCTCCCCGTCGTACCAGGCTTTCTTCCCGTCCGGCAGACTGGTTGTGGGAGAGAGATGAGAGGTGAGAGATGGTACATACCTGACACAGGGAAACAACATCAACTTGCGAGGAAGTGTTCGAATTGTCGGAATTTGCTGCGTGGGTAAAGGGGACAAAACAGCTGGCGTCAAAATCGAGTCTGGCTCCTCAAATTCAATCCGGGGCTCCTTTCTTGGTAGATAGATTGTAATTCAGAATGGCTTTGTTCTTTTGCTCTAAAGATCAAAAACAGTCGACACCACCCAACTCCTGCTCTTTTCGGTCTATAGGTATCCTTTTTCCTTTGCCAGTTTGCGCCCTATTAACCACAAATCAGTCTATCATCAAAGGTGAAGCCCAGCTAAAATTCTAAGGATCACGCCGCTGCGGCGCTTACTGCAGCAGCGACCGGCTGCGTATCAGCGCCCATTTCGACTTCGTTCTCCATCTCGCTCTCCCCTTCGACGGCCTCGGGCTTTCCGTGCTCGCCTTCGTGCCCGGACTCGCCGCCCATGCCCACAATATCGATCCATTTCCACTGGTCGACGACGCCGTTCCCGCTCCTGTCGAAAATGGCCTTATCGTCCTGGATGCCATCGTCGACACCCCCGTCCTCAGCGCCAGACCGACTGCTGGTCTCCACAGCACCCAGCTTCGCGCCCGTGTCGGTGCCCTCGACCAGGTCGCCGAACCAGGTCCGGGCCACAGGCACGCCGTTCGTCCGCAGGAGCTGCACACATGCCCGCACGTTCAGCCTCAGCGCCCTCTCCGGCTCGTCGGACCCGAACACCTTCTTGGTCAGCCAGGGGAACAGCACAGCAAAGTCGCTCTGGTTCAGATGCGCGCTGTTGACGACGTAGAAGAAATTTGGCTCCGGCAGCCGGACGCCCGAACCAGGGCGCTCGAATGCTGAGGCCTTGACGATGGGGGCGCTGGGATCTGGCGAGAGGATCCGACACTTGGCGTGTAGGTGCTCGGTCCACTTGACGAAGGCCTCGGACTCGACAGCGAGGATGGCGGACCCGCCTGGTGCCGTTGGGACGTTGTCTGCGTATGCTGGCAGTGGTAGGCGATACAGAGCCGCGGTGGTAGGCGAAATCAGCGGAAAACACCACATATCGAGCAAGATAAGGAGGTTTGCTGGCGTTATCTGTGCCCGTATACGGGTGCCTGGTGCAGGCACGAAGAGGGGCTCGTCCAAGTCCTTGAGCTCGGGTGCACCGGCATAGTATGTGGATTTCAGGAACTGCACCACCGTTGCCGCGCCGAACGAATGCCCGCTGAACATGATAGACCCTGGCTCTTGCACATTCATCTTCGTCGCGAGCTGGCCGAGACATTCTGTCGGTGTGCTGGCGTTCAAGTTCTTGATGGGCAGCCCGCTGTCGATGTCCAATATAGCCTCATGTATCAGTCCAAGCTCCCAGAGCCTTAATTTCAACTGCTTGTTTCTCGCATCCCATGTTTCTTGGTTTTGCTCATGCGGGATCTTGATGTACGGGACTGTGCGCCTGGTGTTTTCGCAAAGAATCTGTCCTGAGCGGCGGGGTCTCGGATGAACGACACGGCTGCACTTCCGTCGCGATGTTCCGGGCATATCGCCACAACTCCGTGTGAGGCCATAGAGCCGGCCACATGGGAGTATGCGTTGCGATTGCCGCCGAGCCCGTGGGAGAAGATCATGGTAGGCCATCGCTTGTTCGGAATGTGCTCGGGCTCGAGGATGGTAGCATTCTTGTGGACGGGTATTGTGGTATAATGTACATGGCGTGGGAGAAACCTGCCAAGGTGAAGGCGTTAGCAAGTGGACACTGGCAGGACGAGTAGGGAACCACACTTACGAGAGAAGCTCAGACGTGAAGGCACCAAAGCCAAGGAATTTGGTATAAGCTGTGACGTGACTTCGTTGAGGGGCTGGCAGCCATGTGATCCTCTTTCCCTTGCTGTCTGGCTGGGCAGGGTAGAAGATGCGGAACTGGACGGTCGGAATGTCCGCGGCATGGGAAGGGGCTGAGCTCGGCGCATGGAGGTCGGCGATTGGGATCTCGACATCGGCGGTGCCAACTTTGTAGGGGCCTGTGTACTCTGGTAGAGTGGGCACAGGGTTGACTTTGTTGAGATAGTACGACATTCGCTCCGAGTAGGCCGCCTTGTCTGCCTTTGTCGTTGGGGGCGTCATGTCGCTGTTGGTGTCGGTGTCGCTGACCCGGAGTGCGCGGTCCGAGCCACTCGATCGCCGAATCGCAGGGGGAACAGATGTATGGTTATCGACAGGAGATCTAAATGAAGAGACGCTATCGATGTTGCAAGTCTGTCCGTCACATGAGGCCGCAGCGCATCCGGGAGATCCTCGTCGAAGGGGGAAAAGAGTCTCGAGGGTTCGAGAGGCTTGCAATTGCTCCGAGGCGACGTCTTGGACGCCGAGGTTCTAGTCTAGACGAGGTCTACTGTTACAGAAATTTGAAATGAGGCTAATCGACCAAGCAAATAAATATGATGTGGCAGGGAATAGAAGTATCGGCAGAGGGGTGGTGAGCAACCAGGCGAAGGAAAAGTGAAGGAGGCGCAGACGTTGAATGGCACCGAGGCTTTGGCCCCTTCCCTGCCCCTGGAACCAAGTCCGCAAAGCCTCGAAACTGTCGGCTATAATTGGAGACACCAGCCTCCGCGGCCAATCAGTGGCCCTATTGAAACTTAATCGCGTGTCCGGTTACCGTTTTCGGACTACGTCATGTGCCTTTCACGGCTTCTAGCACAACCCGACCGTCTGGAACGTCATTATGTTTTGATTATCTGCTGGACAGGAATTGGTTTCTTCTCCACATATTCGGCTGCGATTCACATTGCCGAGGCTCACACGAATTCCATACCTGTGCAGCACATGTGTCACCTTTCGGTAGACTCGGACATACTATTTCAACTTCAAGGGCCGGCTGTCGCCGGCCACATTCGGAAGAATACTGGAACTCGGAGTACCCAAATATGACGAGAACCTTTCAGCAGCCAAAGCCGACGTCAAGTAACAATTAGGCGCTGAACCGTGCTTCGGTCCGGTCCGTGGATCCGACTCCACGATGATCTTATGCCGTATACTGCATGCAGGCCGGTGGAGTTGGGTACTGGCTAAGGATCGGCGGAATTCTCGCTTCTGTAGACCAGTTTGATCATGACACATGTACTCAATGAGATCGTCTGATTGGGAATGTCTCATTCAGGGATATGTGGTGCAATCGACCTATATGCTCCGGTCTTACTGCACAAGCGCAGGAGTTGGTTGACACACCAGCTAGCTGAGTCGGCAGTGAGATGCATCACCCGCACGTTCTAGAAGCTTCGTCATAGGCATTGTTCTATGGTTGGTGTTGGAAAAGTTGGTAAGTCAAATTCATACAAGGGTTTCCCCATAGCAAGTCTTTAAACGGCGCAACGTACTTGGTCTCGGAGGAAGCCTTTACTACCCCGATGTTTAGCAAAGACAACCCTCAACGGATCCTGACACACACATGCATCTCATCTATAACTCTTATGGTATGAATAACTTGTTACCAGGGGGAAGGGAGTTTTGGACATCATGGCGACAGTATCGTACTTATGTTTAAAAAAGACATGGTCATACAATCAATATTCCAGCATTTTCTTGCCCTTCTATCATGCCGTTAAAAATTGCAGTGTTCATAGCGCAACTTTGACTAATGCTGTTGAAAGAAGACAATTAAAGACCTAATTTTCAGGGTTTAGCGAATCAAGTATGTTCTCAAACCTGATAGATAGTCAAGACCTTTCCCACCGACCAAAACCCTGGGAATATTACTAAAATCTAAGGTCTTGCCGTCCACCACATACTCAGTCCAAGCATCAATAACTTGATGTAGCCCATCCACTTCGGAATGATGCGGACGAACTTGGATGAATTCATAATGGGCCCCGCTTTCTCGCAATAGCGCGCATACTCCGGGACACAGCTCGACGAGATGATGTCCCTCCTGGAGATCGCCAACCTCCTCGACTGTCCGAGTCGTGCCGTTAGACCCGTCCAGATGCCCGTCTCTTGTGAACACCCCGCGATTCACCGCAGGCCGGATAATTTTTAAGAGATTTTTTTCGCCGTCTAAAATATTTTCAAAGCTCACAGACGGATCCAGCCGGTCGATCTTGCGCGATGTAGCCGGAAGATGTCTCCCGCGCACGGCTTTGTAATTGGGCCATGGAACACTCCAGTCCGCAGACCAAGATGGAAGATTCGGGACCACGGGTGAGGACTTGATCAAGGACCAAAAGAATGCTAGTCCGTGCTGCTCTATAAAGAACTTCGAGTACCTGGCGTACACTTGAGCCGTACTCAGACCGTAGTTGGCAACAAGCTCGGGAAACCTGCCCTCCTCGAGCCCCCTGGCGATACTAATAACTCCAAAGATCTTGTCCCGGGGTTCGGAACAATGCCTGTCGCGCGTTTCGATGAGGACGTCAAGAAGATGAGACTTTTCAGGGCGCATGATCTTCTTGCGCAGCATAAGGTAGAAGGGTCCGAGAGTCAAGGCACCAAGGCTATCGCTGGGAAGCAAGGAGAGTGAATGTAATGCCCTCATGGCGGACGTTGACTTTGAGCCGCACATGATGACGATGCTGCGAACGTCTGGTAGCGATACCTCCTGCAAGACCCAGACCCGCTGAAACCATCGGCGTGAGAAGTACTCAGTTGCAGCGTCCAGGACTTGCTGGTCTGGGAGGGATGCGGCATGGCCATCCGGTGCCTGTCCGGGCCCACTGCCAAACAGAACAGACCACAATTGACTACAACGAAAAGATACGTTGTGGCTCAGGACGCCCAATCGATACCAGAAATTTTCGAGCCCTGCAACGAGCTGCCCTCTGTCGGGGGCCCATGCTCGGCCCTCAGTGTCCAACAGGTCGGCCCAACCCGAGTTTGTGGGTAATACGAGATCCTTTGGATGGACGCTGTTCATCCAGTTGAAAAGCCTGTCGCTCTCCCGTGTCGCCTCTCCAGTGTATGCGATAACCTTGTTGGCAGACATGTATATCCTGCTCATGAGAGAGACCTGATGAGTCCGGTCGACATCACTGTGCTGGTCTATACATATCGCGTCGATCCAGACCAGCCGGCGCTTCTTTTGGTGTCGCAGCTGTCTGAGGACCCTGACGCAGTTTCTGGTCACGTAGCTTTGCGACCGCTCGTTAATTATGTAGACTTTCTCCGTCGCTGCTGAATCGCCCTTCTCATCTGCCCATGTGTACGATATGGCATCGTAGCTAGGGCCCCACAATAAGTTTGAGTGAATGATGCGCCCCTGGACCATGCCAAAGTGATCGTCATAATAGCCGGAACCTCCGTCAGGGTAAATTTCAAATAACCTGATATCGTGGTCGCCCCTCCATTTTGGATAGTTGTAAGGCCTGATCTCGTTCGAGTCATCTCTTAAGCTGAAAATGGGATGGCTCCTCGGTGGCGGGTCCTGCTTCTTACGATCTGGATGGAGCTGAGGTTCTGTTGATCTATGTTTTCTGATCTCGCATGCAAGGTTGGACGCCCGGTAAACGAATCGGCGGGAGGCGTCCGCTGTTGTGGTGAACGGCAGTAAGACGGGCCATGCGCAAATCTGCGCACCCGAGCGGACAGTTCTAAAAGCATTGGGCTCTCTGCGAATGAGGTCCAACACTATCTGGATTATGGAAATGATGATGACGGCCACCCAGATGACTGGTGACAAGGCGAATACCAATACGGACAGCAACGGGCCGATGAGGTCCTGCAGCCACGATGGCTCTACATAAGGACGTAACCCCATCCTCCGTATCGAATGGCTGGCTTAACTTTGATGATAGTGGGGCATAGAGCGCACAGGGTGAGGGCCGAAGTTGTCAAATAATAGCGTTGGATGCTTTTTCTATTAGGCTAGCTAACGTCTATTCAACGGGAGGGAAGGCCCCTATTTATAGTTATTATCCTCCATACAGTGGCAAACGTATGGGGAAAAGGATATTCCGTATTAATAATAGCCTAGATATCTAGAATATTCCAACAGCCCCCCTTAAACTAATTCCCTTTTATTTATTTTATTTTATATATATAAGGGATTTAGTTTATAAAAGAGGAATATTTAGTTATATAATAAGAAAACCTTATAAAAGGGGAAAAACTTACTTATTAAGTGTTTATATATTTAGGTAAAAAACCTAAAAATTTGCTATTACTTAAACTTAAACTTATAGCTAGTAGGGTATTATATATTAAATTATGGTTTTATATGAGATTTACTAGTTATTTTATAATGGCTACGGTATATTATGGTATTTTTATATATTAAAGTCATACGTTATTTTATTTATATTATATATATTATGGAAATATGTTTTCTGTTTAAAATTAAATATATATAAATGCAGTGTAGGTATATTGTAACTATATGTATATATGGTATATATAGGCCGTATAAGTAATGCTTATTTTTTAGGAAAAACCTTTATTATTTTAGTTATTTCTTTTAAGGGAAAACCTCCAGTATTTAGGATAATATTATATATATATATATATATATAATTGAGTTCGCTTTATTTATTTATATATTTTATAAGTGGAGGAAAAAATCTTAATCCTAGTTATTAAAGAGTAAATACCTTAATTTATTTTGCGTGTATTATAATATAGGTGGAAAATCTCTTTATTCTTTGGCTTAATATTTTTATATTATTTTTTTATTAAACTATACTTTTCTTTAAACTTTCTATAGTATAGTTTATTTATTGGTTTTATAAGCTAGTTTGTTAAATTTTGCTTAGAATTTATATGTTTTAATATTACTTTATTATTTTCTATTGCTTTTCTTATATAATGATATGCAATATTTATATATTTAGTTTTTTTATAAAATAAGGTATTTTTAGCTAATTTCTTAGCCTTATTATTATTTATATATATAATAAGAAGCTTGAAATTAAAGCCAATATTTAAATTATTATTAAAATATTTAAGTAAATTATATAAATATTTAGCTTCTTTTATAGCTTTTCTTAAAGCTATATATTCTGCTTTTATAAAGGAAAGTGCTGGTGTTTTTTATAGTTAAGAATTTTAGCTTATAGGATTTATTTTATTATTATTATTATTATTATTAATATTATATAGGCTAAATATATAACTAAAGGTACTTTTTTTAATAAATATATTATTACCTTAGTTTAAATTTGTATAGCTTATTAATTGTAAATTATTTCCAGAGTAATTATATACTTTAAATATATATGGGAATTTATATATATATCTTTATATTTTATTTAATTCTTTTATATGCTTTAATCCTAGGTTTGCTATATATTTAGCTAACTTATTTATAGAATAAGTTAAATCTAGCCTTATTTTTAAGCTAGTATATAATATAAACCTTATTTGTTATTAATATAATTTTATAGTATTTTTATTAGCTTAATTAATATATTTTTTTAATTTTCTATTAAGTATATATAATGTAAGTTAATGTGGGAATAATGGGTGTCGTTTGTATGGAGGACTGTTTGAGATTAGGCAGCTTTAACTCGTTAGGATGCCTGGTAGGCAGCAGCCTTAGCGCTGCATATAAAATAGCTAGCATAATTAGGCCTTCTGCCTTCCTTCCTTCCATAGTTAATAATAATTAACCACTATATTAACTAAACGTTGTATTGCAATATATAACCTAGTTAATACTAATTAATAGTTGCAAGGGCAATTATAAATTAGCAAGGCTTAAAAAAATAACTTTTTAATTATGCTAATTAATATTATTAATATTATAAATTTACATAGCGCAGTTTATAATAATGATAATACCTAATGTATAAAGAGGTAGTTATTATGGTAAGAAATTATAGTAAACTCCCCTACCCTTAATATATATATATTTATTATGCTTTAAATAACTTTAATAATAACTTTTAAATTTAATGGCTATAATTAAAAGAATTAAATTAATATTTATTTTTATTAATAATATATTTACTTATATTTCATTATATAAATAAATATAAAGAAAGGAATTAATTTATCTTTTAATAGCTAAGTTATAAAAGTAACTTTTAACTTTTTTGTTTTCCCTTAATACTACTCATTTCCCCTTCCTATTACTTTCTTTCCTAAATTAAATATACCCTTATTATTACTTTATTAAAATAATAAAATAGCAAATATAATAAGCAATGCTGCTAGCCAAAATGGTTTATTAATATTAATTATAATAAATTATATTTTTATATTTAAAAGTATTATTAAAATACTTAATCCCTTAATATAAATAAATCCTTTAGGATCTTTTAGCAATAAATAATACTTAAATACCTATATTTAAGGCTAAATTTAAGCTATAGCATATATATTGAATAATAAGGCATATAAGGCATTTATTAAAGACTTTTATAATTAAACTAAGTTAATATTTATATAAGTTAATAAAGACTTGCTACGTATTATTAAGAAAATTCTTTAAATTAAGGGCATTTATACTTAAGGAGCGAATATTTTAAGGGAACTTATATATATCCTTAAAGCACTAAATTATCCTAAATAGCTAATAAATTAAAAGCAAAAATACTACATTATATTTAAGATTAATTAAATTTAAAATTATAATTTAAATATTTATATTATCCTTAACTTTAATTATACATTAATAAAAGATAAGAAATTACTTATTAATAATAATTCTCCTAATCTTAAATTACTTAAACCGCCTAATTTATTTAATAATAATAATAAAAGTAATAATGGCCCTTTAAAACCTCTTAATTTATTAAAGAAAAGCAGCAACCTTCCTTTAGCTAATAACTTTTATATAGCATATAATTATTACGCCCTTTTATCTTTAATAAAAATAAAGAACTTTTTACTTAACCTAAATATAATAGCTAATTTAAGTAAATATTATTATAAAGATAAGATATTTATTAAAGAATTATATAACATTCTTAATAATAAGATTCTCCTTTTTTATAAGGCTTATAGCAATTTATAAATTTAGCCTTAATAATTTAAGATAGCTCTTTTATATATACTTAAAGAATTAGCAAAGATATATTATATTTAAGTTATTAATTAAAAGAACTTATTTACTTAAGTATATAAGAAACTTAAGAATTACTTTAATATAAATAATAATTATTATAATTATTTTATAAATTAAAATATTTTAACTTTCTTTACTCTTTAATAAAAAAACTTAAATAAAAGTTATATAAATATTCTTTAAATACTTATTAATAAGATATAGCTTTGCTATAAAGCACTTAAGTATATTATTTATAAGGATAGCTCTTTATAAAATATAATTTTATAAATAATATAAGGCATTCTTAAATTTTATTATATTATCTTAATAGCATTAATAAATATTAAATAACTTTACTTTATCTTGCAATAATATATTAAGATATTAAAGACTTAAAACCTTATATTATAATATATAATTATAAAAAATAATTAATAAGCTTATAAATAAGGCTATATTAATAGTTATAATAATTAAAATAATAATAATTTAGCTATTATAAATATTAAAAAGCAATATTATCTTAATAAGCAATATAATAATAATAATTAATACCTAAGATACTCTTAATTTCCTTTTAAGGATAACGGCTTTTAATTTAACTTCCGCTTAAGTCAGCCCCATTAATTTAAAGGCAATAGTTATAATAAAGAACTTTATAAAAATGGCTATAATGGCGAATATTAGCTTAATAAAGGTAATAATAGCAATATATAACGTAAAAAGAAAAAGTATTTTATATATTATAAAGAGAAATATTAATTAATAAATTACTTACTTAAAGATTAATAGCATATTAAAGCTATATATATTTATATATATAAGGATATTAAATAATAAGTTAATAATAATAAGTTTAATACATTTCTTATTAACTTTAAAGGTTTTAACTTTAAAGCTGCTAGCATTATAATAACTTTAGCTATTAATAATAGCAAAAAGGAATATACTTATTATACCTTTTTAATAAATTAAGCCTTTCTTTATAACTTCTTTAACAATATAAATAGCTTTAATATTTGCATTAACTTTAAAAACTGCTTAATAATAGAAATATTTATTATTTAAAATTAATACTTTTATTAATAATATTAAGGCATTATATTAAATATAAGTATAGTAATATTTTTAATAATTAAATATAAGCAATTTTAAGCTTTGCAATATTAAATATTTTTTATATATTTAAATATTATATAAATTAGCAAAGCATAAATATAATTTAGCCTAAGCTTATTTATTAAGTTACTTAATATAATATAAATTAATATTTTAATAGGATTATTAATATTTTATATTATAAATAAGCCTATTTCCTTCCTTTTTTATATTTAAAATATAAATAAAAACTTTTTTTTCCTTTAAAATATTATTAATAAGGTAGTTTAATAAAAAGATAGTTATTTAAAGAAAATTTTCTTAGTTACCTAAAAGTAGGGATACTTATAAATTTTCCTTAATATAGAAAGCAATAATATACTAGCAATATTCTTAATAAAAATAAAGCTTTAGCAACTTTATTATAAATTTAAATACCTTTTAATTAATTATTTTTCACGCCTTCTTATTAATATTAATTATAATAATATTAATTCTTTTATCTTAAAAGTAATTTTTAAATTTTATTATTATTATTAACTTTATTTCGCAATATTATAATATTTTAAGTTTAACCTTTAAAATAATATTAACTTTAATTATAAGATTATTATAAATATTATATATTTACTTAATTTACTTATTTTATAAGTTATTAATTTAATAACCTCTTT